TTCTTCCAGCACCCGCGTCGACGCCCGTTTCAACCGGGTCAACGCCGTGCGCACCGCTGCTGCTTCGCATCCCATCAGGGTTCCCTTCAGGCAGATGGCCCATAGTTTTTTTTTTCTTTTTTTCGCAATGCTAAGTGCACTACGAACGATTGACTGTACCACAAATGCACGGTTGTAAGAATGAACGTGTGATTGTTGCATGGAGTCTTGCCATGTCTGCGATTTTGTTGTTAGAGCCTTCTTTTTTGTAACCTATGCATGATTGCCTTTTCATTCAACCAGTAGTCCGAAACATTAATATAACCCAAAAATTTGTTAAAGTATATGCTTATGTAAACTTTACGCCAATCCATGAGCTTAGTGCCACTACAACTTCCAAATAACTTTTATATCACTCTGATTATATTTAATTCGCAATCGGTATTCTCCTGAACAATTAGCTTCTGGTAGTTCTAAACGACTAAGCAGTGCCGAGCCCGTGTTCCAAACTAATAAAATTGTTGATTAATTCAAAAAACAGGTGCTGCAAGGTCTCTAAATCAACATAAGCTGAAGCAAGAAGCAAAACAAGAAATAGCAAGCAATAGACGAGTACAAAGTATTGAGAGGACTGCTGTCTGCTTTCTATGCTAGATACAAACTAGTACCTGAAAATTCGCTTAGATGTGCCAAGACAGAAACATTTTTCTTCAGCAACAAGGAACTGTGTTTGCTTTGATAGCATCAGTGGAACAAAAATAAACTGAACAATCTGCCCTGTGCTAGACAAAAATGAGGTTATTTTTACCGGCTGTCGCACTGTTCTTGTAAACAACGATGAATTCACACTGCAAATGGCTTAATTCAATAGGAAAGCACACACATTGTTACGCACATTGTTTTTGAAGGCACGAAAGTACATAAGACTCCCATCCCTCACTCAACATTCTTCACAATATTGTATTATAAAAGTAACTACTATGATTCGATCAATACGAATGATCAAGAACGCTTATCGACAATAACGTGAATAATGGAGAATAGAAAACTGGTGGGATACCATCGGGTTGTACTTCAAGGTTCATTCCTCTCAACTTTTTTTTTTTACTTAAATCCACAAGACCGCGTTGAACGAGAGCATTGCGTCATGTTCACTTCGTTTCTAAGAGTAGAAAAGGTACTTGAACAAGATTCACTGAGGAGCTTGGCATCTCAGTCCCCACGTGGGAGCTGCCCGCAACACAGTGATCTGTTTTGGAGGACCAAATAAAAGTTTATTCAATCCAATCCAATGAGCAAGATTCGTTTCAGTCTTACATTCGCCGTCCTCAAGCGAAACGACAGAGGTATCTGAATGCAGCCACACTCGGAAGCACACCGTGAAATCTACACTAAGCAAAGACAACGAGTAACCAAGCGCTACCAAACAACGCTCACTACAAACCTACGTCGCATGGGAGCCAATTTGTTCAACATAGTCTTCTTTATATAGTGTTCTTCATTTGTCTCTCTCTCACCACATTATCCTCCGCACTGAGACCATCTATTTTTGGGTTGCTGCTTGGTCCTGAAGATGGCCCTCCCAACCTCCACAGGATGAGAACTCCTCGAATGCGACCCCATAGGCACCACCGAGACAACACCACGTTCACCTTCGGAAAAAGAAAAGTCCCGCTTGGCACCACTATACTTGTGGTGCCAAGCGGGACATGTGACGCGAGTGCCCTCGTGCGGTCGGTGGCTACATTTAGGGTTGCCTCCTTGCTTCCCCCCTTGCAGATGCATAGCTTGGCGACGCTATCCAACAGTTCGGGGCTCTCGACCTGTTTGTTGAAAAGTTGTGGAGAGGGCTGCGCCATCCAGGTCAGTGCTGCAGCGCTTGCCTCCAGTACTACCCGCCTCTGTGCCACTCGTGCCCGTGGCGCTGCCGTCCCATCACTTGCCTGACGGGTGACGGCAATTGTGTAGGGCCGCTTGTGCCGCTGCCAATCCGCAGTCAAAGCCAATGATGTGTCTCGTCTCTGTACGTGCTGCTGCCGAATGTGCTACTGCTGCCATCGATGCTGCCTGCAGCGCGCTGGCGGAAAGCGCTTTGTGATGGACTATCGCCACTCTGTCTGCCGGCTATCGCTGCGTGTCGCATGCAAAGTTATTTCAAGAGTACGGAACCTAAACGTTCCCCGCTCTTCTTTCATCAAACATGGCTGAAGAGCGAGCGATCCAGGAAGAAACTCTCTCTTGGGCTAAAATTTTGCCTTTAGCAGGTAGATGCTTGTGTCAAGTTTGAGATGTTATCGCATGTAATTTTACTGGGTCGTTGAAATTTGTAAGAAATAAACCATAGATAACTGCGCATTATTTATATCACTCTTAACGTTGCAATTCAATAAGTTGTTCTAAAATATATACTGTAACTTATTCTAACACTTCCACTTCGGAATAAAATTTGGTCTCCGGAACCCTGGAATCAAATTACGTAATATTTCACGGATTCGTATACAATCATAACACGTGTAGTAAAAGGTAAAAATGACCTTCGTGCGAAAATGCACGAGCTCGTGTTTCGGCAGTGACGTTAGCTTAAAGCAGGGCATACGATCTGACTTTTTTTTTTCATTGTACTTTTTTTTTCTGAATGAAGCCGCACGGGAGAACCCGCTCAAAGCTATACCAGTAATACGAAACTCAATCGGCAAGGAGCCTGCTATTGCATCGGAAAATGCATGTACAGATGTACAAATTTATAACAATATACAATGGAGAATGTCTAGAAGGCATTGGCATGCTAACTAATATTATTAGGCCTGTACATTTCAGTGCAGTGTCGTGACACATTGAGTCCTCTATGAACATGTGTGTTTTTGTTCTGCGTAGTATCACAATTTGCATAAACTAAGATAAATCAATTTTGACGCACACATTTGCCCACAAGTTGAACTATTCGCGAATGTGAATGTCTCATTCCGATATCAATTTTGTTAGTACTTGCACAAACTGTTGGTTCCTTTAGAAGCCGACTGTGCGAACAACAAATCGACAAAGCATGATTAAGGTAACGAACTGCTCCGACCAAACAAAAGCTTGAAAGAAAACGACGTTTCGGCTTCCATAGGCAAACCTTGTTACCGCAGAACACATTGTGAATAAGGCTTCCGTATGAAAGTCAAAACGTCGTTTTCATTCAAGCTTTTTTTTTTTTTCATTTGGTCGGTGTACTTGATTTCCTTCATGTTTCATTCCACCCATACGTGTTTCCGTAAAAAGTCTTGATTTCAATACCAGCACTTTCACTGTCACTTCCTGTTGGCGCTGCCTACGTTCTTCTAATTGTGTGTGCCAACTTGCTAAAATCGTACCAACTTGTACCAATTAGCCCAACTTCAATTGCGCAGTATGATCGCCAGCGTGCCAATTAGCCTCAAATAATGTTTTTGCCACAAATACACTTTCGAGGCTTGTCCTGGTTTAAACAGCGTGTTTGAAGCGACACCTGAGTAATCTGCCATAATTTCAAAGTTTTTTTGTTTATTTTTACTTTTTATTATGTCTGGTCATGTTCCAAAAAAACATTCGCTGGTGTCGCAGCGAGTCTGGGGTCCGTATTCACGAAAGCTTTTTTTTTCTTTACACTAAACTTGTTCTTAAGGCAGTATCCTAGCAAATCCGGGAGCTATAGGCATATCATTAGTGAAGGCGGTACACGACCAACGGTAATAAAGCGCTTACGAGCGCAGAGCTACGTGAACTTGGCCCCTGATACACGGAGTTCTGTTTCTTTCTGGTCTCGAAGCAGAACGACTTTGAACACATAGCGTCTGGCTTGCGCTCAAGAGTGCCATTACTTGCAACACGAGCTTTTAGTAGCAGCTGCAGCCGCTCAGCGCAAACGGATTCGTTATCGTTGCTTACCGGTCGGCAAACTACTCCCAGATCAAGCCACAAGAGCACAACGAGCCTGACTGGTACATTTCTCGGGACAGTCGCTGTCGGAGCCCGTTCAGGCTGGCCACGCTAGTCGCACTCGCCATACCATCTGCTAAGCAGACCTCTCCAGTTATAACGAACCCGAGAAAATGTTAAATACGGCCTTGGACCATGTTATAAACTGTGCAATAGACGTGACATAGACCTCGGCGCGAGATGCAACATGTCTTCTCTGTTGACAGTCGCGTCATTTTCTTCCACCTCAAGGTCAAAGAGGAAAGGCGCAATCTGTTTATAGCGTGCACGCACGCGCCCTACCCCGCATCGTATAACACAGCTAGTAAGTCAGGTGACATATTTTAGCTGTCACACTACGGATGACACACTACAAATGCAAACACATATCAATAATGCCACCCTTAAGAAACTTAACGGCAAAACACACACTGTCACATTTGTCACTACGGGGTAACCAAGTACGAAAGCAAACAAAACGAAACATGATGTCTAGCAAAATGTACCTACCGATAATCTCACCTCTTCTTTCTTTTTTTTTCTACAGAGCTACAATGCCCAAGCATGCAATAAGAACTACTGTAACGAATTGCAGTTGTTTACTTGTCATCAGTGACTCAGAAGCATGTATAGATATAAAGCCAGGGTTATCGATTACCCGCTGCCTAATAGTTAAATATGCTGAAGTAATATCGAAAGACGAGCTAGTTAGTATGAAGGCATCGAAACTTATTTTTAGCGCACACTGACACACGGACAAAGAAAAGAATGGTACAACACCAGCGCTACTATCAAGTGAACGTTTTATTCAGAAAAAGAACATTTATATATCAGTGTAGTGACCCTCTGCCCATTCGCACCGTCGTAATTTCAAATCTATGTCTATCGTACCATATATCATGTGTGGGCACAAATGTGGACATAAATGATCAAACATCTGCTCGGCCAACAGCAGTACGACTGTTGTTCTCTCATAAAGAATTCGCCTGTGTGCCTGGAGAACGTACATCGTAACAGTGCCGGCTCGATACCTCACTCTCTCTTTTCTTCTCCCGCTTTCTTTCCTCCTCTCCTGGTTGCAGTTCCTGAACATGGCGAGCGTGTTCATGAAAATCTTCAACCTGATCTGCATGATGCTTCTTATTGGTCACTGGAGCGGGTGCCTTCAGTTTCTCGTCCCCATGCTGCAGGGGTTTCCTTCCAATTCCTGGGTCGCCATCAACGAACTTGAGGTGAGAACGTTGGCAGACAAACGGGCATCTACGATGACAGAATCAAAATGAAAGCTCCACTATAGACCACCGCAGCAGAGCTCGCTGTCTGTTACGTTGATGTGGATGGAACACAACGCATTCCGAGCACTGACGTGATGTTTCCTTCGGGGGCTTCTGTCGATGCAGACGAAGTACTGGTTCGAGCAGTACTCGTGGGCCCTGTTCAAGGCCATGTCCCACATGCTGTGCATAGGCTACGGCCGCTTCCCGCCCCAGAGCCTCACTGATATGTGGCTCACGCTGCTCAGCATGATCAGCGGGGCCACCTGCTACGCACTGTTCCTCGGACACACCACAAACCTCATACAGTCGCTGGACTCTTCGCGACGACAGTACCGAGAAAAGGTGAGACGGCCGCGTTGTTACCGCGATACAAAAGAAGGCATGGCGCTTGTCGCAGATAGAGCAAAGAATCAAGAGGTGGCCATGTGACTCTTGGAACCCTCACACAGCCGCCTAGAAAATAAGCGATAAGCGAAGTCCAGGTCTTACACACAGATTGGCACATTGTTACTTCAACAGTCGACTTCTATTCCTGTCAAACTTTTATTTCGATTTCCTCTTCCCCAGTGCCATGTAGCCAACCGGACTGAGACCTCGTTAACCTTCCTCTCTCAAGTATATCCTACCCTTCTGCATACACTGTCATAGGATTTTCCACGTTTCTTAATTACACAATCTATACAATGCTGTTCAGTCAGAAAACTGCTACGCCTATCGCAACACCTCGATAAGCCGGTAAACATGACGTCTCTAGAGTATTCATTACTTCTCTTGACGGCGCTGTCGTTTATGCGCAGTTAAAACAAGTAGAAGAGTACATGGCGTACCGAAAGCTTCCAAGAGACTTGCGACAAGGGATTACCGACTACTTCGAGCACCGGTATCAAGGAAAATTCTTCGACGAAGAAGCCATACTCGGGGAACTCTCCGAGAGGCTAAGAGAGGTGAGCATTTACAGCACGATATCATTGCAACAACAAGATTATATCGTCTTGAGTACGTAGAAATGGCATCTCACTATTTAAAACTGCCATGCCGCGGAGTTAAAAAAAATGAAACCAGGCCACGTAGTATGCTGTTGATTCATTGCTGTGGAAATTCCTCCGTGATAACAACAATAAAACAAGCCTGCGTTGATTCGTAATTGCAAACAAGTAACGGGAACTCGCCGTGACGTCTTGCAGTAACAGCATATACGTTTCCTAGTGGGTGATTAACGTGTGGATATAAGGTCTTCAAAATCTTACGTTGAGATAGTGAATTACGTTGTCATCCGGATAAGAAGAGGTGTCATAACGTTCCGCTAAGTGAGAACTGGTCACTGCATCGTTTAAAGGTTAGCGCAAGTGAAAAATATCGTCAAAGGAAGAGACAAGCTCTTCCGAAGCCACCGACTTCATTTGTGTAGAAAAGGGGGGTGGGGGTTCCAGCTGCCTTAGATCTCAGTTTCTCGGAACTCAAATAAAGTTCTTGCCACGGTGTCATTTTAAGGTCTCAACCAACGTCTGCCAAAGCCGAGACACATTTCCTCTCATTGTGAATGCAAAAAGTGGGGCGCAGTACATAACAGTGACTGAAGATAAGGACTTCTTCAGTCCCTGTTGCGTACTGAGCCCCGCTTTTTGCATTCATAATGAACCCTTACCAACTAGCCCAAGTAGATGTTTTGCTACAATTTCGCTGTGCGTCTCGAAATTCATGTATAGAGACAAATGCGCTGGCTTTTTACAGGACGTAATAAATTACAACTGCCGGTCGCTCGTGGCGTCGGTGCCGTTCTTTGCCAACGCGGACCCAAACTTCGTCAACGACGTCGTGACCAAACTCAAGTACGAGGTCTTCCAGCCAGGCGACATCATCATCAAGGAGGGGACACTCGGGACCAAGATGTACTTCATCCAGGAAGGCATCGTGGACATTGTGATGAGCAACGGAGAGGTGGCCACCAGCCTCTCTGACGGGTCGTACTTCGGAGGTGAGCCTTTTTGCCTACTCCACTGCCTGTTCCGTGTAAGGTAACGTAGGTAGAAGAGCTACCATAGGTGAACGGGACAGCCTTCAAGAAGGTCGAGGTGGGTAATTTACACGACAACCAAGTCATTCTAGATACGCCAGTTTTTCAAATCGGCGACGCCGAGCGACAGCGGACTCAGTTTTTTTTTTTTTTTTTGGTTGGAGAGCGCCTTCAAGCGTGTGCGCAGTAGGAAATCACTTATCGATTCGGCGTTGCAATGCGCGATTCCTGCCTGACCAGCGTGTGTGCGGCGCTCGCAGAGATCTGCCTGCTGACCAACGCCCGGCGCGTGGCCAGCGTTCGGGCCGAGACCTACTGCAACCTGTTCTCCCTGTCCGTGGAACACTTCAACGCCGTGCTGGACGTGTACCCTGTGATGCGACGGACCATGGAGTCCATCGCCGCCGAGCGGCTCAACAAGATCGGCAAGAACCCGGACATCGTGTGCCAGCGCGAAGACCTGCGCGTCGACCTCAGCACAGTCACCGCCCTGCTCCGGTCCGCCCAGGCGGCCAACAACGACGACGAGGAGGAGGACGAAGACGCGGACGGCGACGCCAAGGGGGGCGGCCGCGCGCAGGGCGGCAACCGGAGGAAGTACAGCCACCTCCTGGGGGTGCACCGCAGCGGAGGCACCACGATACCGAGGCCAAAGTCCGAGAGCTGCTTCCACCGCATGTTCGACTTGGCCAGCGGCGCAGCGGCGCAGACGGCCCTGCCGCGCTCGGGCACCTTCTACGAGAGCCTGACCGGCATGGGTTCGCAGGGCAATCTGCAGGAGGACTAGAGCCGCCGCCGCCGCTCGGGCCCTCGGACGACTCCGGGCGAGGAAGCTGCTGCTGAGCAGGCCGCGGTGTAATGGCAACACTCGCGCCGATGCGTAACTATGTCGCCGTCCATTCGGCTCAGCACAGCAACTAAGGTAAAACACAATACGGCGACCACTTATTGGAAAAGAAGCAAACTATTGGCCAGCGGCTGGGCCGACGGAAAGGTCAAAGCCAATTAAACCAGGTCGAGACGAAAAGGATCGCGCGATGCTCAAGCTCGCATGCCGAGCGGTAACACCATGCGCCAGTGCTGCCCCGCGGCGACAACCTGCTGGACTGTTGCCTACATTCGGTTATCCACTCGACAGCCGGCACGTCGGGAAACGTAAACACTGCCGCTCTTTGGCGTGCTGTCGAGCCAGAAAGTAACTTTTCGAGGCAATCACGAGCGGTTCTGCTCACACGCGAGTTTCCAAATCATGAAAAGCCAAAAGAGAAACGCTTAAGTGAACAAAAGAACTAGAATAAGAAAATCTGGTCAGTCTGCTGCGGTTAACGCTTGCTGACAGCCACGACTTGTGTCGTGCTCGAAACAAGGTCGCTTAGATGATTGCTACACTACGTCTTCCGGCAGCTTCCTCGTCCGGCGGTGTAACTCGCGTGGCGCGCGAACAATCGCAGTGCATCCGAGGGACTGAAACGTGCCGCGCTTTCGTCTCGGAAACAAAAGGCAAATCTCCTCTCCTCCCTTAAAAAACATAAAAATCTAAATACTGGTCGCACAGGAACTTCATTCACACGCCCACATTAATGTTACACATACTAAGATCTATCAAAGTAAGCTAAATGTCAAGTAAACTCGAATGGCCTCACGCAGGTCATCAGGACTCTCTGTTGTCTACATGTGCAGTTCTGCGCAAGTACGCACATTTCTTTGTTCAATGCGCATCTCTCACAATGTTTCAAAATGTCCCTCGGCTGCACGGCAGAGGCGTTCGCGTGGCCGCGCGAGCGAGATATGCGGGACCAGCGCTAGCGCATGTGGGAGCAAAGTGGCCTTAGTGAAGAAACGGGGCGAGCCGTCACGGGGATAGACACAGACAGACACACACCATCTACACACACATCGCTCCACGCACGACTCGAAGGAAGAAAAAAAAATCTCACGACACCTTGCTCACATTGCCGAGACACGTCACATGATACCACCTCGTTGTATGTCTGTTTCGTATATGCACAATGCCATGTTCCCTTCCTAAAGTTGACTGCAGGACGATCTCAAGCCGTCCCCTCCCGATGCCCATCCGAGATCGACCGATTTGTTTTTGTCGAAGCGTGATTCCGAATAAGTTGGTTTACTCCTGAAAGAAAGAAAAAAAAATCTACATGCTTTCGTTGCACACTTCGAGAGCGGTGAAGCGAGCCTTTTAAGTCACCGCGATGCGCGATCTGTTGTTCTTGCTGTTCATGTGGATGTTGTACGTTTCCAAGACAACCACGTCAGCCCCCAAAGTTACTTCCAACGGAGAAAAGCGAATGAAGTCAACACGCGAAATCGGCCAACGGGGAGGGAAAAAATATCCACAGCCTGCAATTCGGACCAGCGCAATTTACTCAAACTATGGTTTAAAGAAACGAAAAAGAAAGCGAAAAAAATCGCCTTGTCAAGCGAACGTCGGTTCCCATGAAGTAAACTAACGTCCCGTATTCGTGACCTTATTCGTGATACGTTCGGGGTCGTTCGACGAACATGCTGGCCTATGTTGTCAGATAACGTGTCTTGGCTACATTCGCTAAAGTTTGACGGTAAATTCTAGTTATCCAAGTCGAATATCCTTGAATCGTTATCCCCTTCTAAATGTTGCTGGGCCCGAACAGTTAGAAAAGGAGGCAGGCGCGAAGGGTGCTGCATATTCTAGACATCGCGCAGTTTGCTTCACCGACGATGAACATGGCTCTTTCATACATCAGTGAGAAGTAATAATTGCGGTCTCTCACTAAAATTGTCGTTTTGAGTGGTCGTGATTTCAGTGCATGTATACCATACCCACCAATCCCCTTGATAACTGTACCCTCTGCGGGGCCCAGCGGATGGTTAAATTGCATTACACGTCTGATGTTGCGTAGAAATCGTTCAAACTATACATTGGCTGATCTCTAGCTCACGGGCGCAAAAAAAGGAAAAAAAAACGTAAGGAGAGCATACAGATTAGGCACTTGTGCCTATCTGTATGCAGGGCTGGTGTAGTAATCTAGGAAAACTACGCATGTAGTCAGAAGAAAGAATAAGAACACGTGCAACTAGATCAACATTCGAAGCAAACGAAAAACAAAAAAGCCACAAATGGTCGACAAGATTTTTTTTTTTCGCTACTTCATAGAGCTCGGTATGAGTCGGTGGTTGGAAACAAGTCACGTTGCTGGTGAAGTGTGAAATTTGGACGACGACGTTTCTCCGACAATTGCAGAGGCGGCGCGGTTGGACATACCAAAATTTAAAAAAAAAACCAACAAAGAACGAGGAGAGAGCTGAATACATAGAAAGGAAAAAAAAACATCTTCGCGGTGTTCTGTGACCTTGGCGGCACACACAACTGACGAGTGCTGCTGCGTTCGAGGCAGACATCGTGAAAGCCAAAACTCGTTACGGGGGTTCCCCCGTCGTGATGACGACGCCCACCGCACGAACCAATGACGTGTTCGAAAACGCGTGCAGAGCAAAGACCGTTACGAGAGCCTCGCAGTTTCGAAGAGCGCTTCGTCTGTACTATTATAACACGGTCAATGCACAGGCGAGCTGTCCGCAAACACGTTCCCGGATTCACAGAAGGGTGGTATAAATCGCGCACTCCGGCAGACGTAGCAAAAGAAAGTCTCTCCGGAGAAACAAAAAAATAATCGAGCATTATGTGTCCATCGCCCCCTCTCCTCTTTTTTTTTTATGCAGTAATACAAAAACTCGGAAAAAATTGTCGTCCAAACTTCCGCGTTCGAAAACACGAACTCATCCTCACACTCGAATCTCCCCCTTTTCCCGACGACCTTCTCCATGGATCGCCATTGAGAATATCGTAAACTGCATGCAACTCTTTGACTAGGAGCATGATGTTCCCTCCCACGCGTCTTTGCAAGCTCGTTCCCTTGACGATACAAACGGCCGCTGCAGGGAGAGCCGACCCACCATCTCAGTCGTCGTTCATCCCACATCGTCGTACACTGCTGTCACAACACTTGTTTGCCTGCTCGCTGCAACAACAACAAAAAAAACACAAAAACAAGCACGCGCGGGGCAGGGTCGGGATGCTAGAAGAATGCAACGCGGTTGATACGTACGTATACAGCCGCAGAGCGAAAGCTCTGTAGTCATGCCGCACGACACTACAGGGTAAAGGAAAAGAAAGAACGATGCGCTTGTAAGAAAACAAGCATCGGCGAGTGGCGAATTCACCCTCGTAGATTTATCGGACCGCAGAGTCTTTAATGCAATCTGGTACCATGTAGCAACAAATTTTGTAGCATGCAAAGTAGGCGAAACTATTTCTATGTAGGTCTCTGACTCGGCACCACTCGGTCTCTTGGCTTCAGCCTCCTAGTTCAACGACAGCCGTAGTAGAACCGAAATTTAGTCAGGCCGGCCGCTGCCTGTGACACAGTTACGGTATGAAAGTTCATTCTAAGTAAAAATGAACATACTCACTCGCATGCGCCTGTAGTGTTAGTTTAAGCCGAAGCGCATTCGTAACTTACAGCACCGCTTCCACTCGGTTTGTCAGCCGAGCAGCGGCGGAGTCGTAGATAGGTGCCGAGAAATTACGCCGCGTTTAGGTGTGTTCGCTTACATAGCAAGGCGGGCAGTGCGTGCCCATTTCGCATCCCACGAACTACTCTTCTTTCTTACTCGTCTTCTTAATTTATCGAATAAGGTGAGGAAGGCTGCAGAATGATCGCAAACGTCTAATGCGCGGCATAAAGTAAGTGTTAGCGACAATCACTCATTGACACAAAGTTCACCTTCGTTTTCCATCTCGGAGCAAATGACGGCGGCTTGCAGCTTATGTTACCGCGCATTGTCAGGGGACATACTCGGCTCTCGATTTTGGTTTCCCATGTAGTTACATATCTGAGGCGATCAGAATGCGATTTATGTTTGGAATAAAACTGACAGTGAATGATAAATCGCGTAACTTCAAATCACGTATCCTAATTACAACCTCGTTTTTTGTCCTTCATAAGTCTGCAAGAATAAAAAAAAAGGGGGGGGGGGTGTAAGAAAGACCAAAAACAATGTAAGTGATGGCAAAGCCATTACAAGCTTACGTTCCCAGGGCGTTCTTTCTCAAATTTACGGCGATGTATGCAACAAAGTAGTCGTTTGGGAACAAGCGAGAAACCTTGCGTAGCGACATTATGAGAAAGAGAAAAAAAAATCACCACTAAGCCGCTTCGTCAGCCAGCTTTAAGCAACAACAAATAGTCGCAACGCTTAATCATATGACATCATGCATTGAACAAGCATAACGTTGTGCGTTGAAATGCAGACATGTCCTGTATAACTCAATGCATCGCAAATGAGATAACGTTCCCAGCAAGGACAACGCACTCGCTTTGTATGAAACGTCCTCCTCGCACCTTTAAATACATCTTTCTGGCTTTCCCGCAGCAACAGTATTTCAAAGGCAAAGCAAGCTTTACAGGAAAAAATAGGTTAGACGAATTCGTTTAACTCGTGCTACTGATTCCCACAGAAATGCATTCAGGCAGTCTACGCAAAGCCTATAGACGGTCTTTTTTTATGGCACTTATATATAACGTCTACATGTGAGCGCTTACTCGCCGCTTAATACGTTTTTTTTTTTTTCCTAACAACCTCGAGACTTCCCAGCAACATTCATGGAAGTCCCTCTGCGCCCCTAACGAAACGCTTGTAAAAACAGATGGGTTAAGAGAGTACGTTTCAGGCAGTCTGCAAGATTTACGATGCAGTCTCACTCCACAAAGAGGCGTAGCCAGTCCTGTATGGGCAGTCTAAATTCATTTTTACGAGCGCATGATTCATGTACGAAAGCAATACCGACAGCTTTTTTAAGAGTACAAGGTGCCCTACGCAAAAGTAGGCAGGTGTCCTACAACAGCGAGCATGCGCACGAACAAATCCCGGAGGTCGCGTAGTAACAAACAATCTTAAATACGTCACTCGTACACCACGTGCTGCCGATAAGCGCTTCCGCTGCAGCTTTTTTTTATTACACCATTCAATGCAAGGGTGCACGCGAGAAGATATCTCTTCGCTGTACATAGATGTACATAATCGCCATATACATATAAGATATATATACATATATATAGGCCAGCCAATCACACTTGTATCTGTTGTCGGTGCGCCACTTGTTTGTGCAGGCCCGCCCTGTTTCCCGCGTTAGTTGAACACTGTTTGCAAATTGCGCGTCTTATTACTACTCTCTCGCTATTACGCACGCACGCGCGCACAACACAGCGTTAGTCTTGTGAAACCCATTACCCAATCCAGCGGTTGTCGTCGTAGTACACGGTCGATCCCAACCACCTTTCACACGCCCCCCATAGCCTCCTGATTGCAGCGCACACTTTTCCCGCCACTCCGATGTTATCCTTTTTTTTTCCTCGCTGACGTCGTAAGCAGGGTTAAAAATAACACGACACTTCTTTGGCGTAAGCCGCACCGCAGTATCGTAATCATTCGCGACCTTGCGCACACAAAGTCACGATGAAGGTCAAGAAAGTGTCGACGCACGAAGTGACAGTGGCTCGAATAACTATGTACTCTTTTCTTTTTTTGCTGAATCACCGAGTTGAGTGAGTGATTATCAACATTGAAACAGTCGTTTCACCATCACTGCGACTGGAGGGCGTCGAATAATCAACAGTGTTCACGATCACTGTGTCACAATCTCCACGGTGACTATTCGCGCTACCCTGTGAACCACGAAACGCACATAGACGCCCGCCGAGTGCGAAATGAGTCAGCATATTTAGTCTGCGTCTACCTTAGCGCGCACATAGGCAGTGAATACATGTATTCAGTCTGCATACTGCCCTTGAATCGCTGATACACTGTCGTCAGAAGAGATTTTTACCGGGTCTTACGAATTTTCTTTTCTTTATCCACATTGTCATCCAGAGGATGTCTACATGAGTTATGTGCAACTGTTGTATATTTTCTATTGATTGGCGAAGCGTTTCCTTCGGAGAGGGCAAGAACAATGTTTAAAACGGAGAGTTTGGAAAACGTTCAAAGCCAGACAAAGGCAAAAAAGAAAAAGTACGCGAAACACTTTCGAAATGGTAGGGGTGCTAGTGAAATCCGGCTTTTTTTTTCTTTTTTTTCCTTCTTTAATTTCCAGATCAATTTTTCTCCCATCTATAAGTCGCTTTGTTTCCCCTCCTAAAATTATTTCAACAACGGGCTTCCGCCTTCCCCTGATCTTTCTCTCTATGCTTTCTAGTTAAAACATTAAACACACCGTAGGCCAGTTTGTTTTAAATCGTTAGAATAAACAATCGTTTACCACTTATATTTGGCATAACGTCGAATTCATAACCCAAACAGTATAATAATGAAACCGATAAAATGAGAACCACAGTAGCCGGGTAAACGCTATTATTGATCTGGAACGGAGAGGTTAAACAAACCAACCCACCGTTGTCATGGAATAATCGACATAAATCATGCGAATCACTCCGACGCTGGTTAACAAATCTGTGAACAGAGCAGTTTGCACACTGGTGTTAAGGAGTGGTCTCCGAGATACGGTGCACCGGCCAACGGTCCCGGAGGCCACGTTCTCAAGTAAAGAGCACGCGTGTAAGACTAGTCATACGAGCCACTGTCACCTTCCCTCGCTAACAGCCGCTTCCTGTGATGAAAGTAAAAAAAAAAAAGTATATCGGTATATCGAGTGGCGGCTATTCTTTTTTTTAATGAGCTTCGTAAACGCTTCAGCATGGACCAATAAGTGCGAGCTTCGATCGACCGTATAGACAGATGCGCGAGCGGAAGAAGCGAAGCTCTTGCTTAGAAAAGAAGAGAGAAAAAAAGTCAAGACGAAGACGTACAGCGCGTAACCACACACACGAGCACATCTCAGTACACCCCGGGTTCCGAGAACGAGTCATTATATGTTACGTCTAGTCAGCCAATGTGTGTACGAATACGTATATAGCATATATCTATGTATTACGTGTAACGAATAGGCCTTGTTAACAAGTGACGTTTTATAATTTCTGCGGCGTTTACTTAGAGCGAGGTACTTCTCAAGAAAGGAAACGAGGTAGGCAGAGGAAACAAGGTGCGAGAAAAGGGGAAACAGCGAAAAGTTCCGTTCTCTTGCACTGTACATAGCACATCGAGCACGTCGCCGCACTACACAGCTTTTGAAACACAGCGCTTTGCTTACGTTGCGTGCACTGACAGAAGGGAAGCGCATTCGCGGTAACGGTAGACCAATCACAAGGCTCGATCCGACCTTCCTTAAGGGCGCCGCACAGGAATAGCCGAGAAGTGTACATGTGTGCAGTTACTTGTCCCGCTACTCGCTGCACTATATGTTTGGGGTATAGTGCAGCGAGTTAGAGTGCCGGCACAATACTGCACGTGGAATAGCACAAAGGCCGCCGTCTTATGCAGGCTTACGTCGCGCTATGCACGATCTTTATTTTAAAAGCCTGCTCGTGCTTAGTCAAAAACAAACAAGGGACATTAGCTACAATCAGCAAAGAGGAAACCGGGCGGGGCAATTGCCTGCAAATTATGCAAGGCTAGGTCCGCCGGCTACCTACAACATCCTTCACCTTAACCTTGTCAAAAGCGTACACAGCCTGGCCCACATTTGGCCACTGGCCTGCCGCCCCGACGAGTTCTGTGTGACAGGATGCGGTAGGTGAGCATTTAATGCGCGAAAAGTACGAGAAAATATATCAATCGCACTTGTGGTCAGCAAGAAATCTTCTAAAGAAAATGCGACAGCTTGCAAGGGGAACCCGAAAGTTCTCATAAACTAACGTTGTTGGCGCCACCAATCTGAATAATCACTCCTCCCGCGGCAGAGGGGAAGAAGCGAGCAGCCTTAGCTTACCCAGCTGCGCTAGCCAGTAAGGCTGCGATTGTTAAAGCGTTTTCCTCGTGCGATTTCCGTCTCGCGAAGTCGCGCGAACGTAATCGATGTGTATGATTAAAGCTACATTTCAGTTCTAGCTATTTATAAATATTTTTAAAAAATATGAGCGCCAGAATAGCGGTTTCCGCTACGTATTCGTCGTGGTGCCAGGAAAGACCGCGGCTTCGACATCACGTGACTAACCCATAGTTTCGAAATACGCGGTACGGCACCGCACTGCGGCTCCCTTTCGCGCATGCAGTACACCGCATTCGCACGTCTGAACACCAAACGCACGTCTTCGCAATCTGCAACCGCGGGCAGAAGCACTCTGTATAGCATCGTTTGAAATCACCATTAGAGAAAAAACAATCACATCATCGCGCTGCTCATCGCCATCTTCACACGTGAAGCCACGCTGCACGGCACAAAAAATTACGTACAAAAAAAATCCGAAAAAAAAAGAGCTATTAATGCAGGTCGCATTTTGAATGAGCATTAGCTGTCACAGTTAGCGAGCACAAAGCCCACGGCAGTTGAATAGGTCGCAGAGGCCTCAACGAACACTGACAACAGCAAGGATGTGCTGTCTCTAACACTTACAGAACGAGTGGTTCCCATCTTAACACACCCACACCATAGGCCTCTGACGTTTATCGACGCGATACTCTTGTGAACCGGTTCGAATCCACAGGAGTGCCGCTGAAGCATTTGCGCTTCGATCTGATATTCAGCTGAGAATGATGGTGCTGGCACACTTTGAGGAATCCACAACAAAGCAGGCGCACAAGCTGGCCTAGACGAGCGAGAAATTACATGAGCGCCGTTATCTTCACTCGTCCCTTAGTCCAAGTCTTTCGCTGTATAACGCAAATTCCTCGTAAACCTGTCAACGAGACAGAAGGCTGCTTACGAAATCGGAGATCATCGACGTCAAATATATATATAAAAAACAAAAAGAGGCAGCATATCCAAAACAATTCGTTATGAGATAAAACGACGTAAAACGCGACCCACCACGTATAGGCTCCCGTTTAACGTAATACCGGACAAAATGAATTGTGACTGCGTAATATTTGGCAGCAAAATGCTTGTGACGACCTCATACTCGCACGGCTTTTTTGGCCTCCTGGGTTTGAAGGTGTGCGCTTCAGGTTCGCAATGCGAGTCTGAAAGATCGAGCATCAATTAGTTCGCGGCGCGTAATGATCCGGATCAGATATAAGTGCGCACGCTTCTGCGCTTAACGCTGCTGAGCAGCCTCAAGCCAGATATAGCCAAAACTAGCCGACGCGCTTCTTTCTACATCTTATATATAGGCTCGTAAACGAAACACAAACTATACAAAAAAAGGAAGAGACTATGTGAGTAAGCCACACATCTACACTTCGGGAAAATAACATCACGTGTCGGACACCAAGTAGTATCATTCCCATTTCTCCCTTTTCCCGTGAAGATTTCGACCAATGAACGTTCCCGGCGTCTGCCGAAGAGTGAGTTCGTGCCACTTAAGACCTGGCTCCGGCCGCGGTGTACAGACCTGAACATCCTGAAAGGCCACAGGCACGGCGATGTGGCGACGCTACAAACGAATCGCGATGCACGATTTTACCCCCCAGATGCCCGGCAAAAAAAAAAGCCGGCGATCTCGGAGGCCGGTGCAGTGTAAACAGGTGCAGAGCGAAGGTCGCATCGTCTGGCCGGTCCAGGATTGCCGCTCCGACCAGGGAATTTGGTGCCGAACGAGCTGATGACCAAAGGGTTTTCAAAGTACGTACGAGGTACGTAAAACCAGCACCTGCCCTTACCCAGTTCCCTCAACCCGCGGCATCAAACAGGTACCGACGACGACACAATGAACAGGAACAACACACTCCCGACCACCACTGATTTCGATCGCGTGGTAATCCTTCCCGAACGCAGAAACTCCCTTTCATGAGCGTCCTCCGCCGTTCCCTTCCTTCAGACTTCTATAGAGACAAACGAGATAGGCGTGTGTGCGTACGCGTCAAACGCGAATGCTCTGAACATTGAAAAAAAAAGGGGGACGACGAACTGTTGCGGGCGTCTCTATGTTGCGCGCTTCCGAAAGCAATACTGAGAGAGGCAGAGAAAAGGCGGCTTGTTAAAGCGTACCTTTTCTGAACACCACGGAAGCGAGTCGTTGCTTCGCTGCTGTGAACTTAAAGTATACATACATATATTGCTTCTGCGCGGTCGACACGAGATACGGGGGGGACTGCGACATAGTACACACTGGTGCGGATGCATACACACGAATGATGCGTGTGCCCAGGGTTTTGTGCACAAACGAAAAGAAAAAAAAAGAACGAGTGAAACGGTTCTTGTACCCTGCAAGACTCAGAGACTGTGATCACGGCCACGCAAAAATTAATAAAAAAAGTGGCAGTGTGTGTATGTGTGTGTGTGGCGCGCGCGCTCTACAAAAACAAAAACTTCCGAGAAAGAGAGAGGGGGGGAGAGAGAGCCGTCAACGCGGCTCCGTCGAGTGTAAATAGCAAACAATAGCAATATGCAACACGGAAACCCATAACTAAGTTTTAGCCAAGAAAAAAAAACACTACTACTACCTAGGAATTACGAGAAAGCTATAGTGTTAGCAGCGTGGGAATAAAAAAAAAAATAACAGTGCTCCTTTATCTAAAACCATAGAGAATCAAGTTACACCGCTTGAAATTGTACCTTATTTTTGTATAGTGACATAAAAAATCATATAAAGGCGAACGCAGTTGCTCGAGCGCAATCAACTTGCAAGCGTTATACTGCGCTCATTTTGTTCCAAGTATCGTTTCCGTTACATTACTTATGTTGTGTCATATACTGCTGCATTTCTTGACGTCATTGCATACGTGTGTAGGCTGTTGGCAATAAAGTTACGCGCGACTTGTTGCTGGTTTGACAACGTTGGCGAAGTATCCATTTCTGCGGGTCGTTCCTTCACCTTTTTTTTTTTATCTCTCTCTTTGTCCGTTCTTTCGTCACGTTTTCTTCCTTACCCTCTCGGCTGTACTGGTCTTGTTTGGTGCAATTCACGTAAGCCACGAACCTTAATTACGCGCGTGGTGTTGGGCGGAGCGATGGCGTTTATAGCATAGGTGCGATCGAGCATTGTTGGGCGATTCCACAGTGAGCATATGTCGACCTGATTTGTTTGTTCGTTCATGTGAGATTTCCTATTAAAGCGTTTTGTAGAAGCTGTTGTTGCCCTCTATTTGAATGCGGCCATCGGCTGCACCCACAAGAGTGCGCCACTGGTGCCGCACCAACAACGCACGTTTCTCTTCGGTGACACACCTACACCCGTATACACGATGCCTTTTTTTTTATCACTCAAATATTTGTGTATTTACGATCACGAGAAACCTATCTTATCACTCCTACATTTACGTATTTATATTGAACGTATCTTGTGATGATAGTGGTCATATGCGAGTGCGGCGTTGCTCTTTATGGGGGAAGCGAATGCAGCGCCCCCCTCCCTATTATGTCAATGTATGGGGCTGGTTTTTCGCCCCCTTCGTACATGACTCTTACACCGTTCTTACAACGCCTGCGGTTGTGGTGCTGCTTACCTACGCCAACTACGCTGATGGTGCTTTATCTTACAGCTTCGCTGTACATCAAAGTTCCCGGAGTAAAATGCACGTAGACTTCTTTTTTTTTAACTGACCTTCTACAACGAAATCTTAGGCCACAACCACGACAGGATGGAAACATACGGGAGCGTATACTGAAAATATACCAACATCGTAAGTGGACCATCCTGCGTGATCTTGAACATGACAATGTGCCATAGGAAGAGTGCCTCCTCCCTTTCGACGTCAGTGTCAAGTCTCCAAATTATTTCTTTTAAATATCCCCGGCTGTATACGCTATCGGCTGACGGAACCAACATAACGCAGCAGATGCTGTGCAAATAATATGTAACAAAGCGAGCAGCCACACCGCTATAACTGCGCCCAAGGTGGAACAAGAAGGCGACGTGTGCAGGTAAGCGCTTGTGATGGCTGGGAAAAGACTGATTTCGGTCACCGACGCAGCTTTGTTGGGAGGACGAGGAAGGCGAGTGAAAGAAGAGAAAAGAGAGGTTATTTCCTCGAGAAACGAGTAGTTTATCGCATTCTTCTGCAATTTTTCACGTTTTTTTCAAAGGAACATTATTATTGTTCCTATCTAATTTCTCTTTATTTTTTTTTAGCAAGCGTTGTAAAAAATGATCTATTATGAGGTACAGTGTGGCCAATCCCCCATGTGGGTATGAGCCAAGATCTCCTAGGAGACAAGACAAGACAAGAGTAGCCAATACGCCGACCACCCGGTCGGGGTACCTTTCGCCCGTGGGGGATACCAAAGGGAGGGGAGGGGGTTAAGCTCCCGCCCTCCCAATCTTTTTTTTTTTTTTCGATTTTGATTGCATATATATACGCGCACACATGAAAACGCAAGCAGGAACATACATAAAGTACGGTTAACCCCCCCCCCCCCCCCACACACACACACACACACAAATTTCTGGTCACGCTCCTGCTCTCGTCCGTTCAGCACGTATACGGATCGAATCCAGTATGCCATCTTAGCATTGAAGGCAGACGCTCCAAATTGCCGCCACTACGGTTGAGGCGCATGCTTCCCATCACGCATGAGCGAACAAATTTTCGTTTCCAGGAAGAAACATCGGGCACTTTTCTCTATAAGACGTTCATGTATTATTTCCGCTGGTTATTTGTGCCTGTTCATGTTATACCACCTCTTTTTTTTTCTTCCTTCCTCATAGAAAATACTGCAGTTATACAAAACAGACGTCGTGTTTTTTTTTTTTTGTCTATTACGAAAGTGTGGTGTATCCTTGCGATATATTCAGGAATATGTTTTTGCGCGATCTTCAATGACGAAAACGGCTCGCACTGGGTATAATTCTGAAAGGCATCAGGGAGAAAGGTGAAGGAGAAGGCATTCTTGTGAGGGCTGTCGTGTGGTTTCCGATCAGCACTCTCACTTTCACGAAAAAAAAAACATATATAAACCAGCAGTGTGTGTAAGAAAGATTGTTACGCAGACCGCATTAACGAGCAAAAACTATCCTCGAAATCATTTGTTTCACTTACGCCCTTGCGGGGTCGGACCACCACGTGACCACAGCAACAAAGATACGGTACTGGCCGATAACGTTTCTTCTGTGCCGCAGGTTTGCCTGCGTAGTCTGCACCAAATGCACGTATGCTCTGATTTGATTGATTGATTGATTGATTGATTGATTGATTGATTGATTGATTGATTTATTGATATGTGGGGTTTAACGTCCCAAAACGTATGCTCTGCCGCATGGCGATCACACGTTGGAACGACGCGTTTCGTTTCACTCGTGTGACTCGACACTCTGCGAAGTTTTCATTCCTCCATCAGTCAAATTATTAGGGTTTTATACCTCCCGAAACGACAATGATTACGAAGGACGCCGTAGTGGAGAGCTACGGAAATTCCGACCCTTCTGGGGGTTCTGTAACGCGCACCTAATTCTAAGCACGCGGGCGCATATCGCCTCCGTCGAAATGTGGCTACCGCGGCCGGAATTCGATCCTGCGACATTCGGGTTAGCGGAGCCCCGTTGTTACCCCTAAACCACCACGGCGGGTTTACGATATGAACGTCAGGCCAATGAATATTTATTTATTTACAACATACTGCGCTCTTGAAAAGACCAAGCAGGAGAGGCACAAAAATTAAGTAGAAAACACACGTAAGCGTGATAGATGAATGATGCGCACAAAATACAGAAGATAAGTACATTATATAGAGATATATAGATGAGCTTAAACACAGGTTAATACGACCTTCAGAACAACGGAGATGGGTATATCTCGCTATTATACATTCACAATTGCGGTAATAGATCTGTTAGAAACAAGCAGCTTCGACGGAAGTGAGCGTAATTCGTCTACTGCAGACAGCATGCAGTCGCAGCATCAGTGGCAATGTGAGCCGCGGAATGCTGTCACGTCGAGCTTGCAAGCGTACGACACACAAAAATCGCATGTAATGTTTCAACTAGCATCCTTGCACACGTCCCTAACTTCGCGCGCACCGTGGGAGCATAGCGGAGAGGAAAATGTGTCTCAATGACTCTGTCGTTCCTATGAGAATTTAAATGGGTCACTGCTTTAATGCCAAGATCATTTATCAGGACCCATTGACGTTCAGTAGATCACAAATTATGTATATATAGTTCATTTATTTGTTATTCATACAGTATTTTGTTCGAAGAACTGCTGGGAGTGTCCAAAAACTAGTGGTGTATGTATGTATGTATGTATGTATGTATGTATGTATGTATGTATGTATGTATGTATGTATGTATGTATGTATGATTTTATTGATGATTGATTGATTTGTGGGGTTTAACGTCACAAAACCACGATGTGATTATGAGCGACGCCGTAGTGGAGGGCTCCGGAAATTTCGACCACCTGGGGTTGTTTAATGTGCACCCAAATCTGAGCACACGGACCTACAACATTTCCGCCTCCATCAGAAATGCAGCCGCCGCCGGCGGGATTCGATCCCGCGACCTACGGGTCAGCAGCCGAGTACTTTAGCCACTAGACCACCGCGGCGGGGCTGTATGTATGTATGTATGTATGTATGTATGTATGTATGTATGTATGTATGTATGTATGTATGTATGTATGTGCGTACGTATGTATGTATGTATGTATGTATGTATGTATGTATGTATCTATGTATGTGTGTATGCATGTATGTATGTATGTATGTATGTATGTATGTGTGTATGCATGTATGTGCGTACGTATGTATGTATGTATGTATGTATGTATGTATCTGTGTATGTGTGTATGCATGTATGTATGTATGTATGTATGTATGTATGTATGTATGTATGTATGTATGTATGTATGTATGTACTTTAAATCGAGATCTCATTTTTCGGCTGTGAGTGTGTTCTTCACGCAGCTTCCGCAAACTAGTCAATCGCAATCGAGAAATTCAATCTGATCCGGATTGGGACTGTCGATAGTTAACAGACGCCATCGCGCGGAAGCGTGGAACTTAAAAGGACGCTTTTAAAGGACGCATTGGCGTTTGGGCTTCTGTCCCGGAATACAGTCATTGTACAGCTGATCGCATTATCTTCAGAAGATGACGTAATGCCGAAGACCAATTCGTCACTAATTTACAGATTAGTGCCTTGACGTTAACCTTCCCACCTAAATGTCTGCAACACGCGGGCCAGAGCAACAGTCGTAACATTGCGCTGCAGATATCCATCCTGGAAATATTACAGTTCCTGGATGTCACATACAACTGTGCAGTCACCACTATGACCAATTATTAGTCTTCTTAGTGTATATGTTTATTTTACTCTACTGTGCAATATTATAAGGGCGGAAAAAGAGTATGTGTTCGTGGGCGTTTTGAGTAGGGTACAAAGGGGGCAGCTGCTCCCTCTTTGAATTTCGGATACTTCTGTGCAGTAGCTATAAGCTTACACAGCTCTGTAGCAGACTAAAGTCCTGGCTTTCAGGATTGCCACTCGATTTCGCACGTTGCACACTATCTACTTATTTACTTGTCGTATCACAGAGAAAGAAAAGTTGCCAGGGGCAGGCTGACATGAAATATAGAAGCCTCCCAGAATTGAGTGCAGTAGAAAAAAAAAAAGAGAGAGAAGTCGCCATGTGCAGGGACCGCGCCGTTAAAACACATCGATGACAAAAACAGAATCGATTCGACGGCAATGTGTGGTGAATGCATGCAGTCAGGCGTTTTGGGTGTCTTTCTACTTTCGTGATTGTGGGGCTTGATTCTTAGAGAAATAAGAATATTTGAATTTTCTTATTTTGCCGCCATTTGTTATCCAAGTTTTCGGGTGATTCAACAAAATCTCGCGATTCCGCGAGGTTAGTATTGGGCTGAGACTAATTAATTGTATTAGTTGAATGCTATTAGGAGTAGTTTCAACAGTTATATTCCGATGTTCACCCCTGAACTTTTCTCAGCAAGGAGACTCACTTACCTTTCAGGGTTCGGCATCGAAATATGTCCAGAAAACGCAACAGAGCGTGCTACGCTGGTCATGGTAACAAAATACGTCAAGAAAATGCGACAGATGTATAACGTATGTACAGCGGCGTTCAAAATTTTGCGGACCACGGGAGCGCGTGTCAAACTAAGGCCCCTGTATAAAAAATACAGGGGCCTTATGTCAACCAGCACCGGGGCGCCGTCTGACGGCTGCCTGCAAAGCTAGAGAGAGCGCACTGCGCACGCGCGTCCTTTTTTTCGTGTCAGCCTGCTTGTTTCGTCTCTTCAACAGCGCGCGCACCGGAACGCCAGAAGAAGCGCGAGATGTCACTTCTGGCACCGCGGAAACACCGAGCGATGATATTTAGAGGACAAGAAGTAACTCGTACTGGTAGTGCTCGGTGGTACGCGCCGCATTCTGCGCTTTAGTCCCCCGACACTTCCGCAGAACACCACGCGAAATTCCAGCAGACATGTCTTTCACGAATCAAATCTGTTCAGTACCCTTATCATTAGGGCCTATTTTCGAAAAAACTGACACCGCATGCATGTTTTTGTTGTCGCGGAGCGTCTGCAGGACTAATGCGCAGAATGCGGCGCGCACCAAGCATCGTCAGTACAAGTTACGTGTTTTCGTCTCGATATAATCACTTGGTGTTCCCGTGGCGACAGCAAGAGTGACACTTGAGCTGCTTCTGGCACTCGGGTGCGCCTGCTGTTGAGCAGAGCCAACGCCTCCTCTAGAAGATGCCTGCCGCATGAGAAGAAAAACAGCTGCCACACCCTTTCTCTCCTTCATTTTAGAATGTTCTCGGTCGCTAGCGTCACCTGTGGCGGACAGTGCAACAACGCAACACTTTGCATAGCCTCCGAAACAGTGGTGCACAGTTGCAGGTCTCGAACAACTCTCGACTGACGCGCCCATATGGGCCGCAGATAAAAAACGCTTAGCTGGTACCGCCCGCCGCCGTGATGATAGTGTCGGTCACGAGCGCCGCCGCGCGGAGCTTGTTTAAGACTTAAGGCAGGCCAACTCCGCTAGGAGCGCGAGCCATTCCTCAGGTATCTTTCTAAAGGAGGCGTTGGCAGAGCGATAGAGCAGGCTGGCAGGAAAGAAAGGGCGCGCATGCGCTCTCGAGCTTCGCAGGAAACCGTCGGACTGCGCCGCTGTGCTGCTTGACATAGTTACTTTATACGCTACCTAAAGGTAGAATATACAGTAACTCTAGCTTGACATAAAGCCCCTATACTTCGTAAGTATAGGGGATACAAGTGCTGCTCATTTGACATAGACAGCAAGTGCTGGCCACGAATCTGTCTCTCCCTGGTGCGATTAACTGCAAGATTCATCCCATTTGCCCTTTCCTAAACGCGCATCGTTCATACTCATAGGCGTGCGCAGGAGTGGACGAAGCTTCACGGCGGCGTTCCCATTCCCTTTTTGCAAACTCCTCCGAGAGTCCTTACTATCAGTAAATTATGCCAACACGAGGTACTCGGGAGGAAGGCGCCCCTGTTAGGTATTATAGGAGAGCCCCCCCCCCCCTTTTTTTTTTCTGCGCGCACGCCTATTGTCATACTGTCATTCTTGGTGCGAGTGACGTACCTGTCAGCATGACACTGGCCCGGTGTTCTGGCCGGCAATGGGCACAGAGTGGTGGAATAATTCACAGAAAGCAACAGCTCGTCACAGTCCAAGTGAGCGACCGTTTTTTATTGATCGCTAAAACCATTCGTAAAGAAATCGTCGCGAATTTCACAGGCTCCTCCTCTTCGAAATGAGACAAGCAACGCTCCCAGATTGAGTCGATAAGGTGAGACACAGCTTCGTCATACACAGCACACTGTACGCAGTTCATCACGTGCGGCGAAGCGGCAATCTACAATGCCCAGCAACTGGCGCATGCGCGTTTGATTATTCTACAGAAAAGAAGGAACCCGACACACAATACACTCGGTTCACCCCGATCAACTGTTCGTGCACTACCACGGTGGGGTAACCTACACAAATCACGCGCAGAAGCGGCGAGGCGCGGACGTACTAAGTCTGCGGGCGTGCCGTACTATTACGGCACAACCGGGGCCGTGCCACTATACCGCATGCCGACCTTCTTTTACGGGCAACCACACAGTGCCCGTATAGTTAACAGAGTTTCTGCTGCGCAACAAGGTCTACAGCTCCACTACCGCGCGGTGCTTAAATAGGACTCGAATTTCTACATTACAACTTTGTCAGCATGCACTGTTGGTCCCTGGAGCTCCGTCTTTAGAAACAAGAAAGAAATGTTCAGTTTCCAAATATTTCACTCGTTTTGTCTTCATTGTTGCTTTCGACTACTGTTAGCCAAACCGACATAAGTCAACGCGTGTTTCTTTTGAGGAAGATAAAGGGAAAAAAAACAATACATTTCGCACTACACCAGATGCAGACTTCGAACGTGGTGCTGTCGCAGACCGCATTACTGACATCAGAATGTGCTGCACAGATTTGCTTCAAAATAAACAAGCAACGATTTGCAAGACAGGTTTCTTCACTCGTTCCATGTAGAAACATTTAAATGCAGTTCGCTCGTCATTTCGAATACGACCAGTAAAAATCAACTGCTACCGGCTGAAAATTGCACAATAGTCCACTTAAGCGTATTTCTACCATGGGTGAAGAGACATTAGTAGTAAACCTAAGCAGAAGCAAAACTAAAGTGCAAACAAATGCTTTGTTGAAAAAAAATGTTTAGTAGCTAGGTTGAACATCTTTAAGTCGCAGTATCTCACGCATTGTAGAATTATTTGCCCGAATATTAAGAGATCGCATACAAATATACAGCAAGACTGTAACCAGAAAACATTACAGCAACACAAATTAACAATGCATAACACAGTTGTGTCTGTTGATTTCATACAGCAGTCCTTACTACGAATGGCAATCCGTTATCCATAAGCACACCTACCTCCAAATACGCTGATGTCAGCACGGATGCACATGCACGACTAAAACGTCACTTCTAACAGATTGTTGTCGCTACCAGAGTCGTCACCAGCTTTGTGCTTGTTCTCTCACACATTGACAGGGGCTGCGCCCCTATTATGCTTAAAGATGCAAGATTAACCGTATGAGTACAGTGTCATGACAAGTCCTTAAGCTAACATGATATAAAGCGACTGGGACACTGAAAATAACGTGTCAACACAATGAATTCACGTTGCAGTAATTGTCTTTGCAATATCTCTGCCGTTATCTACGTTATCTATGGTTGCATTCAATAACCCACGCTATCAGCCCCAAAGAGTCTCGCTTTCCTGCGTGGCTTGGCGACCTTGACTATGAGCTTGTCAAAGACAGAAGAGTCTACATGGAAAAGTCGCACGCTGTATTTAGCGAATGTTTCTAAATGTAAAGCAAGATGGTTATCTTGAAACAAGAACTGTCGCACTGAATTCGTGCAAATACAGAAGTTACACATATATATGAAGTTACTAATTAGTTACTTCAATCGTTCCATTCTACTGTGACTTTTGCATCGATTCATTTCAAGCATGAGAGAAAGAAAATTATATCAAAATAGAGCTGCTTCGGAAGTGAACATGAGGTGGTGGTCACTGAAGTTCATACATATTTCTAAAAAAGTTCATACATACATTTAAAGAGCTACAGATCTTAGTGACAGGTATATGTGTATATTGTTGCATTTAGAGAGATTTCAGCCTGACCATTCTAAGAGAATGTTGCAGGAAAGTTTAAGATGCTTGAAGCCAATTAATTTAATATCCTGAGTTCATTGTTTTGTTAATACAGTGATATCAACTGAATCCTGTATAGCAACAGTCCTGAAAACATCAATGTCAGCACAATGACTGTGCCGCACCATTAATGAAAGTCCTGCAAGATGCAGTATGTTCACGTTTGCAACTCATAACCCTCCATCACACATCTAGACTTCTTTCTGCAGAGCACGTCTCAGAAATAAACTCAAGCGAGCAACAAATCGAATATTGAAAAACAATTGGTATTCTCATTTTCATCCATGTGTTTCATCTTTTGAGCCTCACTTGTACTAAAGACAGTGACAGTTGAAGACGACATATGCTAATGATTAAAAGGAATGTTCTTGCTACGCCACAGCATCCACCGTACATGGTCTGACATCATGGCAACAATAGGACAATGGTCCATTGAATCACCTGGCCATCAACCTATAGGGCATAATTCAAACACATGTGCTGCCTCCTATGGGAAGAAGTAAATTATAATGGGTACCAAGTGCATAAAGCAAAGAAGCGGGTATAATACCGCAGATATCAAGAAGTTCATGCCTATTTTATCGCCCATGGGTAACGGCATTGATTCTATTGTTCAGTTCTACAATCAAAAGAATGCACTCTCGCAAGAATTATGCTTGGTTTCACCATAGAGTTAATGTTTAAATTTCCATGTTAAGTACTTCAGATCTAATGAAAAAAATAAAGAATAATGGTCTAGCGAAGCTTTTCCCTTAAACAGCACTGTTGAAACGAATTAAAAGGCACATAAAAGCTTTCAAACAATGTACAAGACAGAGGACAGCATCAACTAAGAACACTGGCAGTGCAGTCTTAAGAAATGCATGAACAACATGGGCTTCTATTGGCAAAGGAGCTCAACATGCTTTGTTCTCCCCATACAGTGGCACAATGAAAACATGCACATAGTGTAAAGTCTACGGAGGTACATCAAGAGCAGTAGTCCTCAATTGCACACAGAAGCAACCTTCGGATATGTATTCTTGCTTACAGCAGAACTAACATTTAATATTGCTTTCAAGTGCAGCTCCTTCCATAAAAAGTGAAGAACGTTAGTTATCTAGCAAATGAGCAGCCAACTCCAGGAGTGACTCTAAAGAGAGGAGGGACCCCCAACCCCTTATTGCCCCTCTCACACCAATGCTAAGTAATTAAATGCCTTCATATACTGTCTTGCCTCTCTCCAATGAAATATTCTGGTGCCATCTTTAGTTTATTTCACTGCCAAAGGTTAACCTAATCAAGTGATTCTAGACAGACATCCAAGATGAAAGAAACCATCGTGAGGGCGCGACTAAACACAACACACAGGAAGAGACAGACAAGGACAAGCTCTTCCTGTGTGTTATGTTTAGTTGTGCCCTCACAATGCTGTCTATGTCAAAGCACCAACTTGTCCGACAGTCAACTATTTCCAAGATGAATGGTTTACGAGAGATAAACACGGAAGTATTTTAACACCAAAGCATTCTTGACACCAAAAATCTCAATTACTCCTTCCTTACCAAGGCAGGCAGAGGTTGCAGGAAGCAAGCAAAAATGAAGCTAGATGATTATTCAAATTTTCTTCATTATATGTCACCAGTTGTAGGCACCAAACTGAATGCTCATTTGAAAATATTAGTGGCATGTATATAAAGAATTAAAATTTACAACTGATCAACCTGGTGACAGTGTAAACAAGGTGACAACTAAGGACACTTCCTCATACAGCAGAAGTGCTTTGAAAAGGTGCAAATATTGAGTCGAAGAAAACTTCAGATAAACTATTCTATTCCAACGACAGTGCCACACCTTAGTGCAACTTTCAAGCCACAGTCCTTAACGTGCAGTTATAACGTGGTGCTTATGAATACCACAAGTGACCACATGCTATCTGTACTGATAGGGGCTTACTTTATCTTCCCAGCACTCTGAATCATGTATGAATTAAAAAACCTTCAGCATGTTCCTGATTTTCTTTTTCCAGAGATAAATATTGAGCTGGCCCATTGAAACCATACCTTGGAACCATGTGCAAGGAATAGCTCTGTATAACTATCATGCCAAGTAAGAGGCTGCAAACAAGGTGATGTGTTGATAAGAAGTGTTTGTGATATCTAACAGGTCAACCATAAAGCAATATACTATAAATTACATTCTCTAGCAAACAATGGCTGTTTGCTTTTCACAACTCGCATAACCAAGCACACTCTCAAAAACTATTCAAGCTTACATAATGTAACCTGAATAAGTTAACCAGATAAGTTATTTAGGAAAAACCTGCATGATTAATTAGTCTTGCTAAAAAGACAAAACGATGTTTAAGAATAGAGATAACATACACGAGGGCACAACATGTGCAGATTCATTATGCTTTTGCTAGGTCAATAATTTACTTGATATTGCAAAGCATAAGGTCTGTTCCCTAAAGTCAAATTATAAAAGCACGACACCACTTTTGTGTTACTACAAGGCTACTTATGGCGGTTCATAAAAAGCCTGCGTAGGAGAGTATGCAAAGTAACCATCAACTGATAATTAAAAAAGAAGACAGGCCAACAACCCATAGACGTACAAAAGATATATAGTAAGTACGCTCAATTAGAAGTTGTTACAAGGTTTGCTTTCGAAGGTTATGTAAAGCTATATGCAATAATCACCAATACAGATATTATGCCAACATTGCGAGCCTTAGATACCTAACCACTAGCCCTAACGTGACACCTCATTTCATTGAAGCCTGAAGTACTCAACATCACGAGATGTCTGTAACAGAGACCAAGTGGTGGATTAGCCAGCGACACTTGGGGTGGTCATAATGCACATGCACTCAGGAATTTTGAGTGGTGTCCACATGAGCAACAGGCCCGCTAGGCCACAAAATTGTTCTCGGTGCTCCCCGAGTAGTACACTCGCCTTCAAAGTCATGTGTTAACCCTAACATGTGCGTGCCTGCTTCGAGGCGGCCACAATTGTACCTGTGCACTACTATCTTTCTTTTTCTTTAATATAAGCATCCCCAGGTAACAGCAGACCATCATGTCAGCTCCTGCAGAGCTTCACATATGTCATGAAAGCACTGCACAAGTGTAAATGAGGGAATAAAATTTAGTTACAAATCAAATAAGTTACCTTCTTTGAAGTGAGTTCCAAAATATGTTAATACAGGTTTTCAATATACCAATGAAATGCCATGGCATGTGCTTAGAAGAACAGCTGATAAACATAACTGTTTAAAACACCATGCTGAGCTGCCAGGTTGACCACTGACTATTACTACAGTGTTAGGAGTTTGAGAATTTTCATTTTTGTTCCTACTCACAAAGTGTAATCAACAGACTAAACAAAGAATACAAATGAATTGAACACGACTTTTAGCTCTTGAGAGTTGATAAGTTAAAACAGTAACAATTATTCCCTTTTTTTTCCCCTCAAAATAAAGCACTCAGCAGATGGAAAAAAAATAATGGGCATGCTTGAGGGCTGTAAAGTACAATCCTTAAACTATCAATGGCTTCATCGGCATTCCAGCTATGTGATCAAACAAGCACTCATTTCTTTTTTGCCGTAATTGCTAATAAAATGTAGGCAGGCATCTTGCTCGTGAAATAGAGGCAAGACCTCAAAAGTGGATATCACAAATGTATCTGTGTTGATTCCACTGCCACAAAGAGAACAAGATCAAAAATTCAGAGACCAGCTCATTTATAGAACCAGGAATGCTACAGTCTGGCAATTTCACAAAATAAGACCAAGAAATACATTTGAACTATGCCACTGTTAAGATATAACCAATTTCCCAAAAGCCGTTCATATTCGTATCACTATGTTCAAGTGTATTAACGCTGTTTTTGATCTTTTTTTCCAAATTTTTGATGCTATACAAAAAAGCAGATCGCGTAACAAGATACTAATACAAATAAATATGATTCTTAGAAGACACTAGCATTTATATAGATGTGCAGCACATGCTACTGGCAATTTATTGCATCCGGGATCGTTTAGAAGCATGCACCAGTCCGAATGAACAATGCAGACAAGCAACACTTTGCATGGAACAAAAGACCGTTACCCTAATGGAAAGACAACATTTCGGCAAGAGGTCATCTACGTAGTTGCTTTCAGCCTCGCACATCATAGGAATCGGCTTTCTTCTCTAACAGCAGCCAAACACATTATGCTTCAAGCCTGGTCACATAACGTGCAGCCGAGTTCCACAACAGCGTTCAAGTGTTCCCTGGCATAAACTTTGAAACATTTAAACCAGCCTGCCACACTGTCTCAGAAAAATTTCTAACACGAGAACAATGTGAGGAAAGAAACAACCTGCAAAACAGAGGCCTTTCTTTTTTTTTTTTTCTTTAAATGCTATGCCTGTACTCTGGCTAAGGTATAAAGCCAACACTACCTACAGAGTAGTTCAAATGCATTACATGTGGAGCTGCAGTGCACATGCACAGCTATCTTGCTGTGTGGCAACACTAAAGATTGCTGCAGGAGTAACAGTGTTTGTTAGATATAAGGGCTAGCAGTGTAGAGTTATATGCGCAAGCTACACAATAAGAAGCACTTGGGTCAATGCTTCAATCATGACTCAAAAACAGCTTAGCCCAGAGTTGCACAGAGAGCGAATGAATTCATTCGTAAGTAAGGCACATATATTTCTTCACACATAGGGTGACAACACTGTGTTAATGATACTAGAAATATATCCTCACTCGGAGGTAACAAGAAAGAATGCACGTATGACGAAACACAGGCAGTTGACATAGCTTTCACAGAGGCAGCATCTCCCAAGCCTCTTCTGAAAAAGACTAGTACTCAAGTATAGCGTGCGATTAGGACAAAAGCGTGTTCACACACATATGAAAGCATGCATGCACACGTAAGGTTGACCAACTGCGAAAGCACCACAGCCACCTAGGCAACTCGCTATTGCATTTCCCACATCATCACACTGAGCATGCTTTCTTTAAAAGCTCAGTGCAACATTATGAAACATGCTAAGAAAGTTTAATGAAGGAACTGACAAACGAAATGCGGAATCGCTTGGTCGCTCGTCTAAGCACATGCAAAGTGAATGTTTCACTGCACAACCAAGAATTGGGGTAATATCGCTTAAATGGTATCACCAAAAGTGAAAAAAAAAAAAAAAACTTGTCATGAGCTGTGTATACAAAAGCATTGCAATGGGACACATTCTGTAGAATGTATGACAAATATTTTGTTGTGGCTGACCACAACAAGATGCACAATTCAACAAGACATACAACACAAGCGAGAAAGATGGATGAAGTATCACTCCCTATGCAATATCACACATACATTATGACAAATGTGATGGCATTCCTTTGCTCAGCCTCCACTGAATACAGCTTGGTGTATGCTAAAGTGGAACAAATATTGCCTTATGAAAATGAACCTCAGAAAGTGGATAAAAAGAGAATGTTTTAGTTACGTCCTAAAGATGAAAACATGCTGGACACACAATGTGATGTGAGTGATGTTACTAGTTGAGAGAACACTGAGAAGACAGACAATACAAAGTCTCCTAGGGACATTGAGCCAACATGATCAATAGCAACTCAATATACCTTGATGGTAGGTATACCTACAGTGTGCGTGCATTCACTGTTTTTTTTAGAATGAGTTGAGTGTTGGATGGCAGAGTCAAATCGAAAAAATTCAGTAGCAGAAAAAAGTTGGTGACAGTGGAAAAATTCTGAAATGCTATCATTTCGAGGAGCTGGCTGTGAGCACTCGGGATTAGCTTCCACATTCAAAATTATATCACAGACTCTCGCAATGAGACCAAACCACCAGCAGCCGAAAGGCACCAGAAAAACAAAAGGAAAGACAACACAACAGAATCAGTGCCCGCAAGAGCTTATGACTAAAACAAGACATTGTTTACGTACTTTGAACAGTATTTCCACTGAGCGAGCACTTCAAGTAAAGTGCTGTATTCAAACAAGCGTCTTATGCATGTATATATATACAAGGTGTTTTGTTTTTACTCATGCAGATCTGTTACAAAAGGAGAGGAATTATTAGTCATGACATGTAACCCGCCTTTACGGACCAATTAGTGGGCATGCCAGATGCAGGATAGGGTACACGACTGTCTGTACAGAAGACATCTTTGTTCAGATTTTGAAGCAATACAACTGATAATAGTATCTCACGAAGGAGCATTTTGGGCCAGAAGCAAAGGTTGGGCAAGCTATTTCTGGGCAACCACAGCAACTTGCTTCAAATTACAAGCGTAAATATGACTGTGTAAAGCCTTAGATGCAGCCTAGGGTTTCAAGGCAGATGACTCTATCCAAATAATGCAAAGGGTTATACACTGATATCATGAAGGATGCCATACTGTTGTACAGTAAGCATTAACGAAACCCCCCGTCATCTGAAGCAGCACACTAGAAGATGCGAGTAAGACTATATAATATTGCGCACATCATGTTCCTTGCATGAACACTCCCTAAATAGTGTACTTACATAAACTTAAATGTAATCCTTCACCTTTTTGCCATTAACAAACCACAGCACTAAACAGATAAGGAAAGAGTAAAAACAGGCAAAGGCTTGTCTTGTTCTCATTTTGCTCTGCCCCTATATTCAGTTAGCCCTGTAGCTTGCCATTTGTGAGTTAAATCTAACTCATCTACATTTCTCTTTATCTTACAATTTCAGGTTATGTACACTACATGTTAGATTGTGTTAAAATATAACAAGATTTCTCATTGTTTTTTCAATGCAACAAGTCCCACTGCCAGGCATCTGAAGCCCTGAAAAAAAAAAAAAGCCGGCACTAGACTACACCCACATAAACAGACTTCTCAATGTAATCTATCACCAAGTTTAGCCCAATGCAGCATAGCATGGTCAGACAAGTGATGCTAACTTGCTGTGCTTACTGGTGGTAGTAGAAGTGAAGCTAGTGAAAATTTATCAACTTTTTTTTAGACCCTTAACAGTGGCTGCCATATGCTGTATCAGATCCTTTGGTTATTTTTGAAACACCAAAGAGTTGGCTCCTACACTACAATAAGTAACAGCCATATAAAGCTCATGCAGGCATAATGGGAAAGTTCCGAGTACTAGACCATATGGCTGCATTCTGAGATGATCACCAAGTAGTCACTTTCAATGACCACTGATTGACTGGTGAGAAAAAGCTAAAAATTGATGGCATCATTTAATATTTCGGGCTAAGTCAATTTAACGCCACAGTGTTCTACGGGGCTCTTGACACACGTGGAATGAACTAACATACCTTATCCCCACAGACTAATGGCAAAGTTTAGAATTTCGGTGCCATACCGTAGGTGGTAAATTCTAGTATTGTTCCATGGCATATGTGCACATCATATTGGCTGAACTCTGTGAGTATGCCATTTTAAGCTCTCAACAAAAATATGTTTCACGCAAGCATGCATTCTTTGAAAAATTATACTGCACTTTGCACAATATGACAAAAACTACAAACGCTGAAAACTTTTTCAACAATTTTTGTTTCCTAAGAAGCCAAAGCCAGGACTAGCCATGGGCCAGAAGGGTGTACACTCAAAAATGCCAAACTTTGGCCATTATTCACGTGTTCAGTGCCTTCACTCTTGTGTTGTGAGATATTTGAAAGCACCGACGGCTAACGCAACAATGACATTACAGGCATGTACTTGATTCAGTTATTGAACATGTGAAACTCCACACCATGCAAACTACACTGTTGCCGTAAGTAATCATCTTGGAATACGGTCCCAGATTCCAGTGTTATGCCACAAATCTTCTCACGCCTTTTTAACCCTTTGTTTTTTATTGAAGCTGCCACAAACAGCAAACAGCAGCAACACAAATATAACGTTAATGCTCAATTTGAATTTGAATTGATTAGTGTGAGAAATTTTATTTAAAGGGTCTTAATAATGATAATATCTGGGGGTTTATGTGGAAAAAGTACAACAATTTTGATCAAGTGATGTTCCCCGCAAAAACTAATACAGATTGTTGCCAATCAGCAAGGTTATCAACATAGTTGGATGGTAGAAATGGTGTGGTCATAGAAGCATGAAAGCAACTCGCCCTATAAGTGAGCCTTCGAGCCCTATTGGCAATATCAAATGCATTTTGTGCAGCTGCTTTCATTGATAACATACAAGATTCGTAAGCCTTTACGAGGTTTGGTGAGGGCAGGCTTGCCAACTCACAACAGCTATGTCAGTACAGTATACCCTTAGTGCTACGCTACGCAACATGGGAAATTCCGGCAGTCATCATATTCTGTTGCACTGTTATAAGTGATCATCTCAGATGTGAGCTTCACTGACATTAGTATGCCCTCAATCATTCAGCAGTTTCAATGGCATGCCTAGGCTTTCAACAAGTTTGCCCGCATGTTTACAGACCGTAATGAAGGAAGTCTGCATGCAGCAAAAAGGTGCAAATCGAGTTCATGCAACACGGCATAACCGTAGAATGCCAACATTAACACTAGCAGTAACATGCAACAAACATCGAGCAGTTGGCATTGTTTAAAAATTGGGCTAACAGAAGAAGCACAGCTACTTTGAAATGTAAAATAGATGATATTATAGCACTAAAGCACAAGATTCAGCAAAACTCTACTGACAAGCATTGGAAAAGGCAATCAATTATTTTTCTTTAAGTGATTAGGTTAACTTTAGAGCACTGTCTCAGTAGCAGGGAAGTTTATAATCACATGCATGCCCAAACGATCAACTGGCTGCTATGACAACCATTCCAGCACTTTGAATGCAATGCTGCTTCACTATAAATGACCATTTTTTACTTTATAAATTTTGATGCTCCAATGTTTTCACGTGTGTACCTTCTTGAAAGGACTTTTAGTTAGCTTTGGGCATGTACAAATAAAAATATGGTGAAAAACATTAGTGAATTTGTTGCAATTTTACTGCCGTGGGACTTTGTTAAAAATGACATGGCATGTGAAGCCTATGTCCCCTACTAAATGTTCTCTGTTGTAAATGATATTAATGATGTAATATAAGGCCAAGTCGCATTTCAGTTATTTTAACACATTGAAGCATGAAGTTTTCCTGTACTGCTGTAGCTCCAAGCAGACATGCTGGTAAACTGAATATTAATGTTGAAATGATGCAAGAATGACGAATCACTGAGGAGTGCACAAAAAAATATCGTCTTTAAACAGTCAGCATAATGGCACTTTTCTTTTTCGGTGCCTTCACAAACATTCATCTTCCTTCAGACTGTTACAATAATCTAGGAAGCTTATACATTACAAATAAAAAGTGGTATATTCTGAAATGTAGCACTACCTGTTAGGTACAGACTTTTCAATTATGGCAGCATCAAGTGATGGCCAGAATGCATGAATGATGATTGGGAATGAATCGATAGAGTAAAACAGCCACACCCACTTTTGTCCACGTTCTGACATGCCCAAGAATAAGATGTTGCTGGTAACGATACGTTTAGGCAGCCGTCACTCTCCATAAGTGATAGGTGAATTCCAAAAAAGAAAAAAAACACCATGTATACACACACCAATATACATAATATATATATGTATAATATTTGTATGTACTATCGTACAGGTTCTATCTTATGAAGGAAGACTGTATGCTATATGCACACTGTAATAATGTCTACAACTGCTATACAGCTCTTTATGTACAAGCCTTCCTTGACGACACAGGAAGGTGTCTGAGGAGAAAGACCAGCCAAGCAGGATTGAAGCTAAGAGAGGAAGCTGATGACTCAAAGTTCTTGAAATGGTGTAAACGGTGTGCTTCAACAAGCAGCTGATCTAACTCCAGCACACGCTTCCACAAAATATAAACAATCTTGATAAAAGAGGGCATGAAAGTTACGGACGACACGGTTCTCGAAACTGCAGGTACACAGACTTCGGCGCTCCAACAACAAAACCAACTCCGCATAAACAGATTGCCAAGATAACAATGCAAAACAGCAAAAGTACGGCGACCCTTGTGACACAATGGGCACCTCTGTGAGCAACACACACGATAGCTGCCCACTCACCTAAAGCTATGCTAGTCAACAAGATCCCCAACATTTTGTGCATGGCCATGGAAGAAAAATACTTTGTAGCAACACATAGTATCTTGTGTATCACAAGGAACCAAACATAGGCAGGTTCATCAGCTTTGGATACACGATCCAGCATTGGACTCTGTACTTTTTCATACACAGCGTTCAAATGAAATATAAACGAAGTCTCCAATGTTATTTTCTACTTCAATGAGCAATGTGTCCTTTAAATACAAGCACTCATACCATCCAGGAATGTGCGTGTGAGACAATAAATTTGCCCATTTTTTCTAGGAAGGGTAAATATTTCACAAGACGAAAAATGCTTGCCTGTTTATGATAGCACTATGCTAACAAACAGCACCTACTTGAAAAAAAAACAAAGATAAGCCATTATAACTTTTTGTTCCCATCGAATTCTATGGGTAGCCATATCTTTATCACAACTATTTTACGATTACACACCTTACAACATTCCTGCTAAAATTATATGCGCATTCAAACTGAGCTATCTCAGTAGATATCACAGTAGTCTCATCATAAAAGCATGCAACATATGAGTGCCAAAAAAGATGTACTAAATAAACTTCCAAATGTTCATTCACGAACTTCATCAGTAAAAACAAGTTCCTATATCCAGATAACACGGTTTAAACGACTGAACTTTAAATTGCTCAAGTAAACTCTGCATAAGCAGCCTGTAAACAGGTCAAAGAAGTGTTACCACACCGTTTTAACTTCATTACTGCAAGTAAACAATGTTCCCAAATTTAATTAGTGTTCTTATATGTTGGAGTTATGACCTGGTGCCTTTTAATTTTGCGGGAATTACGACATAAGATGAAGCAGCTCCTTCTGGAAGTGTTAGCCAGGCACTGCAAAGTCAAAGCACTGGCCTTGCATGTGTGTGCCTACAGTGACGTGACGATACAGAGGACTTCTGTGAGAAAGAGGTAAACCTATCACCTAGGCATTCAAGCTGCCAACCGGAGGTACATGTTAATAAAAGGTGAGATCATCAACTATTTGGCAAGTTTATAAGCTAGCGAATAACTGAGACTTATCCCAGTGGAGAATCATTGCGTAGCTACAAGGCTAACAAGAACTCTAAACTAGCAGAAGGGCACTCTGCAAACACGGAGGCAAATGCTATGGTTGAACCATTACCAAGAATGAGCATGGTACCAAAGACAACCGACTCAGTGCAGCTTAAAGATGTTTAGAGCAGACCGATGTGAGTACACATTAGTAAAAGTGACATTATGTAAATATGTATGCGAAATATATTAACCTTCTTGTTCAAGCTTATGCACTATCACTGTGTGGCTTCTAAAGCATAGATCCATATGAAGCAGTATAGACATATTTTTGCCACTTCAACTCTTACTCTATTACTAACCGGGCATCTTCATGAGTGTATCACCATGAAGGTCAAAGGGCCATTCGTATTGAAAGAACAGCAAATTGATGCCTGCAGAGCACATGTATGGCACAAACAGAAGGTCATACTGCATGAAAGCTCAGAGAAAGAGGGGCAAGCTAAGAATAAGAAAATATTGTAAGTCAGTGTTATTTTTCTCAATCATCTACATTCCCTTGTTTCATTTTTTTCATAACTTGTCAAGTAGTAGTGAATGAAGGCAACACTAAATGTACTCCTTATCAACAAAAGGTCAGGTCACAGGGTACCATGTCAATAAGACATCTCTAAAGAAAGAAATATGTATAAAAATAAGTGCTGTTATGATATTTAAGCATACAACTGATGCAATCTGGCCCAAAATGCATGGATGCTAAACCTCTCCTGTGCATCCTGGGAATGCATGCTTCTTTTATGTTTACAGGCCTCCAACTTCTTTTATCCAGCAAGCTGTTGTGTTGTAAATGGTGGAAAGAAAGCAAAGAGTACAGAAACTAATACAGAAATGAACTAGCATTCCTGAGAATTGCCTGAGTGTAGGTACCATTGTAATTAAATGGAACGAAATATAAAAGCTAGTTTTATTTATATATATGTATATGTATATACATGGCATGCACTAACACAGAGGCAGAACAGAATAAGGTAGAAGCCACCCTTTTTCTACCCTTCCCGTGTCAAACCAGCCAAGCTATATTTAGAATCAGCTTTAAAATGGGCGTGCCTTTCCTCTTACCAATCGAGTTTCCATTGAGCAGATGTCCTTTGTACAAAAAGAAGAGGAAGAAGGCTTGGTGATGATGATAAGTAAGCACGGAGACACACAAGCACCTCCATCAACAATCCTTCACAATGACCTCTCATTGTGCTTTCACATCAATACCACAAGCGCGCTCTGGCGCGCCTAATATCTACAAAGGTGCCTCAGGAAGGAGGCCTGCACACGGTGCCCGTACAGGGGAGTACACTTTGACGGAACAGCTGAAGTGAGCAAAGTGAAGGAAACAAAATGTTTCTGAAGGTGCGGTCGAAGATAGTTTGGAGAAGGACAAGGATGAGCTCCGTGGGCAAATGCCAGCAAGACCTGCGATGCCTCAGTCAAGGCTACGAAAGGACGAGAAAGAATACGATGGCAGCCACAGCAATGCAGACGATGAGCAAGATGAATGCGACAAGGCAGGCGAGCTGGCAGGGGCGCTTCTTCTTGGCCACCTGCTCGTTCGCAAGGTTCAGGTAAAAAAAGGAAAGGTGGAGGGTGCCAGAGAGATGTCAAGAAAAGTGCATTAATTACTTGCTTGTTAGCTGGCCACACTGCCTGTTATCAAAACAGCACTAACGTAGGTTGCATGATACCATGGTTCTTTAGTACTTTTTTTTTCTGGTAGTGACACTCCCGCGAAAGTTTTATATGGGGACAAAAGTGGCCACCAGAGGTGCCACCGTAAGCGGGAGGGCATCGATCGGCCGCGCTTGGCAGGGCTGTAGCGCATTCGCGGAAGCGTTTCTCATTAAATACACTTCTTCAGATATTTTCATTCTCCGTGTTCTTGCTAACAAATCATAGCAGCTATTAGTATTGTCAAAGTGGCTCCTGATGCACATTGTCAAATTGTCTAGGCCCTCGATTGCTGACAATGTTTTAACTGAGTCCGTCTGTCAAGTGACGCACGCGAATCCCGTAGCGTTCCTAAATTTCTCAATTCCTCCATAGTCGGTTTCGGGCTTAAACAGAACACTTGTGACTGGTTCTAGATAACTGAAAGGTTAACGTATTTAGCGCTAGATATTGCGAAGCAGCCGTGCCCTGGCTGCATGTAACGTTCATTTTCGGAACAATTGTCATTTTATTCTATAGGGCATCACAAAGCAGCCAATAGAAGTTCGCGTGCCAATAAACAAATCTGTATATCAGGGTCACTTGGCATTAATAGCCTTGAAGTACCTCTTGATGAATATTGTTACGGATAAAGTCGAAAAATTAAAAGCTCAGATTGAGACACCACAGGACGAAGAGGGAGGCTCGAAGTTGTGTTTTCTTTTTTTATTTGGTGCCACAATTTGCGCCATTGATTTTAAAGATTAAAAAATAATATAAAACTGTTGTGAGCTACTAGATACAGGCAGTATGTGCTATTTCAAAATGAAAGCTTTTGAATTTACGCATGCAAATTTGATAACGCGGGCGAGTTATGATATACACGGATTTTTTTTTTTTTTTTATCCATTCCCATGTACTCTCCTAATGACTTCTAAGTCCGCATTCTAATTAGCCACCCCATTCCTCCTACGCGCACAAAGAAATCAACAAGGATCTACGGCCTTGACCTACGCCAGCGCCGCAGCACGGAAAGCGTGGGCGGCATATGAAGCTTTCCCATTGAGTGACGCGAGAGTTTCATAACCAGGAAGAAGTGTTTGAAGGACCATGATGATACCAGTGCAAACAATGGTACTGCAATATAACGATACACTGACTATGGGAATGGTTAAAAATCTACACTAAGGCATCATTCAGAAAGGACAATTAAGGAAGGTAATATATCCTGAAGATCCTTTCTGGAGTTCACAGCGATGCAGCTAACATTGTTCTTTCTACAAAAAATGATAATTCTTATACTTAAACAAAGCCTTCTCTCTCAGACTGATAACAACATAAAGTGAACGAAGAAAACAAGGTCATCTCATGGTGAGGATAAAATTAAACAAACATAATAGGCATGCAGAGTTAATGAAAAAATACACACAATGTAGCTTTTGGCGCTCTCAGTACCATGCGTTCCTTGCTATTCTTTCCTTCCAATGCAAGAGGTAGTCTAATGCTCAAAATACCATAAATATGCAAAACTGTTTGTTAACTGGTGATGCTATGGAATACTTTGAATTGGAGCTATGCTTCTCTGTTAACAGCACAGTGCGGTCTCCCCTCACTATCTTATGTCCAAGAAAGACGAGTCAATAGATAGAAGCAATAGTCCTTGCTTTTTCAGAAGTTAAAAAAATTGGCCAGGTGCAGTAAAACCTCGTTAATTCGAGCTCAGTTATTTTGAAATCCCGCTCAATTCGAAGGATTTCCGAGGTCCTGTATTTTGCAATGTAAGTTTGAGTGGATAATTTGAAGCGGCGGCCGGCACCAGTACAGTTAATTCGAAAACTTTGGGTGCCTTGTGGCAATTCCGGCTCCGATTTCGCTGCAAAGCGCGGAATGACGGCTATTAATAGCCACAAGGCAATGCAAAGTATTGATACTAACGAGTGGCAGCTGAAGCACGCCAGCCTCACTACTCCCAGCGCAAAAAAAAAGAAGAAAAAAAACGGTCTCGTGGTCAACTAAAACATGTGCCTGCGGAAAACGAACCGTGCTTCAATGCAACACAGGAGTGACACGCGGGCAGCTTATTGCATGTTTCTCGCAACGTCAGCGGGTCATGGTTTACCCATTCTTTCTGTGATTGTAAAGAAATTAATACAGGACAGTTTAGCGCAAATCACGATGTATGCTAACCTCCGATTACCGTTTGCTCTAGCAATTCGAGTCTTTGCACTGCTACCTACTTCGAAAACTAAGTTCGAAAGTTTCAAAGATCACTTTTTCTAGCCAAAACACATCGTGAGCTTCGTCATACTTGCCATTCATAAATTCATAATTATAATAGAAAGAATGTGAGAGTGGTCGGATCATGACGTGCTGACGGAGCGAGAAGCATGCGATACGATGCCCGCATATCACTACTGTGTTGCAGTGAAGATGTCTTGTCTTCTGCAGGCGCACATTTTAGTTGATCACGAGCGCGTTTTTCTTTTTTTTTTTTTCGGTGGCAGCAGCGAGCCTCATCATTTCTCCATATTCGCGGAAAAATAAAGACCAGGTATTGCTGGAAAACATAACCTTTGGAGCCGCAAGCTAGCGGGCACAGCAAACGATGAGCACTGATTACTTTGAATAGTTCCAAGTTCCTTGCATCTCACTTATTGTATGTTCTGTTAATTCAAAAGCCCCCTTAATTGGAAGCTTTTTCGCAGCCACAGTAACTTCGAATTAACGAGGTTTTACTGTATCTGCATGTTTCGCTGCAAATGTCATCAAAAGAGGATTTACTTTTGGCCTTGCCTCAGGCAGCGCCTCCTCTGTGTTGAATAGGATGCATCTGGCTGGCATTGATAAAGTAGAGGAGGCGCTGCATGAGACATGAATGCCATCTGGCAGTGCCATTGGGAAACATGAACTTGTGCTGAATTGAGAGCCACTATCAGGTGGCAGCACCATATTGGTGGTAGAGGGCTTTTTCATGCATAGCGTCGCATTTTCAATGCAGCGGGAAAAACGCCTGCTTTTTTCGTGCACAGCATCGCATTTTCAGCACAGTTTAAGAAACACTAGGGTCTTTGAAATTGCGTATTTACATATTTTCTAATAAAGGAACACACCACCCAGTACTTACTTATTGATGCTGTGCCTCAGATATGCGTAATATTTGCTTTTTGATTGACAGTGTTCACAAGTATGAGCGCGGCCACCAGTTCAAGATGGCTGGGCATTCAGCAATTGCTTAATCTTTTGCCGGGTAGCTGAATCATGTGGCAGACAGACAGACAGACCAACATTTTTGCATCGTCTTTAAAAAGATGAGTAATGATTTTACGAAGCAGATTTCTGGGATCAAGCTCACCAGGTTCTCTTCAGAACTGGTGGCAGAGGCAGGCCCAAGCAGCCTCAGATTGCTGGACTGTGCCATTTCACTGGGTTGGTGAGCCTTGGACAGTTTGTCATCTGAAAAGCCAGGCCATGCCTTGCTCACAGACACTATCACAGGATACATAACCTCGGTATTCTTGTCTACTTTTTCCACACACAACAGCAGCCTGGCATTGCACATCAATAGGTAAAAGCAACTTTATCAATGTATAATTTGCTATGACTCTAGGCAAACAATGCTTGCACTCTAGAGTCCAACTTGGTACGTGCAGCTGAACCAGGAATCTTAGCACACTTAGAATGCATCTTTTTATGTTCAACTGCTTTATTATTATCATTACTGTGCAATTATACACCAAAAAGGACACTTTTTAAGTATGGCTCTTTTTTTCCCACTACCAAGTAGGGTACACAAAAACACATTTCCCTCAGTGTGTTAAAAATGTTGCATCTTTTTTTTTTTTTAATCTGGCATCAAATGTTATACCACCTACATGTTAGTTTGAATTTCGCATGAGATATCATGTAACTGTGCTAATACAGAGTAATTATCTACTATCCTTTCATTCCCATTGTGTATTGCTCACCTCTTGCTCATTGCACTCATAGATGAGTAACAATGACACAATGCAAAAAACGTTAGAAAGGATCGATGTACAGGACGATGGTGTTATCTAGTAACAATTGACCTATGTATTGCCTTCAAGCCATCGAAAGAAAAAAGAAAACACTTCAGGGCTCATTCCTTTTTGTTTAGAAAGGCAGATATAAATTAAAATAAGTAGATCCAGACACAACAGCATTCCAAGAAGGCTTTTTGGCTCAGGCAGCCTTACAAACTGTCACAATAAGGCATCAATATTTTTCAAAAAGAAAAGAATCTAAAATTTTTCAAGGGAAGTCTAACATAGCATGTGTATGAAGAATCTAAAGGTTAGATGAGAGGAACAGGACGCACCTGGATTAAAGATGACATAGTCAACCATGGATCCTAAAACGGCATCCGTATGCAATGAATCACTGAGTGCCCGTATGTCCATAGTAAGCCTGGGTACAAGAGAATAAGACTATTGTCAAAGGTATACCAAAAAATGTCAAAAGAGAAAGTCTATCAAATGCAGGCAAATAAGAGAAAACATCAGCTGTGGCAGTGGTAGAAAGGTTGCAAAGGTAAGAAAGAAACAGTAATTACATTGTGTCAGACAAATTATATTCTATGTGGTAAAGCCTTTGAACAGTGGGTCGTCCTCTTCGGCGCCTTCTAGTGGGTCGCCTTTTTCATAAGAAGAGCAGCTCGCGCAGAGAGTCGATCCCCGCATTGACTGTCGCTGTCGTTAATCATCGCTGAGTGTCCGCCAATAAACCGCTTAACAATTTGGTGGAGAGTGCTGAGAGTGCTCTGCCCTTCAAACACCTTCGGTCCGCATTCGATGCCCTTGGAGCTTCGATCCCGTACCGTGCCTCCAACCATGCACCAAGACGCCGCCCAGCAAACGCTTCCTGCTACACCGACGCCATGTCCCGGTGTCCCCCGCATCCGCGACCCTCCTGTCTTCACCGGAGCGGATGGCACCGACGTCGAGGACTGGCTGGCCATGTACGAACGCGTGAGCGTCCCCAACCATTGGGACGAGGCAGGTAAACTCGGCAACCTGTTTTTCTATCTCGCGGGTGTGGCCGGCATGTGGTACAACAACCACGCATCTGATTTCCCGACATGGTCCGCTTTTAAAACCGCTGTCGTCGACGTGTTCGGCCGCCCGGCCGTTCGTAAGCTGCAAGCTGAACAGCGTTTACGTGAACGAGCCCAGCAGACCGGCGAGTCCTTCACAAGTTATATCGAGGACATCCTTGACTTGTGCAAGAAAGTCGACCTGAACATGTCAGAGGCTGACAAAATCACGCATGTTCTAAAAGGCATCGCCGACGATGCCTTCACCATGCTCCTGGCAAAGAACCCCCGCACTGTGGCAGAAGTCATCATGTTATGCCAAAGTTACGACGAGCTGCGGCGGCAGCGCTTGATGACCCGTCGACCGCCACCACGTGATGCTGATCTCTCGGCCTTGTCAGCAATTCCTGACCACGCAACCTTGCTCGCCGAAATCAAGTCGTTCGTGCGTGAGGAAGTTGCCCGCCAGGTCTCTCTACTGGCTTTTGCTTCCCCACAACATGCTCAACAGCCATCAAGTACACTTCTACCTCCGCTCCGCCGAGCCATTCAGCAGGAAATCGCGGAGGTCGTCCCTGAATACCACCAGCCGCCTCCTTCATCTGTGCCACTCAGCTACGCCCAAGTTGTTGCAAGGCCGCCCCCACCGATTTCTGCAACTGTTCCCCTAAATTACACCGAAACCGTCGCGAGGCCCCAGGCCTTTGGAGAAACGGTCTCGCCTACATACGCCGGCGTCACCCACGTGCCCCGAGTGCCGCCTACCATGCACTGATATCAGCGGCCGGCTCGCCAATCGCGTTCTGCGACATGGATGCGACCCGCAAACCAATGGCGCACTGCTGACAATCGCCCTATCTGCTTTGCTTGTGGTTGCGTTGGTCATGTAGCACGCTATTGCAATCGTGTGCAGCAACCGCAGGTCGCCTCCAACTTTCCCAGCCAGTCAAGCCGCTCTTATGACCAACCGCCGCCTATGTGACCGTCGTCCCGCCCCGTTCCGTCTACCCGCCGTTCACCATCTCCACGACGTCGCTCACTGTCGCCAATGCGGCCACGTCCACTCGAGGGCGACCAGGAAAACTAGTCGTCGCAGTCCACGAGGCAAGGGCTGCGACGCTATCGAACTGCGGAAGCCCTCAGGAAAGCCCGTCGAACGTGATAGACGTGCTTGTGGATGGCGTTCGTGCATATGCCCTTGTAGATACTGGAGCCGCCGTATCAGTGATGGACGAAAAACTTAGCCGATTACTGCGCAAAGTGACCACGCCGCTTTGTGGGCTCTCCCTCCGTACAGCCAGCGCCCAAAGTATTCACCCTACGGCGATGTGCACAGCCCGCCTTAGGATTCAGGACGTGATGTATGCGGTCGAATTCATCATAATTTCTTCATGCTCTCACGACGTCATCCTAGGATGGGATTTTCTCTCCCGCCACGACGCCGTCATTCATTGCACACCAGCAGAAATAGAACTTACGCCGTTCTCTTCTTTGACGCCAGCCGACAGTCCATCCGCTGCAAGCAAGTTACTCGTCAGAGACGACACTCAAGTGCCTGCAAACTCGTCCGTTGCGGTGTCGCTCTACTGCGCAAGCCTTTCTGACACCGCTGCACTCCTCTCGCCATCTCATCGTGTCTTCATAAAAAAAAGCTTGCTGGTTCCTTTCGCGACCGTGCAACTCACTCACGGCAGCACCACTATTTTTGTTGTGAACTCATCTCCGTACAGCGTTACGTTGGTGCGAGGGGAATGTCTCGGCAGCGTGGAACCCATCGAAGACGCGCAAGTTATGGATCAACCCGATGACATGCACTGCTCAAGTTCCTGTACGCTTGGTGCTGTTTCGACATCTGCTTCATCATTCGATGATATATTCGGTCCCTGCATACCCGACGACCTTACGCAGGGCCAGCGTTCCCAGCTTTTGGGCCTGTTGGAAGAATTCCGCTCTTCTTTCGATGTCGCTCAACCTTCTCTCGGCCGCACATCCACCGTTACGCATCGCATCGACACAGGCGCACAGCCACCGCTGCGGCAACGTCCATATCGCGTATCTCCCACAGAACGCCGTGTAATCAACGAGCAAGTCGACGACATGCTTCGCCGCGATGTTATTCGCCCCTCTAGCAGCCCCTGGGCATCTCCTGTCGTTCTCGTTACGAAGAAGAACGGTTCTGTGCGGTTCTGTGTGGACTACCGACGCCTCAACAAGATCACTCGTAAGGACGTGTATCCACTACCGCGGGTAGATGACGCGATTGACAGCCTGCAAGGAGCAGAATTCTTTTCATCCCTCGATTTGCGCTCAGGGTACTGGCAAGTACCTATGGCTGAGGACGCTCGACCGAAGACCGCTTTTGTCACTCCCGACGGCTTGTACGAGTTCAACGTTATGCCGTTTGGGCTGTGCAATGCGCCCGCCACCTTTGAGCGCATGATGGATACATTTCTGCGTGACCTAAAATGGCACACGTGCCTGTGCTACCTCGATGACGTCGTCGTTTTCGCTCCTGACTTCTCGACGCATCTTCAACGCCTTCGGCATGTTTTAACGCGTCTGAGCAACGCCAGTCTGCAACTGAACCTAAAGAAGTGCCAATTTGCAGCTCGGCAGCTGACAATACTCGGCTACGTCGTGTCCAAGGACGGAATTCTCCCTGATCCAGCCAAGCTTCGGGCCGTGACCGAGTTCCCCAAGCCGACATCCGTCAAGGAACTGCGCAGTTTCGTAGGACTGTGTTCCTACTTTTGGCGCTTCATTCGAAACTTCGCGACTATCATATCGCCGCTGACGAAGCTTCTCGGAAGTAACGGGCCTCTCCATTCGTGGTCATCACAGTGCGACGACGCTTTCAGAACACTTCGTCGTTTGTTGACGTCGCCTCCCATACTCCGCCACTACGACCCTACGGCCCCTACAGAGGTACACACGGATGCCAGTGGTGTCGGCCTCGGCGCTGTCCTTGCGCAGCGCAAACCAGGGTTCCCGGAATATGTCGTGGCGTACGCGAGCCGTACGCTTACTAAAGCCGAGACTAATTACACAGTCACCGAGAAGGAATGTTTGGCAATCGTCTGGGCCCTTGCAAAGTTCCGACCTTATTTGTATGGTCGCCCATTTGATGTCGTCACCGACCACCACGCACTATGCTGGTTGTCGTCATTGAAAGATCCCTCAGGCCGTCTCGCCCGGTGGGCACTTCGCCTGCAAGACTATGACATCCGCGTGCTATACCGCAATGGAAGGCAACATGCTGACGCCGACGCCCTGTCGCGCTCTCCCTTGCCTGACGACAATGCCAACAACTCAGTGTCTCACCTTGCCATTTCTTCGATTAGCATTCATGCCATTGCTACTGAACAGCGCAAGGATCAATGGATTGCCTCACTGATAGACTTGCTGACTGATTCATCCACTCCATCCACTCGCGCGTTGCGTCGTCAAGCCCACCATTTCGCCGTTCGCGACGACCTCCTCCACCGACGCAATTACAACGCTGACGGCCGCCAGTGGCTACTAGTCATACCTCGCAGTCTGCGCTCTGACATATGCGAATTCTTTCATTCTGATCCGCAATGTGCGCACTCCGGGGTATCGAAGTACCACCGCATTCGCCAACGGTACTTTTGGCGCGGCATGTACCGCTACGTGCAGAAATTCGTTCGCTCCTGCATAGAATGTCAGCGCCGCAAAACTTCAACGCAACTGTCACCGGTAGGTCTGCAACCTCTACCTTGCCCTGCCAGGCCGTTTGGGCGCGTTGGCATCGATTTGTATGGGCCACTTCCACTAACGTCAGCTGGTAACCGCTGGGCCATTGTTGCTGTGGACCACCTCGCGCGATACGCCGAAACTGCCGCTCTCCCCGCGGCTACAGCGAGCGATGTGGCCTCCTTCCTGCTCCAACGATTCATGCTGCGACACGGTCCACCTCAGGAACTGCTCAGTGATTGAGGCCGCGTCTTCCTGTCTGAAGTCGTCGAAGCCATTCTCAAAGAGTGCAACGTTGTTCACCGCAAAACTGCTGCTTACCACCCGCAGACGAATGGCCTCACGGAACGCTTCAACCGTACGCTCGGCGACATGCTTTCCAAGTACGTCACCGCCGATCACACAAACTGGGATGACATTCTACCCTTCGTCACCTACGCATATAACACCGCCCCTCAAAGCACTACTGGCTTTTCACCTTTCTTTTTATTATATGGAAGGCACCCGTCGCACACCATCGACACCATACTTCCGTACAAGCCAGATCCGTCCGAGTGGGCGCCTATTTCTGCTACAGCCAAGCTTGCTGAAGAGTGTCGAGAGCTTGCAAGGACCTTTACAGCGCATGATCAAGAGCGGCAAAAAGTCATTCGCGCTGACACCAGCACTACTGCGCCCACGTTCCTCCCTGGAGCGCTCGTCTGGCTCTCGATCCCTACTACTGCAACTGGCCTATCTTCAAAACTATTGCCGAAATACGAAGGCCCCTACCGTGTCGTCAAATGCACTTCCCCAGTCAACTACTTGATTGAACCCATCGAACCATCTTCGGATATGCGTCGTCGAGGACGCGACATTGTTAACGTGGAGCGCCTGAAGGCCTACCATGACCCGCTCATTGTAACCACCTGTTAGGTCGCCAGGCGGCTCCCTTTTCGTACCCGGGGTAGTTGTGGTAAAGCCTTTGAACAGTGGGTCGTCCTCTTCGGCGCCTTCTAGTGGGTCGCCTTTTTCATAAGAAGAGCAGCTCGCGCAGAGAGTCGATCCCCGCATTGACTGTCGCTGTCGTTAATCATCGCTGAGTGTCCGCCAATAAACCGCTTAACATCTATATTGAATTATATTATTCAGACAAATTAATTTAATTAATGCACATCATTTCTGCTCTTGGTCTCGATACTCCTAGAGTATATGATAGAAACAGGCTAACAATAAGTACCCACTACAGGGCATCTTTCTGGTTAATTAAGCTCGCAGTTATGACTAGGGCTTCAATAAATTCATGACTAAAAAATGACTTCTCTAATACAAGAAGTCACTGAATAATGAACTGAGAGTAATGTTGATAATAAACAAAACTGCAACATTGATTGATATGTGGGGTTTAACACCCCACAACGACCGTATGATTATGAGGGACGCCATAGTGGAGGGCTCCAGAAATTCAAAACTGCAACAGACATGAAAGTTGGGTGCAATGTTATTTACAAAAAATTTCATTCCTCTTCCACTTCTTCTGCATGTTACTGCTGTGAACAAATGACAAACACGCTGAATTCAGCGCTCACTTTGCCAGCTGCTTCCAGCTATCCCGTTCTTGCCGGTACTTGTCAGCCGTAGACAACATCAGGGACTCGCAGACAGCGCTGAACATCTGCTCCATGCCACCAGTGGTGCCCGTGTGCACGAACTGAGCTTTCACCGAACCATCTGCAATGAAAAGGTGCAACCGTGCGTGCCATGAACGTTAGGTCATCATCCATAGCACATATAATATGACAATCAGTAATGCGACAACCATCTTGAATTTCACGTTCATTGATTATGTTGCGCCCCTCAAACAATGTCTCCTTATATTTCTTGCAACAACCTCCCATGCTATTTCATACACTATGCCATGAAAATCCAAAGCAAGAATATTTATGGTAAATGTATATTGTAACTTTATTATTTACAATTTTGAGCCTATGAAAAGCAAAGACAGTTCACATTAAGCCTCTAAGGAAGCAATGCTGCTTTCTTCAGCATTAGACAGATCCCACAATCGTGGAGTTCCCAATGACTCTGTTCACTCAACGTTGTTCCAACAGTAAAGCAGCCTGCATTGATGCCTCTCCTTTAACTTTTGTTTTTCCCTTAGCCACAACTTCCAGAATGCTGCAATTTTTTGCCAGCTTCGGTGAAATTAAGATGAGGCTTGAAGATAGCCACTGCTTGCATTGCTGTCCATTTAGAAGTATTGTAAAACAACCTGAAAGTAGCATAATGCTAAAAAAAGTTGTCTTCCTTAGAAGAAACGCTTCACGGTCACGGTTGAATAAAAATTCTTGTGGTTTGATTCCAGCACTGACATTTTTCTGGGGAAATTACCCAAACACATGAGCTAGCTATGGTGCTTAGCATATGACAAAATGAGAGCTAAAGATATGCAAGTGAGCGTTCACAGACATTGAACGGCTAAAGAACTTGAGGAAATTCAAAAGGGTAGGAGGAAAAACCATGACCTTCATGCTACACTATCACAATCCAAAAGTGATTTGTCTAGAGTATAATAGCAGTAGATAGTTCAAAACAGACATTGTAACTAGTTCTTTTTTTGTTTTCTTAGAAAGGCAGCAAGTCAGGTGAGAAGCCCACTAACCAGGGGTGGGGTGCAAAGGAAACAGCTGGAACAGATGGGCCGTCTGGTGAAGCTCTTGTTCCATGGAGTGCAGGCAAGCCATGTAAATGCGCAGAGACTTGCCCAGCTCCACAACGTCGGGCTGTGACAAGGACTCCATGCTGAATGGCAAGACAGAGATGAAAATAAACCAATGAGCATGCCAACTCTCAACAGTAGTGGCCCTTATCACAAGAACATTATCGGCAGCAAAAGACAACACAACAGTACATATTGTAAACAGTTTCAATACAACTCATTCGTTCCATCTGTATGTATTATGCAGAGTCTACAAAATGTTAATGGTGAAATTCAGCAGTGTGAAGTGCAGAATCAAGTTTTGTAAGTTCATGTGACACATGTTTATGACACCTTATTTGACCCACACATTATATCATGTATATGCAGAAGAATCTTGATACGTTTTTCATGGGAACCAGGAAATAAAATTTATTATGCAAGATGTATTAGGCCAAAAACACATTATGCAGAATCTTATCTTCAATATACTCCATACATATCTGTTTTGTGACCGATAGATACAGTTGGTAGCCAGTGCTTGTGTTCATTCCTCTGTCGCTTCTTCAGTGTTTCCTTGCATTATTTTTGCACTTCTGGGCCTTTTGCTGATCGTTTAATGTGAATGAAAAGCAACTCACCTACATCACCATTTTCATTGTACACAATATATGGTGTCCATCAGTATAGTCAGTATAGTGCACACAACTCGTTTTTCAGCTGCACCATTATGCTGTAGAAGAAATGCTCTTATAAGGAGTCCACTGGAGTTGATGTATTTCCATGCGGGCTCATCATTGTGACAAGGGATTGGGTTTGAGGTGAGGACATGATTTAAATTTTTAGAAGCAGAGATAGAGTAAACAGACCACACAAAGGAAGTGCCAAAATTCAAGATGTTCTAGAGAAATAACAGCTGTGGGGAAACCATGTACATATATAAAAACAATGTTGGGATCTTTTGAGTGGCCATCTGATAAACCTGCGCTGCTGACTGCACATGTTCATACCTTCGTAATGTCAGTTTGAAATGTACTCAGCTAGTTATGCATAAAATATATAAGATAAGCTAGCTATATATAAGAGATAAGCATCAAGCATTGGTTTCTAATGGTATTGCATCATCCTTAATGGCCACAGATGAATCCGGTGGAAACGTACCCATCCACACCAGCTCTCTGTGAAAGATCAATGCCTACACCCATAAGGTTAGAAGTCTCATGCTTGACCTATTCAAAAGCATTATGCAGTGCGTGTTATAGTAAATAATATGAATATCCTGAAACAAAATAAAAACCGGACCTACAATGACTGGTGCTGTCAAGAAAGTGAAATCTAAAGAGCCAAACAATCTCGTTCCTTTGACATTCATTCATTTTCACTAAAATACACATGGACAATCTCACACCACATAAAAACACTTTGTCAGTGACGGACGGATAGAAGGAAAAACTTTGCTATGGTCCCTTGGGATGCGCTCTAGCATAGTGCAGGCTGCTCCCACATTGGAACAGAAAGTCCAAGTCTCTCTGCTGCATTGCGGACCCCTTGAGCTGCCCATAGCAGTACTTTGAGGGGCTTTACAATTTAGCTAAAACAAGAACGTTTTATTATTTTTATTATTATGTTGTCTGAAAACACCTATATACAAAAGCCAGAAAGGAAAATCAGGAGGAAGCAGGCTAGCAAGCGTTGCAACAAGGGTATAATGCCTGAGTACTCCTTAGGAAGGCAGAAATGGAAATGGAAATTAAAGACAGTTACGAAGGAAGAGGAAAAGGAAAACAACATGACATGCTGCAAGAGCTAAATTGAGGTAAAGATCCACCCAATATTCATGCAGGATTTATTTATCTACAGCCTTATTTATGAGCCATCACAACACAATCCAACCTTTCAGGCCTGCTCTATTCCATGTTTGCACCATTCTTGTTAAACTTAGTGTTTGTAAATATTTTTTTTTCAATTAAGTGGCATGAAATAAATGCAGTAAAAAAGTGGAAGAATTGAGCTCAGAAACCTAATTGTGCATAAGTAGTATAAACAATGTGTCTTGTACAAGTATTTAATTCAGATTTAGTTCACTTTACTTCGCTGAGAAGTGTGATCACTTACTGCACCGTGAGCTCTATTGCCTCTCCCCCCCCACTCCAACCCTGTGCTTGATGTGCTGTCTCGCTCAATATGACTTGCCACATGGTAACCCATGGCATCACGAGCTCTAGCATCACCCATAGCTCCCAACAACCATTCATTACCCAACTAAACACTATTCTCCAACTTGGGGATGACACTAAATAATCAATTCCATTTAGTTGTGAAAATTAGGACAAGTTAAAGTGATGTAGGATATTTGAGCTCGTTAGCTCCCATCCTATTGGGCACGGCTGTACCTATACAGGAATGAGAACTTGGTATATCAGATGGTCACTTTTATTGTCATCTCTCTATCAACATTTTCCACAGACAGAATCATTTGCAGCTGGTAACAACAATTGTGAGTCGAAAGGAATGGCAATGTTATAATAATGGAGGAGCGAGAAAAGAGAAAGGGAAGAATGAGCGCACCCACGGAAGATGTCCACAAAGTGTGCCTTCAGGCAGTGCGCCATCTGGCAGCAGCGGCACTGCAGAGCGGACATACGGCTCCGGTGAAGGAGACCATCCTTGGGCGTTCCCACCAGGCGCATCAATAGACTGTGCTCCGTCAGTGAGTTGGACAGCTCTTGAACGAGCTGAGTAGTGTATCCAAGATGAGAAAAGGAGAGAAGGATGGATGTTGAAAGGAAAGTAAAGAAGAAAGCTTGATAAAGCAGCTGATGAGGGAATGCATTTTGGAAATGAAGCAGGATACAGCAAGACTAAATGGGAAAGAAATACAGATAAGCACTGCAATTTTGAATCCACCAGATAACTAGCACATTCTGCTTATGGCAGTAACACATGTAGTAGTACCATGACAGAACAACATTACACAAAGCAGTATTCTACAATTGCAGTTATTGTTTCAGTGCAGGCACTCAAAGTAAGAAGTTACTTTTACTTTTTCTCTTTCTTTAATATTTCTCTTTTTCTAGGCAGCCATGCAATTTGCAAAGCATGTTATAAGCTTCAGGGACTGCAAAGCATTTGAAAGGGCATAACAGCTACTTTCTAATCACGTGATGTCGGAGAAAGGAACAGGCATAGAACATAGAAGAAGGGATTCACCTTGAGCAGTGACTTTGTAGAAATGGTAGACACATCCCGAAAAAGGGCAGGGATCAATCGATGGTATTCCTGGTTGGCTCCACCAGAGGGCACCACCACAACGTGGTCCCTGGAAGACTTGGCCAGGAAGCAGCGATGGCAAGACACGGGTGCTATGGACAGCTCCTGATTCATGGCACCCTGCATCCACAGCAGTACAATGCCAATGGCTACCGGCAGTGCTCACCGCATGCTCAAAGTTGGAAGGTCTGCTCAAGGTCACAGCGATGGTTCGCAATGAAAAGCAATGCAAGTTTTGCACTCATAAACTGGGGCAGTAAGTAGTGGCACTTAGTCATCCGAGGAGCATTAAGCGCCATCTTTGGGCTTCATTTCTAGAGGTATAAACAAGATAGCATTAAAGAGAACACTTCACAGACATTCCAGTTAAGGAGGCGTCATTGATCTGAGTGAAAATCAGCGTTGTCCGTGAGCGAAAGATTTAGAAAGATGCAAACAAATAAATAATAAAGATCTTCAGCTCAAGTGACGTTCAAACCCAGGCATTCTGCGTGGCAAGCAGATCTTCTATATAGTAAATGTAATGCATACAAAGGAGTCATCTTAACGCATGTAATATTGCATGGCAAATGCGTAGAATGGTACCAGGCATCAAAACATGCAACTTGCACAATGAGTGAATGTTTGTTTTACAGAGTTCTTTAATCATGCGAGTTGCGAAACTCCTTATAAGCCCCATATATCAAAATCTGAGCTAGCCAATCGCTGATGTTGCGGGAGTCTGCTGATTGTTGCATCATCCCTTGACGAAAAAGTTAATTAATATACACTTGCTTTCAACAACATCAGCGCTGGATGCAGGTTGAGCAGTTAGCGAGGAGTGCACGAAGGAGCAACGGTCTCATGTTTTGTTGTTTTATATTGCTGCTCATACATGATGCAACAATCTGCAGGCCTTTGCATAACTGCAGAATGCAGTTTTACAAATGACATGACTTATTAACTACGGTTGTTTAAAGGCCCAGCCAATATAAAGCACTAAGGAATAATTAACGATCATTATCAGCAACCGCAACAAAGTTTGCAGACACGTATGGCCCTTTATAGATACGCAGCGGGTAGTTTGCTGCTTCCCAAAAGGAAGAATTGAGTCAAGTCGGCACTACTGCACTTGTAGTAGGTATTCTTAGATAGTTATTGGGTGCACAGATGTTTGTTTCTTTGTGACACAGTTGAGGTATCCAACAAGCCAGGTTAGCAAGTGAGAAGGCAATGCCCACAAGCCCCGATTATGCTATCGCACTCTACTTTTAAAGGCAAAGCTTCACCACAGGCCATTTTTTTTTGTGTAAAGTAATATGTTAGCTAATGTACACCAATCTTGGCACAGTTAAGCAGGAAAGAATAGCGAATGAATGACTTATCTGCCTTTTATGAAAGGGATTCACAACTACATGACTCACCAAGCATGCTGACTGCTGTCCCTATCACTGAGATTTCATTATCCTGGTTCACTGCAATGTTCTCCATTGCTAAGCAAAAAATGCACAGCACGGGCCATGTTTTTATTAGAGGAGAGTAGCAGCTATGGCCAAACACAAGAATTCCGTGGAGACAATGTAGGTTGTGTAATTCCCAAGATTAAACAATCCATGGTGCATCGGGCAAGTGAAAGGAGGTAGAGAACAACGCAGGACAAGGTTGCCTTGATGGCTTCTTGCCATCTAGCTCATCCTGGAAGCATAATTCAAATTTTGTCGGGGAATCTGTCCTATAAGACCGTCATACTTGAAGATTTAACGCTCAATCAATAGAGCCAGCTGCCAATGACATTATTTGACAGTGTAATTATTGTTGGTGAAGCGTGCACAAAACGAATTTGCTGTTATCGCTTGAGCAGGTGGTTCCTCATGTATTGGCACGTATCTCGGGTAACAAGGGCCGAAAAGCAAGGTAAATGTAATGTAAAGCACAAGCTAAGTGCTAACATGGTACTACAATGCCGACGCACAGCAAACTTGACCAAGCTGACGAGACATGCTTTCACAGAGTGGTATGATTAGTTACATACCAAATTTGTAACGTGTCTCATATACCTGAGTCCATGTATGTCAGCACATTGAACGTCAAATTGGTTCATCAAGTTTATTAGTACTCTTGGTATGTATGCACACACGTTATAATCATGTCATTATTCAGCAATCGCATCGATATGAGTGAACTTCTATGTTGTACTACCAACATACATCTGAAGTTTTCACTACCCACAAGTCATGCTCATTCATCCTCGTGAGATTATTAGACATTAAAGCTCCGATTGTTCCTTTTCGTTTTTCTTAAGCATTCTCTATCTTATTCCTGACAAGAAAACTATAGTAATGACGCTAGTTTGCTTTGTTTGGGCTGATATCATACAAAATCAGTCGTACATCCCATTATTTTCGACTTAGATTGCGGTCGTACCACTTAAGATATTACAACGGTGCGTGTTGGCACGCTCATGAGAGCGTAAATAACGGTAAACACGTAAACACTGGATGAATAAGCATTTAAATAACACGCATTGCGTACCAATGTGTACTCAAGGTAACAATTACGGGTACCAAAAACACACATGAATAAACCACCTATTCTTATCAGTTACACATAACGGTCTGCTCAAAGGCCATTAAAGACCCTTCACGGTGTTGGAAAATCTGTTCATTGCGAGCGAAATCGGACGAAAGCAAGCTACCGAGCTGCGCAAGGAACGTCAACCGTTGAAGGGCACGATATCGACTTTTGAGGCTGAGCGAGCCTGAATTGGTTCCGTACGCCCCTGTGCACATGGACGGCTACAAGTGCACACGTAACAAAACATTTGGTGCACTTACCTTGGTATCAGAGCCATTGCGAGTGGAAAGCATTTTTCACGACAAAGGGGTGGGAGGGGGGTAGTCTGTTTTGGACAAAAGCCAGTAACGCCGCCTTCTCATTTATGCGGGTCCCGGAGGAGTCCGAAAATTCTCCAGAGCCATTCTTCGGATCCGGCGGCTCCGATGTTCGACGACTCGAAGGTCCCGCAAAGCACAACAGGCGACGTAAATCGACGGAAGCCAGTCCTACCACTGCACCTTCAATAGTCCGTCGTCGGCTAATGTGGGAAGCCTAAATAGACACGAAGACGCATTCTTCGGCGCCATCTTCTAGTGAAGGGCGCCTTTCACGACGTCGTTACAGCGCTCGCTCACAAACAAGGAGGACAGAGTTTCTGTAAAGGCTGCAACTGTTGCGACAAACAGCGATGCCTTCGGTTTCGTTACATCGTCGCAGCTACGGGTACGGGCGGCGAGCATCATAAACAGTAGCCCAAGGTTGCCAGCACACTCGGCGGCTGTTCCCGGGAGTTCGCGGCAGGAACCCGGAACCGAAAACTGTGTTTCTGCAAAATGGCTCGTCTATTTGTCACTTCTACACTGAGCGCGTAAAATGTTAGTACAGAGCAGGTATTGCACGATTGCACTAACGCATCACTTACGGCGTCATGAAGTCCCCAATGCGTTGATTGCGTGGTCTAGCTGCTATTTATATTTCCGGATTAAGTCGCCCTTCCTTCTTTTTCATGTCTTTTGTGTGCTGTACTAAATTTGACACTGTTCGTTTAATAGCTCGCTTGTGACATCAAATTATTTTATCCCCCTGCCTTATCCCCCTGCCCCTGCCTTACACCCTCCTTTATTGGTATTCTGATGCTTTCTTTATGCAGAAACATAAACTGAAGTGTTACTACCAAGATTTTTATCAGCGTCATTTAAGTTTATTGTGATAAAGTTTCTCTACCTTTACGATACACATGCATGCTCCTGAATAATTCAAGTGTTACTTAAAAGCTTGCTTCACTGCAGGCATATTCATATGCAGGAGAAGCCCACAGCTTGAGTAGTAAACGATAGTCGGGGAGAATGGTAGCTTCCCTTGTGTGTGCTACTGTGAGTCTAGTTATGTATGGCTTGTCATTTAACATATTTCCACAAGCAGTGCTGAAGCTAGCTGTGAGAAACGCTAAACTATATTTAATCTTAACTGATTAGCACTTGAAAGTTTGCTTTACTGTCTAGAGAAGCACGAGCATACCGCGTAGTATGCCGGTCGGTAAGAAGACAATATTTCTTTGTGTATGTATCTGTCTTTGTGTGTCAGTTTTCTTGCATGAGCGTTCTTTGTTTATGATTGAAAATTAATGTATGTTTATAAGCGCGACCTACTTCACATATCTGACAAAGCAAGTATCACGCCGACCGCATAGGGTTGCTCCACAAGTCTGTCGCTGTTCAAGATAGCCAATCTAATACTTGCTGCTGTGTTAACTGCAACAGACATTAATGCTGTCACAACCACTTGCTTTAACTTACCTGCACTTTCTGAATAGCTCGTTTAGCTCCACGCCGTTGCATGCAATTGTCACCAGTATCGTAAATCCAGAAAAACACAAGTGGGCAGGAATCTCACCATGGTGACACTATATTGTTACTTATATGTACATATATATAGCTGACCACCCTATATACATATATATAGATTTTATTTTTAATAATGCAAAAATAAATTGTACTTTCAAGTAAAATAACAAAAGCAAGGATTATTTTTATGTAAAATAATTATAGTCGGACAATCGTATTTATACTTTCATGTCAATGGCTTCCGCCTAATCACTGACATCAATAAATAGAGTTAGATGATCAGTCATTTTGTTACTAAGTGTCTTAAAACCCAACATCATATACATTTTAGTAGCATTTCAGAAATGCTCGTGCTCTACATGTGTCTTTTGAAATAAAAAGTAGCTTTCAATTACGCGAATTCCCGTTTCTTCTTCAGAAGAGGTTTAGAATTCATGAGAATAATGTTTCTTGGGCGAGTTGGAAATTCATAGCTTAATATAATATTTGTAGCGCAACTCCGACAAGGAAATAAAAGGAGGAACAGTTGCTAGACTGGCGCCCTATCCTGTCTGAACAGTCACAGCCTCGAAGACAAAGACGGCATTCCCTTAGGCCTTAAGCCTAAGTACGCGTCCTGCACCACATTGGCCGAAGATCCCTGAAGGTTGAGCGAGAGGGTTACATTTATTTAGCTTGTCGGTGGCTGTCTTCGGCGTCTGCGTGCACCCTTCCGGGGTGTGCGGCCATTGCGGGCGGTGCTGAATTGAGCTCAGCTGACTGATGTCTGTCACGTCTCCCGGCCAGGCAAACTCTGCCTGGTCGGCATCTCTCACTAATGATAATTTACCCATTGATCTTTTCTTGCACAGCGGTCTCAGCAGCATTCCGGTGGCTCTGGTTTCAACAAATGGGGCTTCTATTCACATGAAAAACCCCCAAAACATCCAGAAAGAGCTACGGAAGGTGACCGAACACTTCCAACTCATCACCGAGGTGCGACAGTTTGGTCGTGGAGGCATTCTGTGCTGTTCCCCGGATCAGGCCTGCGTATCAGATCTGCTAAAATGCACATCGTTTGCCTCTCTCCCGGTGAGCCCTTTTGTTCCTCCTCACTTGGCCTGTGTGAAAGGTTTGGTTCGTGGGGTAGACTTGAGCCTGTCTCCGTCCGAAATTCTAGAGATGTTTTCTGCTGCAGTCGCGGTGGCAGTTTTTCGCTGTTCACGTAGCGCTGACAAAAATAAGATCCCGACAGAGTCGGTGACAGTTACCTTTGCTGGAACTACTAGACCAACAGAGACCAAAGCGTGGCCACTGATATATCGGGTCTAAATGCTAACTCCGCGTCCTCTGCAGTGCCATAGATGCTGGCGTTTTGGGCATAGCATAAGGGGTTGCCGATCAGTAGACCGGTGTCAAATGTGTGCAGGACAACACAACTCTAAAGAATGCACAACTCGGGAAAGGTCTTGCTGTCTCTGATGATGGCACTTCTGATGATGGCACTTGTTCACCTCACCCATCTGATGATGGCACTTGTTCTGTGAGAGCTCAGGAGATTCAAATTATGGAAACAATTTAGCAAAAACGTTGTTCAAGACGCGAAGCTCGAATCGCCATCGCAGAGCGCTCTCGTGGGTACGCTGTTGCTGCGAACCGTAACAACCATGCCATGGACTCGGCACTCTCAGACGTGATAGCCTCGACCGTTGAGAAAACAATGACAAAGATATTGGAGAACATTTTTGTGACACTGACGGAGTCATTTGCTCAAATATTAAATGCACAAATCGCTCAAGTCCTCATGAATGTTAATCATCCACATGCAGTCTCTATGCTAAAGAGGTGAATGCAGGATCTGTAGAAACAGGGCCTTCTAAACCCAGCCAACCGATAACAACATCTGTTGAAGAGTTATATTCATCAAGAGCTGGTCCATCGAACTGCGGCCGTAAAACAATTCCCATTGAACATCTGGATTGGAGCTCTGATTCAGGTTCGCAGGACTCACAAATGGAATTCGACACAAAGAAAATGAAACGGCGGTCGTCGCCACGAAAAAATGGATCTCCAGTGAGTACTAAAGGGAAAAGTAAAAAATACCAGAAAGAAATAGCATCAAAAGAGGATTTTTCGAAAGATAACTTATTCCAGAAGGCAGTGAATGCTGCCGGCATATCCTCAAAATAGGTGGATTAAGAATCTTGCAGTGGAATAGCCGGTCAATTTTTTCCGCAACTACTGATTTATTTTGCCTTTGTAATCAGCATTTCCCAGATGTTATAGTGTTGCAAGAAACTTGGCTTTCTAAAGAAAAAACCTTTCATCTTAAAAACTACCGAACATTTCGCTTATAGACCGCCCCTCTCGAGGAGGTGGTTCAGTAGTGTTTATCTCTTCAAAAATAGCACATCGGGCAAATGTTGCAGGTCAAATAATGAATTTAGAAAGTGAAATTTTAACATTAGATATCGCTCTTCCAGGACACAATTCCTTTTCGTTAGTAAACGCTTATTTTCCGTCAGGTGTTCAAAATTCTAGTGTTTTAGATACCGTAATTTCATCTTGCAGAAAAGACATATTAATGGTAGGAGACTTCAATTCTCATCACACTTCGTGGGGATTCAGAACAGATGTAAGTGGAAAGCGCTTGTGGGATGTTGTTGCTAAACATAATTTAACATGCATTAACCAGCGAACTCCCACGTTTGTATGCAATCAGTCGCATTCTGCGATTGATCTGACTTTCTGTAGTCCTAGCCTCCGTATTTCTACTTGGTCTACTTTAAACTCGGGTACAAATAGCGATCGTTTTCCTATATTGTTTGAACTTGTATGTCCCGTGACTTCAATCATCAGGCAGCCCACTTCTCACATCAATTTTAAAACATTTGAACAGACACTACGTGTGGCTTTGTCAAAACGAACCGAGGTAAATAAAGAGCGAAATGTTATCAACTTTAAGGATGTTATAAAACAATCTTTAAATAAAGCTAAATTCACAGTTCAGGTCTTCAAACAACGCCTTTTGAATCATTGGTGGAACTCTGATTGTTCACGTCATTACAGGCTAAGAAAAGCACCATGGCGAAAACTGCTCTATAATCAGTGCCCTAGAAACTGGAGCGATTACAAATACGCGGCTGCAATTTTTAAGTAAACAGTTGCCACTGCGAAGGATAACTATTATAGCCAACGTTCCGAGTTCCTTTCAAAGCCTGGCCACAGGAAATCACTTTTCAACTTCCTTAAAGCTAAAAAAGTAATCCCACCATCAGCAAACCTCGAATCGATAGTTTCAACGCCACGTGGGTTGCCTACTTTTCTGGAAAATATTGCTCAAAGGCTGGAAAGCCGCTTCACGGCTGCTAACTTTTACCACTCGCCGTGCCCTGTTAACAGCGATGACTTTGAATAGGTTACAGCGTCGGAAATAGCACACGTAGTGAAAATATTGCCCAATGCTGCTCCAAGTCCAGATGGAATAACTGCATCGGTAATAAAAATAATCCATAAAGTATCACCTCAAGATTTACTTGCAAATAGTTAACCACTGCATTAGACATTCGTGGATTCCGCCTGAGTGGAGAATCGCGAAAATATTTCCTTGATTAAAGAAACATGGAGCTGGGTTTACATTCGATAACATTAGGCCTATTTCACTCACATCTAATCTGCTAAAACTAATTGAAAGACTTCTAAACAATAGAATAGACAACTGGTTGGACGAAAATGCAATTTTAAGCCTATGCCAAATTGAATTCAGACGTGGCTGCTCCATTTGGTGTGCCCATGTTGATCTGGAAAGCAGGATACAACTAGCTCGTTCTAAGAAACAGGTTTCTGTCTTCGTAACTTTAGATATTGCAAAGGCTTACGACAGTGTGGAGCACATTAAACTAATAAATTTGCTAACGCACATCGGGTTACCAAATTACTTCGTGGTATGGGTTTACTGCTTTCTAAAAGATAGAGAATTCTATTGCTCTCAATCCGGCATGTCGTCTTTAAATTATAAACAAACTATAGAGGTCTTCCCCAAAGATCGGTTCTTTCACCATTATTATTTAATATTTTATTGCGCACAATTCCAGTACAACAGGATGTACAGGTGTATGTATACGCTGACGACATAGCATTTTTTGCCACAGCTACAGATATACATACATTATATCAGATGCTACAGTTTTATATGAACGCTCTGGACACATGGTTAGACGACATTAATCTATCATTAAACATCAGGAAAAGTGCAGTCGTAGTTTTTCCTATAAGTGTTCCAGTGCAGATTTTCGTACTTTACAGACAGGACTTTATCCCGCAGGTGGCATCGATTAAATACTTAGGAGTGACTTATACTGAAAACCTAAATTGGAGTCCACACATAGAAAATATGGCAGCTAAAGGAGCACAGGCGCTTGGAATGCTTCGTAGACTCAGCAATAAACGTTGTGGTTTACGTCGTGATGTGCTAGTAATGATATATTGTATGTATATTCGCCCAATATTGGAGTTTGGCTGTGTCTTGTTTTCTGGAGCACCCGCCTACAAAATTAGACCACTAGAACGCGAAGTGCTATGGTTATGTCTTGGGCTCCCAAAATTTGTCGCAATTAATATTTTATATAAGGAAGCGCGCCTGCCTTCTCTTCGTGCTAGGTTCCAAATACTAGCAGTTCGTACCTTCCTAAAAATATACGCATCCCCACATAGGAGGCCACAATATGTTTTCATTAATGAGCCCACGTCCTTTTTTAACCATCAGTGGTCTAGATTAAAATGTCCACAAGTCATCTTCGTACAGAAGCTCTTGGAAACATTACAAGTTAACCTTCGTTAAGTACGGGTACTAAAAACACCTATTCAAACAACGAAAATAGAATTTGACAATATTTTCCCTAATAATTACAAAACTCTTCCCAGTAGATATCTAGATGCCATTTTGAAAGACCACCTGGCAAGATTAGACATAAAGATTGTGATAGCAATGGATGCTTCAGTTCGCGAAGAGAAGGCAGGAGTCGGAATTGCATCTTCAGTGTTGTATTGGTCTTTTTCGATTCGTTTACCCGATTTTACACCTGCTTATCAAGTGGAATTACTGGCAATTCTCTTAGCGTTACGAAAATTACCTCAAGCAATAACAGATGCTATTATTCTTTCAGACTGCTTGTCTGTATGTAGTTCATTAGCTGCGCCTAATATGTCCAATGCTTTAAAAGTATTTCACGACCTTGCCCCAAGACATTTACGACTCATTCGCTTTGTGTGGATACCAGGGCAAAAAGGTTTAACCCTCAATGAATATGCAGATGCACTCGCAGTGGCCTCACATAATTATCCCATAATTTCTATATTACCGACGCTAGCATATATCGCCGTGGCACGCTTTGAAAAATATTTCATGTCAGATCAGTTTGAAAATTCTCGATTGGCAACATCGGATTTTTCCCATCTTAAGTACCCTTGGAAAAATCGATGGTGCTCCTCTAGAACGGCGGAGATATCAATTACGAGACTAAGATGCCGAGTCCCCCCCCCCCCCCCCCCCTGAACTTTTATCTACACAGGTCTGGTCTGGCATGGTCTCCCCTATGCCTCCACTGCAACGAGAGTGAATCCCTTCACCATTTCCTTTTAACATGCAGGTTATACACAAACCAACGGAGGAGACTATTAGAAGAACCTCTCCGTAGGTTGGCTCTAAATTTATCTCTTCCGGTGGTCCTCTCCTTTGGAGCAACTGAAAAGAGATTTAGCCACAGGAATGTTTGCGAGGCCGTATCCGACTTTCTAAAGGCAACAAAACGATTAGAATGTTAAGCTGAGGCATAAATTCACTTTATTTCAAATTATATTAGCCTCCGACTGTCTGTGTGTGGCGGAATGTGGTCGCGGTTTTACCCTTCCTCCTCCCTCCGTCTGTGCACCATAGGGGCGGGGTCGCGTTTCAGTAGAAATCAGTTTTGTTTACTCCTAAGCTGCAGGAGTGCGAACCGCATACTCGGTGGCTCTGCATTAAGTTACAGCGAAGCAGGCTTGGGCGAAAAAGAAATATATGCCACCCGGGTTCAAGGACTTCCAGCCAGGCACCCCCACCGCCATCATGAACGGAAGGTGGGACGAGACGGGGGTTAATACCGTCCCTACCCCCCCCCCCTATCTCACCTCGAGTGAAGGAAACTGCCAGACCTTAAAGTTAATTCATTCATTCATTCATTCATTCATTCATTCAAGTGTTGGCAGTTTGACGTCTTTTCTTTTCTTGCGCCTTTTATTATCGCAACAGAGAACTTTTGAGACTGACAATTGTCTGCCCTATCGCAAACTTGCAGGAAAATTGCACTCTATCTTAGAAAATTTTCTTTACAACATATAAATTAGCACAGTTTAGATGGTATTAGACAACTAAGGGAAACAATAAACAATTTCGCGCTTGTGCTGCTTTTTACAATGGCTTCCCATCGAGCTCTTTCAGACCTTCATATGTGTGAAACGCTGAAAAATAAACATCATGATCATGGTTAATGTTCTTTTTATCTCGTATTTTATTTGCTGTAGGATTTACCCAGCTGAAGCATGGAAATGGCATACTATGCAAGGTTCCCGCTTCCACACTACCGCTTATATAACCCTCCGTCCACTCGGCCACACCCTGCAATGTTATGGTCTTAAAGGGGACTTACAACACTTTTTGAGCATGGCCAGAAAACGCTGCCGATCGGCAGTAGGGGCTTTCGAGAACACGCTAGCTAAATATTATAGCGCAGAACACAGCCTGAATTTCACAATAAATTATCAAAGTCAACTCAGAATTGTTTTCTCTTATCTCGACAAATGACGGAAGACGCTCAAAAATCACCCGTAGAAAGCCATCTATCAGCCATTGGCCGATTTGAACATGGCGCGCTCGGCCGTGACAGGGATCGCCACGGCAAACCGGGACCCTTCCACGTGTGCGCGCGCGATCACACTGAAAAAAAGCCGCGTATTCGAAGAAAAAAAAACTAACTAGAACAGTGCTGAAGGTCACGAGGCACATGTGACGTATTTTCTTTGCCCCTGCCATCCCTCTCTGCTTTGCTTCCAGCGCCTTCGTTGGGACTAGAGAAGAGATAATGCGATTGCAGCGTGCGACAAATATTTATAACTCCGCTCGTACACGACGGATTCTGAAAATATTTGCGGCGTCGCATTCATGAGGCAATAAGCTAATTTACTGAATCCATTCCATGGTTACCTGAAAAAGTGTTTCAGGGCCCGCTTTAATTGTAAAAACCCCGTGCTCGTTGGGCCATTTCCTGTCTAAGTCACTGCATTTATTCTGTACTTGTGCCACCTGGCCAACCTAAAGTTCAAATTTAGATCTCACCAATCATTTATTTTGTGTGCATCACAACTTCCCGCATGTCCCTTGAAAATTAATGGAACGCCCCTGCAGCTTAGCTAGTACAGTGTTAGTACAGCTAGACAGGTTCAGAGCGCGCTTGTGTCGTCCCTTTCGTGTTTGTGTCTAACCCGGTGTGCGCGGCCGTTTATCGTAAATATGACCATCCAACTGGCCCACAAGTACATTTCAAAGTTATATGCGTTGGGCGTCCAAATATAGGGGCCACCATGACTTTTAATCTCATTAGAGATCGTCAGTGCAATGGAGGACACGCAGTCGCTTCATCCCTGCCTTTCCTTTACTCCCCCCGCTTTATTTTGTTCGCCAGCCACTCCAATGGTAAACACAGAGGAACGTGAGGGGGCACCGGCACTAACCTGATTTGACAGTTTCGTGTTCCGAGCGTTCAAATGAGAGCTCACGCGGCGTCTCAACCAGCTGGTACCCGAAGATGGCACCCATGGTGACGTCATGCGACACTAAGCGTGTGCGCATCGATGTACTATATTGTTAGATGTTTCCACGTTCATACTGATACACAACAGCCGGCACAGCCTTGCTGCAAGAAAGAGAAAGACGACGTCGGTTTCTAGTTGTTGATGAACTGTCGCCATCTTGTTTGCCGAGCATGGTCCATCGTATATAATTCATTAAATAAGTTACTCGTAACAATAGAGTTGTGACTACACCAAAGATAATGTGCTCGGCGAAATAAGCGTGTATCAGTTTTTCTCTCTCCTCTTACCGCGGTGGACTTTTCTGCAAGTGCTTCGATTAACCATATCATTGTAAATAGCGCAACAAAACAGCACGACAGAAAAGAATGGACGAACGCTGCTGTGCTGTTTACTTAAATTACAACAACGATTTTTCCAAGGCCTGCATAACGGGTGATAAATATAATCATTAAAAAAAACGATCGTGGTAATACGAGCCTTTACCATCGTTTAAAAAATACCGCGTGTTTTGCAGCGCAACCTAGTAACGCCAACAAAAACTTTCTTTCGGTTACTTGTGGCCAGACGAAGCAAGCGCCTGGTCTCTAAATACAAAAAAAAACATTTTATTGAGTATTTATATTTTTAGGTGCTTTTTATAATTTCAAACCAGAGTAATGTGGTTATGATGTGCTCGCAGAATTTTGGAGGTTACTGCAGGCTTGCCGAGTCGACACATTATTTGTCCATTCACTCGGCCAACTCCTTGCATCACCTTTCACAAACGTTGCCTTTCACGGCGCCTGCTGGTCTGTTGAGGCAGTTGAAGGAAGCCCAAAGCTGGTGTTTGGTCCGCCGCTGTTTCTTCGTGATCAAATCAACTTTTAAAAGTTTGTAGACAAGCTTCAACGCACAACATGAGTGAAGGCACCCAACATGCAGAGGAGAGTGAGTTACGAAGTTTGCTACATCAAGTGCTGTCATGGCAAATACCGGCATCGTGCTCTGCTAACTCTTACCACATCTTGATGTGCCTTTCCTCATGTTGAGCAGCAGAACAAAATAGACTGAAGGCACATTTACACGTAACCATTGAGATACTTATTTTACCAACTTTATGAACTGATTGACTTGATGCCCGTCTTTGATCACCGTCGTCGCGTATTTGAGGGTTGGTACTTTCGGTTGGAGTGAAACATCGGCAGCTTTCGCGTGTCCGTGCGACACATGTGGCTGGTTACGCACCACAGCGTCTAGTCAGGCAAAATGGACGTAATAGCAGTCATAGATCGGAGTTGATCCGGCCCAACTTTGCCGATCAAAAGGCCTTTCGCATTTCTTGGTGCTGCGACGGATTGCCAACGTCATCATTCTTTCGTTTTCAGTTGTGCATCGCATTAGCGCTTTTGATAAGTCATAAATTCTGGGACATTTGGATGAAGTCACATCAATCCTCTGCACACATGTGTTACGATAAACGCTTAGAGAGGGCTATGTCTACTACAACCATCAACTGATTCTCGTTGATGTATGGAGACAAATAATGGACAAGCACATACATCTAAAGTGCGAGATGACACAGACACGTGGAAAATGTCTACTCGTAACAGTTACTGGCCAAGACGTTTATGAAAAATTCTATTTCAAGGAGTTCCTTCTATGTGACAAAGTAAGAATTCTGCCATGAATGAGAGAAAGCAAGTTCTACACCTATCGTATGGACACCTTTGAGCATAGTAGAACTATTACAATGTGATCCAGCTATAATAATTAATGTTTTATTACCTCTCTTGTGATAAAAAGAAAAAAATTCAATGCAGCCCAAAACTTTTATCATGTATCGCAGCTACTGAACGTGAATGATTTCTTACGTTTTCTTTTTCTATCGTAAAATCCTGAAAAATTCCCCTTCTCCTTCCTATTTGAAACATAATTGGAGAAGATTTGGAGAGGGAGGGATTCTTACTTGTTCGCAAAGCAGAATTCTAGATGGTGCCAAAGAACCTCTAAGCATCTAAGCAAAACGCAGTTTTGTGCTGCTAATTTTTTTTTTTTTTTGAATATGCATGCATTTACTGTTTCTACTGAACCGGAGAGAATCCTTGTGTTAAGTTTCATGTTCTATGACAAAGGGGAAAACACCCTTCAAGTGTACTGACAACTTGTGACAACTCGGAATGCAATCCTGAGGCACCACGTTGTAAATGTACCAAGAAATTGTGCAGATATCTTAAGGCTCTCCAGACTTAGGTTCCTAGAAACAGTTGCTGCGGGAATCTGTAGCAGAGAACAGGTTGAATAAAAAAAATGTAGAGGGAAGGGGGGGGGGGGGGGGCTTGCTCAGAGATTGGAGCTTATTAGCTTATTTCAAAAGAGATAGAGAATAAGGAGAAATGCGAGAAGTTAATCAGGGTTGAGTCTAGTAGGCTACCCTGCACTGGGGAAGGGTGAATGAAAGTTATCACCTATTCTGGGAGGAAGCGGGTTGAAACCTAGTAGATACATGATGCCGTGGCCTGGGTCACAATGTGCTGGCGCATCTTTCAAATTTTCCCAAAAGCGTAAGAGGTCGCTTGCTTGTGATTTTACAGTAATTGTAACGCGTCAAACTGAAAACAGCCCCAATGTATTCATCAGACGCACGTCAGTGGAAGGCTTGTGATAAATGACATGTAAGATACTAGTGCCTAATGAAGCATGAATAGCAGCAGACAATGAAACAGCAGCATATCACAAAAAATACGCAACAAATAGAACCTAAAAACCAGGTTGATAGCATATACAAAGATACAGACACCAATTAAGAGAAATTCTGTGACGGAAAAAGGTTTCAGAAATATGCATTTTTTAAAATCGCTCTCTGCATATGCTGGTACTCATGTAATCATTCACCAAGGTCTTGGTAGGATTGGTGCTGAAGCTATTCAATGTCCCCTACCTAGTGCAACCTACGTGAAAACTTGGCTTCTTGATGTGCCTGTGTATGAATATAAAACCAGCACTTGGCTTCCCTCTTAACAATCTGCTATTTTGCTGAACATAAATTGCAACAACACTTGTACAAGATACTTCATAAATGTATTTAAGTGACAGGCCATTCTACAAAAAAAGTATTTCTGCAGAGTACAAAAATGTCTGGAAAAATATTTTGTTACCTTGAGAATACTGCCAAGGTACGTTTGCTAGTGAGGCTTGAGAAGAAAAATATTGTGAAAGTCGTCTGCCAAAATACTTTATTAAAATAGAAATTTCAGATATGTTCACGCTCATACCATGCCTTTGCTCTTTGTCAACGGGTTGCTGCTAGGAACTCGCAAAAATGTGGTCTGCAGAATGCTCTTCTAAATTACTTACTTCAGGTAGCTAGCCACCAGAAAATTTTTTACAGTTTTTTTTTTCTGGACTGATTTCAGAGGCCTACATTTTACTGTTCTAAAAACGCAAATAGGTAAAATTTGTTGAAGGTCAAATGTCACATCTCATATTTGCAAGGTGTTTCAGCACGCGAACAAAGGAAAAAAGGACAGGGTAGACAGAAAGAGTGCTGTGATGACAAGACAGGTGATGGCAGTGAGCTCTTTCTGTCTACCCTGTCCTTTTTTCCTTTGTTCGCACGCTGAAACACCTTGCAAATATGACTACGCACCAACTAGCCCAAGCTTCCACTCTTGTGAGTCACATCTCAGTTTTTCTGTCTGTGTTTGGTGGCCGCGTGTTCCTTCGGAGCATCACCACATCTATGTTTTATCCAAACTGTCTGTAGTCAAAGTCCTACTGAACAGCCACATACATCTAGCACTGCACAACAAAGTACTCCTGTCTGCTGCTTGCTTTAAAATTATGACTTGGCCTTCCATCTCACAAAGTTTAGTGGTGATGGTACCTGTAATTTTAATGGGCATTCGTTTTATATCATGTACTCCACAATGAGTTGAAGTGTACGCATTTTGATCTTGCAGGAGAGCCGCTGTATATATCCGAAGCACATGGTGATGACAAGACAGGTGATGGCAGTGAGCTAAAGCCAGTCAAGAGTTTGCTACAGGTATGTCTCCTTGCTCCCTTTAATAAACTGAAAGCGCACTTATTTAGCACTGGAAAAGCTTCTTACGGAAATATTGTTCATGCAGGCAATGAGGATAGCTGCCAAGGAACCCTTCCCTCAGTTCTATGGTGATGGCAAAGATGGAGAGGTAAGCATGGCTTCCAAGCTCATGTCTTGATAGAGATATCGCACGGTCTTGGTCAAATATAGAAGGCCACCATGTTGCATACCCATTTGGTCCTTCACCTTTGTAGCGCAGTTAAACATTCACCCCATCCGACTGTATAACTGAGACTTTCTACTTAGTTTCCTGTGGTCTGCTATATGCTTTGCCTTATTATATGTGGAAACAAGTAAAAATTGTGCCTTGTTCTTTCTTTTCTCCCTTGCAGAAGTGGACCTTAGTGTCTCAGTCTCAGGTTAAAAAGGTGCGGAAGATTTGGGCACGAGAACAGTATAAAAACACTGAGCGAACTCAGAAGGAAGCCGAAGATGAGGCACGACGTGAGAAGAACATTGAAGAAGCCAAGAAGGTGAAGATACAGCTAGATCCGTCTTTACCAGACCCTGTCAAGGTGAGTATTGTGTCTCGTGTAGAACCGTTTTTTTTTTATTACGCTACAAAACTTTGTGCGGCTGATGTTCTGCTTTGAGTTCTAAAACATATATGCATGCTTGTGCTGTAGCACTTATGAATGGCACTTATGAATGCCGCACTCGAGAAACCATGTTAGGTGGCTATGGCAGACGGTAAGCAGAGAGAAAATCACAGGTGTGACTCAGTATCCAGTTTCGGCAACAAAGTATTTCTGCCACCAGTGTAAAGATAACCATGCATTGTTCATGTACTAAGTGCTTGAGCTGACATATGGCTTTAATGGGCTCTTTCAGACAGAAGATAAGACTCACAAGAATAGTGTGCTGGCAATCTATAGAAGCTGGAAAGAAAGGAGCCAAATGCACAATTGAAGCAGTCATTTTAAGCAAGTATCTAGATCAGTGCTGTGCACTGCATGACGACTAAGAAACTAAAACTAAAAGTCATCAGCAGGCTGGATTGCTAGCAGTCACATAGCTCAAGGTATAACGGCGACAAGCTCATTCCAAGAAAATAGAGCAGTTAATCTAGCACGATGCCTCTTTTATTTCTGTTTTAAAGTTATAATAAATTGCCGAAACAACTAGCTCAATCGGGGTTTCTGCTACAGTACCTGAAGGCCGCATGGTTTTTTTTTTTTTCAGGCTGTGTGTTCTCATATGGCCTGTTGGGGGGCTTTGGGATTTGGTTATGTTATTATTTGCTAAATATTGTATTGATTTGTAGGACCAAAAAAGAAAAAAAAAGGCAGATGCAGTTCCTGAATGCTTTGCGACATTTATTGAAAAGGAGCAACATTACTAGTGTCCGTGTGTTTGCTTGATTTTGTACTTTTTTCACTCTCCTCAGTGACTGTAGCATTTTGTTGCATTGTTTGAGGTTGCAGATATGATTCTTGGTCGTTTGTGCAATATAGGATTGTGTGGTAAGTAGTGAAAGTGTTGTGGTATGTATTTTTTATTTAGTGTATAATCAAAAGGTATGCAGTTTAGTCATCTGGTCTTTCATTGCCTGCAATTCGCTTTGGGGCATTGAACCAATTTAATTTTAGTCTGTGGCTCATTCTCACTGGTTTTGAGAGGTGTATACACTAAAACCTCAACATAACAAACCTGGATATAAATAAATATGGGTTATAACAAAGATAATGAAAAATAGCCTTGCAATAGACATTGTGTTAGGACTATACCTTTATTACAAATTTTTGTATAGTATGACGAACTTATTTTCAACTAGGAGGCTACTTTGTTATAGTAACGTTTGAGTGTATCTGTTTTGTTTTGAACTCTGAAGGCTCGACGAAGAGCATTGAGTTAAATTGCTTATAAGGTTGTAAAAGGTGCCTCTCCTATGACCTAAGGCAGGTCTGGAAAATTGTGAATATTAAAATCCGGAACGTTGTGTTAAGGAAGAACCAAGCGATGACTTCGTTGCAATTATCTCTTTGACCAAGTCATTGCTCTCACAACAAAACTTTTCAAAAGTACCCAGTTTAATGACATACATTGATACAGTTTCTTCTTTTATAGAAACAAAGCATCAATTTTGTTTGGCCAAATCGGGGGCTAATGGTAGGAAACTTCTCTTGATGCAAGCAGTGTGAATATGAGCTCACGTTAACAGCTAACGACAGAGTTAGCTACTCTGTCGCCATCTAATAATGACCGTCTTGGTTTCTTGGTTGTTTACAGATCAAGATCCGTGAAGCCAAAGGCCATCGGGGCAAGCGTGTGCATTTGTATGGCTGGGTCCACCACCTGAGAAGACAGGGCCGATCGCTCATGTTCATCCTGTTGCGGGATGGCACAGGCTTTCTTCAATGCATCCTCACTGACCAGCTGGTATGTCATTCCTGCATGTACCACAGATTGCTTGCGCAACAATCTCGAGAACAGAAAACTAATGTACATTTTGAATAACCTTATGAGTGTTCTCTATGGCATCATCCTGTTATATTTATATGTACACTTGATGTGCTGTGCAGAAAGCAGTATGTTGCTTGTACTGCGACAATGGAGTGGCTTATCCTGGTGTTCACAAAAACACACCAGCTGTGAGCTTTTGAAAAGATAAAAGTAAAGGGAAAAGTGTGCAATGAAATCCAGTTACAGTTGCCTTTTCTTTTTTGCAGCATTCAACATGAGTGAAAAATTTAATAATAATAATAATAATAATAATAATAATAATAATAATAATAATAATAATAATAATAATAATAATATATTCTTGTTAATTCCTCTGAGGTGTCTACGGATTGTTTAAATTGGCTGAAGTAATTGTCATCGCAACAGATGCTCACTTCTAATTTAGCCATAAATGAGAAGTGTCTACAGAAGCTATTTTAACAAAGCTGTAGGGCTAATTTCATATGAAAGCTGCTGTATATGGAAGCAGGCGTTTTTCACAATCGAAGATGATGTTACAGTTGTGTTTCGGTGAGTAAGAATAGTGTTCCGATATCGTAAATCACAGTGCTGATATGGGAACATAAAGCTCAAAGTGCTTTCATTATTGAAATCATCCAGTGATTCCTCAGCTGTTTTGACACTAGTGTTTTGTTTTTTCAAATTGTGTGCATGTTTGCTAGCTATCTGTCTGCATCTCTCCCTTCTAGTGTCACACATACGAAGCACTTATGCTGTCTACGGAGTCATCTGTCCATCTTTACGGAGAGCTTCGTGCTGTTCTTGAAGGCAAAACGGTAAGGCTCTAGTGACTACACATGATTAATTAATTCATTCATTCATTTTTATTTCCTTAAAGACCCCTGAGAGGGTATTACGTAAGGGATGGGTTAACATACAATCGATAGTATTGTCACAATGGTCAATTTTCAGTTACATTTGAAATGCTATACATGAGGCATGATGGGCAGGGGATCTTGGCAATATCATGGGAAAGGCCATTCGTGTCTTTTGCGGCTCTATGGAAAAAAAAAAAGAAGCAGAAAATGTTTTAGTACAGGCACCCTTGCCCAGCTCCCAATTTAGAACAAAAATATTTTGTATTGTTGGGCAAGTAGTCCCTGCATTGTTGTCAAACAGACGTGGCAGAGCAATGCACCCTTCATTGTTGCTTTTTTGTTATTCAACATTGAGCGTTGAGGCAATGTAAATCCAAATTATAAGAATCAGCTAGCACTTCGTAAAAATGTTACTTCCGTTGCACTGTTTACATGTGGCTGTCAATCCATGATTCATATTAGAGCTTTGTAGATTCACATAGATAGTAGCTAGCGTAAATCAATCAATTAATCATTTTATTTTCCGCTTGAGCAAGTAGAGGGCATGGGAAAAAAAAACTCCTGCGAGCTTGACTAGGCTTATTGTTTAGGTTGCTGTTTTGTGTAGTTATATTGTTTTCTGATCATGTTTTGCAGGCACCCGGTGGCCACGAACTTCATGTTGACTATTGGGAACTTGTCGGAGATGCTCCAGCTGGAGGTCTGGAGGATGTTATCAACAAGGTATTTATGGGAATGTAAATACTAAAAGGAATTGATGCACAACGATAATACCTAGTTGAATGACTACTCTGGGATTGTCATTTCAATTGAGAAAGGTTTACGTCGATATAGCACTCCGAATAAGCGCTTTTGTATAAACCTCACGAATTACAGCTTATGGCTATTTTGGTGCCTTTGAAAACAGAAATACAAGTAGCAAACTAGCTTTTCGCTCAGATGGTGTAGCCACACCAACTTCACCAACTGGAACAAAATTTTGCACTGGGTGAAAATGCCGAGTTTCTTGTAGTGTTGTGTATGTTATAATGAAGGTAGATGAGTCACAATTACCTGGGGCAGCTGTGGTAGCTGTGGCTGACTGGAAGATCTAGGAGGCAATGACCTGGTGTTTGAATCAATTTGTAGCGTACTTTCTAAACACCAGGTGCATGCATTGTTTGTTCTTCGTGCTATTTAGAGGCTATTAATAAAAAAAACGACAGGCCTGCACGGAAGACACGGCACAGTCACAGCGAAAGCTAAAACAGTGGCCTTTCAGAGCCTTTTCTAAACACTCATTGGGTAGCTACTGCAAGTACACTTGCTTGGTACCCACTAGGGCATTAATAATAAACTTTTGGGCAGTAGGCCGGCATTCGCTGTGCTATTTCTGTCATTCTTCTGCGAAGCGTGGTATCCGCTAAACACTTGCAGGGAATTTTTGTGCTAATTGTTCATGCAGTGGCTGATCACGATGAGGAATTGTGCCTGAAGCGTCCATGTGCCACAGGTAATAGGTGAACAAGAACAAGCTTTTGTAATGGGTTGGAGCATTGGACGACCCACTCGGTACGCTATTTCCATTGTGTGATGACTTGTTGTTGCTTTGCTGGCTTAAAACACTTTACAAGTCGTATTAACGTGATTACTTTCCCCACGTCAAGCCTGCCCAAGGCAAGTTTACCAACAAGTCCCACGCACCAGCGTGGCTCAGTGCAAAAACGTTCTTTTTCAAATTACACACCGGAACACTTCCTGTAAGAACCTTCCTAGAGGAGCGTGGGTTTTATATGCCTTGGGGATCTCACTGTCTAACCTGTAAGAAACCGGAAACTATTGACCATGACCATGTTTTTTTGCACTGTTGGGAAGGAGTTTATTTTTGGGACGTATTACAAAGGACAATCAAAAAAGAGTTCCCGTTAGACCCTCATGGGATCAGGTATTTGGCAATAGAGAATGAGGATGGATTACCTTTCGATTTTATCATGATGACTGCCTTGCACAGTATATGGCGCTCTAGAATGGCTGGATTTCATTGTGATCCAGACAGGAGACCAGCAAGAGGGTATTTTAAAGAAAGCATCTCAAGATTACTCGAGGTAATAAGAACAGACGAATGTGTACCTTTATGGGTAGAAAGGGTAGAAGCCCTACTGACCATGAAGGAATTCTAGGACGTGATATGTTATAGTAATGCTTGACGGCCTTAGTTATTTTTAAGTTTTTTGTATTGTTCGTTGTGAATTGTAATATAATTATCTTAGCAACCCATTTGTGATGCTTACCCGGAAATAAAGAAAAAAAAAAAACAGCGTGGCTCAGTGGTAGAATACTGGGCTGGCACCCAGCAGACCTGGGTTCGAGCCCCACTGTGTCATTAGTACTCTTTTTTTTCTTTTCTAATTTCATGCGTTGTGGTTATGGACACCGACAGCAGCGGCGGACAACTATGGCAGCGTGTGACCAGAGTTTTGATGTCATAACAGCCTTTGCTCTAAAAGAATTGGGCGATGATAGCCCGGAGGTTTTGCCAAGGGGGGCTTCAGTAGCGAGCACTACTCGTGCTTGATAGTGAAGTTTTGATGCTGTTTGGCTTTTGACTGTCATTCGAAAAATCAGCTTTCTTGTTTCTGTCCGATTTCAGTGTCAGCAGCTTCTTTTTTTTTTCCCCAGGAGTCTCACATTGACATTCTGCTTGAAAACCGCCACCTTGCACTGCGGGGAGACACGGTAAGCTTCAAGAATGTCATGTTTACAAATACAGTAAAACCTCATTGATATGTTTCCCCCCCCAAAAATGAAGAATATAAATGTATGATCTGAATCGTGCTGTCTGAATCAGGTTAATTTAATTTTCACGATTGCGAGCATAGGAGCCAGGAAATCATATAAGCAGGAACGTATCAACAAGGTTCTACCGTTAGTCATATGGATTCCTGACATCTTTAAAAAATGTAAAAGGCAGTGCGATTCATTTCTTGCTGACCTCATATTGAAACTGGTGTCTCAGTGCCAGTTGATTGGCATATCAGCCAGCTGTTATACACTTGTTAGTTTGGCCAGTTATTGCTATGAACATGTATTGTTAATTTGATGAGCTTTCACCATTGAGCACCACACAGCATTTAATCGGACACTCAAGTGAGGTGCTGCAAGTTGTGAAGTCTTGGCATTGGCTAAGTGTCAGCGCATGAAAAAATTGCGTGGATTTTGCTATTTTGTTAGCAGAGGAAGGACTACAAAACTGTTGGATGCTTAGAACATTTATTATAGAGAAATATCGGATTCAGAATTATGGTCAACAGTTGGCTGAGTATTACACAGTATGTCAAAAGCACGGCCATTGAGGCTTTTCACTTTGAGTCTATCATTGCATTCTACAATCACATTTATTCTGCATCAAATTTAACAGTTTTTATATACCATCTTGCAAATTAAACTGACAGTGATGTGTTTTTACTTGGCTTCTGTGAGTTTTTGAGCCCTTCGAATATTCAATTAATAATACAGTATTTGAATTTGCTTCTATTAGAATTTAAAATATTGGAAATTAGAAGTATTCGAAATGAACGAATAAGTGTATATTACCTAAACCAGGCCGCATGCAATCCCCTTGTAAAGGTGGTTTCACCTTACAAGCGCATATCCAGGGAAAATTTATGCTGTCACGAAGTTTCAACTGATTACTCTCGGATCAATCCATCATTATTTAAGTTTATAATCTTGTTATGGCGACATTTATTCTGTAATTTCTGATTTTATTATTGTAAGTGTAGTGAATTTTAAAACTTAATGTAATTTACAAAATATCATATGCATTCTACAGAAAGCCAAACCCTGCTACTATTGAAGGTTGTTTCCAGTTACTCTGAAGCAAAAAGAATGACATTTGTACATCCCCTGTTTCAATTAAAAAAAAAATATTGGGTAGATTAGTTGGGTCATGACAAACACACTCATTTTTATTTGTAATATGTGATACAAACTATTCAAATCTGATTCAGAATTATTCAGTTAATTTGAACCTAAGTTTTACTATTTGCACAAGCTTAGTTTTCACCCATGATAACACTAAATTTGCCTTCCTGACTGGGGTCGCAGCTATGTCAACAGGGCTGGTTGCATGCTTGTTCATTAACGGACCCGTCCATTCCTTTTCCCTTCACTTTCAGCTGTCTAAGATAATGACTGCCAAGTCTGCTGTAATGCACTGCTTCCGGGACTACTTCTTCAGCAACCACTATGTTGAGGTTATTCCACCAACCATGGTGCAGACACAGGTTGAAGGGGGCTCAACACTGTTTGCATTCGACTACTTTGGGGAGCAGGTATGTTGTGTGCACACTGCTTTTGTTTTTTGTTTTTTTTTTTGTATGTCCAGCAGTTTGTCTTGTCCCTAATTTTAGGTCTACAAGACTAAATATAAGCATGCATTAGTCATAGTTTCAGCATAGACCTTGTCAAGAACACAAGATAAGTTTCAACTCACAACTTTAAAATACATTTCAGAAATAATTCATACAGGGTGTCCCAGATACGATTCAAAGTGTAAAAAATGAAGCATATAGATAATTTTATTAAAATAAAACTAACTGCACATTATAAAAGTCTTGTTGAACCATCAGTAATTCCTTTATACTGAACATAGTTATTTAATTATAAGTAATTCTTTGTAAAACTAAAACCACATCAAAGTCTTAATTGACCCACAGCACTTGGCTGATTTTTCTCTCATAGCCCAGTGTTTTGGTCAGGCTTCTTTAGAAACTTGCGAAATATGAAAATTTCATGAAACTATCTGCCTTTAGGACAGTGCAATCAGACAGCTTTAGAAAATAAGCAAGCTTTTACTCTCGGGCTTGCCATTCAAAGGGGTGAATTTGACCTTACTTACATTATTAAGTCTGTGCATTATTGCTGAAACACTATATATAGCCAGCCAGCACTGCTGTCTTCAGTGATCACCTCACTCATTGTTGAGGAGTAGTGGGGCTTAACAGTGTGAGTTTATTTAAATATAGTCATGAATGTGTTTGCTTTCATTTCATATTTTCCCTACTGCATCTAAACCTGAAGAAACTGCCTCACGAAGCAACACTCAGCCATATTTTCTCAAAAAATAAATAAAAAAGAAAAAAAGATCTATTCAGCTTGAATCGCTTTTCTTTGTTTGCTAACACTCTTAGTTAGTGTTAATAGATAATTTACATGCATAGGAAGAGCACTGTAAGCACGTTGCACTTGAAACATGCCTTTGCACAATTTTAGCTTGAACCGAATGACTGCCCTGCATTGTCGAAGCTTGTGAAAGAACTCTCCGTGTTACATTATTTACAGCTTCTCATTCCATCTGTCGCAGGCCTACCTGACGCAGTCCTCACAGTTGTATCTGGAAACTGTTGTGCCTGCTCTTGGAGATGTCTTTTGTGTGGCACAGTCCTATCGAGCAGAGCAGTCTAGGACGCGGCGACATTTGGCCGAGTATGTTTCTCCTTTTTTGCTGCTGTATGATGAACATGCGGACATGTTGCGAATTATTCACTATCTGCAGCAATTTATTATAAACTTCTTGCATATTTTCTCAGATTCATATGCTTGTGTTGTCCTTTTTCGTGTTTCGTGTTTGTGTCTTAGCCCGGTGTGTGCTGTCGTTAATTGTAGATACAGTCGAGCCCACATATAACGGCCCCACTTAAAACGAACAATATTCGTGTGACCGTGAAAATATACATTGGTTCAATGGCACAAAATTGCACTTACAACGAACGCCTCTGAGCGTTGCTGATCGGTTACAGTGAACGGAGTCGGCAGTCTACCGACTTCCCGGGAAACCAATTTCGACCACCGATCAGGCATCCGCGAGGTGCCCATACATTCATTGTTAAGCCACCGATCTTTCGAAAACCGGTCGGCCATCTACCCTGTTTTTGATCGCTGGTACTGTCATTGGCGTCGCCGGCCTGGAGTGACCAGACCATTTGCCAACACCGACTGTGTCCGATAGTCTGCGTCTAGTGCACATGCGTACGCTACCCCACCGACTCTGATAATTTGCCATTTGTTTTGTGTTTAGGACTTGTTCTCGCTCACTTGGCACTCAACTCAGCATGCCTTCCACGCACGTGCGGAAGCGCAAAAACGGCTGTTAATTTGCACGGAACGAATCGCGAACTATCGAAGTTAGTGAGGCCACGCAAACCCGCCGGTGTAACAAAACAATTTTATGACTACAGCCGCCGATTCTTCGAACACCGCTGCGCGCACCGAGCCAGGCGGCAACGCTTTGACTTTAGCACGTGCAGGCACTCTTTCCAAGTTTTTCTACGTGCCAGTTTAGAGAACCTTTCAAGCAAGCTACCCGACCTGCCTCTTTTCCGTATGTTTTGGTTTTCAAGGTTTTCAAGGTCGTCCTCCCGCCGCATCCTTCCCTCTCTTTATCGCAACTCTTTGCCCTTCTCTCGCAAGTCTGCTCTCCTCTCTTGATCACAACCTCTTCGCCCGTCTCCACCGCTCTGCGACGCCCGCCACGCTGGCTTGAATTAGTTTCGTTTTCTGACTGGAAACGGGCTCAGAGCTGTTCCACGCGGTCTGGCGGCACGTGTGTCACGTGTGTGTATCTTGCTCGCTCTTAATGTGCGTGTGTGGTCATGATGGCCGACGGGAGGACTAGCACACTTTTTCCTGCGCTCAACAAAACGACGAAAGTGTGACCGCTTGGCTTGAGCGTAATGTACGCGGTAGGTGCCGCGTTGTGGAGCGCTTGCTCGTAGCTGTTGACCACCTGGCAGCCAACTTGCCGCTTCGGACGTCCCGGTATCCAGCTGTGGAGATGGTGAATATTTCAGTGGGCAGCTGGTGATGAATACGTGCGCGCGAAAACTGTTTTCAGCGAAGGCCGACTTCGTTGACATCGGGCCCGATGCCGAGCCTGAAGCTTCCGAACTGCGGCAGGCGATTTGTGGCAAGCGCGTCGTTGACTCCGACCTGGGAGAGTGGGTGAGACATCTGTCACGATGGTTTAATTACGGCCGATGATGATGCCGACACTGCGGAACCGTGCACGGATTGAGGCATTGTGAATGAAGTACATGGCGAGAGCGATTTGGAGGAATCGATTTGCGAGAACGATGAAACTTTGGAGCCGGTGCCTCATGCAGCTTCTGCTACGGGCCTCGGCGAACGAGCACCCTGCCGTTTTAGATTGAACTCGAGACTGCCCTTATCGCTTCTGCTCTTCGAAACACGTGTATCACGGACTTTTGGGGGCAAAAAAGCTTGTGTTTTCACTCGCAGCTTCTTTTAAAAGCTGTGTTTCATTTACTATGAACTTCGAGATACAGTGAACGCATGCTGCATCACGCTCAGGTTCGGTATAAGCGGGCTCGACTGTATGTTAAAGAAATCTGATTGGTCTTAATTGACCTGCAGCACTTAGCTGTATTTTCTCCCATAGCTCAGTGTTTTGGTCAGACTTCTTGAAAACTTCCTTTAAACATAAAGCTTCTGCTTAGCCATCAACTTCCATGTGCTCACTGTGCACAGCCAAGCATTAGAATAAATATGAGACTCAGTGCAGCCTGGGCCTATGAAAGCCTTTATCGTTAACAATACTCGTCCTGTAAGGCGTGTTTTAAAAAATATACATTTACGTGAAGTTGGTGAATGGTCGTGCTATGGCAGCCTGGTAAGTTTTTTTGAGTGTTTTTGTGGGTGCATGCATGCATGTGTGAATGTGTTCATGTGTGTATGGGTGCCTGTGCATGCGTCGGACATGTCTTAGCCACTGACTCAGGGCATACTTTGCAGGTTTACGCACATTGAGGCAGAATGCCCCTTCCTGACCTTTGACGAGTTCATGGACAAGATAGAAGATTTGGTGGTGGGCGTGTGCGAACGCATCCTCAAATCTCATGTTGCCCCCATTGTGCTTGAGCTCAACCCTGTGAGTCACTTGTCTTACTTTCAACTGGCATTGTTAACTTGAATTTGTTGACTGTTGTTGTGACAAAATTTCATTGGACAACTGTACCTTGTTTTTAGTTGTGTCAAGTGTTCTGTTGCCTCTAGAAACAGGTGTAAGTGCTATTGGCATAAACCTAAAAATGGGAGTGAAAAATGACTGATAAGACCATATGTTGTGCGCAGTTACCCCATAGTTTACCTAAAGATGTTGTGCACCAAACAGATACACAATAAAAAAAAATGCTAGTCCAGATATATATATTGTAGTTAGTACGAACTCCAAGTAGGTTTTTCCTTCGAATGCATCATGTAGTGTTATCATTATCATCTTAGGCTGCGAAATTTGTGCCTATGTTGGTTGCAGGAATTTGCTGTTCCGGAGCGACCTTTCATGAGGCTACACTACGCAGATGCAATAAAGTACCTGCGTGAAAACAACATAACCAAAGAAGATGGCTCATTCTATGAGTTCGGTGAGGACATTCCAGAGCTTCCAGAGCGCCAGATGACAGACAAGATCAACAAGGTATTTTGTTGCCAAGATCATTGTCCTAGTCATCATGTTACTTTCTTTGCTCTCAAGGATACTCAGCCTGGTCTGTGTGTGAGGAAAACAGATTATAATCTATTTACTGAAGGGATGCTCATCTATGCTAAGAAATGCAGCTGTTGTTTCAAGGGAGAAAAAGCTGTGAAATTGACAGTGTAAAAATTGTAGAAGGTATTCAAAGACACCTGAATAAAGTGTTTGTGATGAGCTAGACATCTTTGCTCAGGGCAGGAAGTAAAACGGATGTGCTATGCAGAGCTTTGTAGACGTTAACTGCCATCCCGTTTTTTTTTTTGTTTTTTTTTGTGCCCTTTTAGGTGTCTGCCTTCAGGGCTTATAGAAGAAAAAATTGCAGATTTGTGAGGAAAACTTCATTTGGCCATCTCTTATGAAGCCTCACATATTGGCATTTTTGGCATTTTAAACCTCGCTCTTGCTATTAGCAGAGCTGTGCGAATATTAAAACTTTTGGTGCGAAGTGAATTTGAATACTATATGGAAGTGTGAATCGCATATTTCTTAATATTTGTTTAATATTTTAGAATACTTTTTAATACTTCAAAGCAAAATTGCAGAAGGAAAGGTCGGGTATAATTCCTAAGCATATTCTTATGAGATAGCAACATGAAAGTGTTGACTAGGTTGACAAAGCGCTGGTTGGGTGTTGTTTCATAGTTGTCTTTTCAAGAATGAGGCAATGCAGAGGCCCAGTTTCATGTACAGAGGGGTCTCCTGCCAAAGGGAACACCGGAGCACATGTCATCTGTTCGGCGCCACCAGAGGCTCGCTGCGACAACTAGTTTCGCGCAGGATCAGTGAGCACTGTGGGCGGCGCTCATTTGCCGTCTACTGCAGTTCCGGCTGCGCTTCAGCTCAACGCGAAGCCAGCCGTCCTCGCGCTTTAAAATTTGTCTGCAGGCGGCATGGCCACGCTCAGATGGAAAGCTGTGGCAAAGCTCAAAAGAAATTAGATTATGTAAAATACTACCTCATTGATACATTTGGTGGTTAAAGAAGCATGACTTATTTACAGACGTATATTACGTATTTGATTCGCACTAATGCATATTTGAGCTGCTGCAGTGCGTAAGCTCAACAAAGCATTTACAAGTGCCTTAACTGACGCCACCAGAAAACTTCCTCGAAGCGGGCATTTCTTTATCTAACGAGAAAGCAAACGAAAGTCGGCCATCCGGTTGATGTGTCAGGTGACATTTACCTGATTGTAGAACATTCTCGTCATTTTCCTTCTAGCTCGAAAGAAAGCGACTTACTTTTTAAGCAAAAATACGTTTTTAAGATTTTGCGACTTAGCCGCCCGTCACGATGAGCTGAAGAGCGGCTGCAACTGCAGCGGAGGACAAACGAGCGCCGCCCACAGCGTTCACTGCTCCTGCACATAGCTAGTTGCCGCAGCCGGCCGGCGGTGGCGTGGAGCAGACAGCACGAGCTCCGGTGTTCCCTTTAACAGTGGACTTCTCTATACATGATTTTATACAACCAAAGTTGTCGACAGCACTTTACGCCTCAAAGACAGAGGTGCTATTTTCTCAGCCTCTCCTTCTTTTTCAACTTCTGTGATAGCCCAGCTGGTAAGGCAATTGTGGGTGTACTCCCTTCGAATTTGAAGTTGCAGGTCTGTCTCGTAGACATCAATATATAAGAACATTTGAAATCTTGGATGCTAAAAATCTTTGCCATCCCATTCCTCAAACTTTTTGCCCCGATTTCAGGTCTAAAATAGCATTAATAGAGCCTTCCCCCTCTGCAACATCTATCATCTTCATGTTGGAACCAGTGGTTTACCGAGTCAATGCATTCACTTCCGTGGCAGAGCCTAAAATTCAGCTTGCTGCAATATGAGTGTGATGGAGCAAAGCATATCGAAAGTCTGATAGAGCCGCTGCCAACCTGACATGACTGTGTTTTTATTTGAGAAGTCCGAATAGTTAGAATATGGTTAGAATAGTAAAATTCTATTGTGCATCGAATTGAATAGCTAACACTATTAGAAAAATATCTGAAATTTTGAATATCTACACACGGGCCTAGTTATTAGTTCAAATTACCGATAATTTGTTTAGCATCATGAAATTTATTTTGTCCCACAATGGAGGGGGGGGGGGGGGACAAAAACGCACAGACAACAGGACAGGTTACTTACATATAAACAAGAGATTTATTGAAAAGAAAGCATATATAAATGCATAAGCCAAGCAAAACAGTGCATATATCTCAGGAATATTGGTTACAGTCGAGCCCACATATAACAGCCCTTAACTGAACATTAACTTTCTCTTAAAATGAACTTTCGCTTCAAGCAAACCATACGGACGTGACCGTGGGATTATAGATTTTAAAGACACAAAATTACAATCAAACGAATGTCTAAGTGTCGCCAATCAGTTACAGCGAATGGAGTCTGTACTCCGCCGACTTCCCGAGACATCATTTTCGACCACCGATAAGCTTTGGCGAGGTGCCCCTAGATTCTTATTGTTAAACGGCGACTCTGCCTCTGCAGCCCTCTTGTTGCCGCTCTCCCCGACCGTTTTTCGTTACGCACCCCTGCGTTCTTTGTTCCCCCACCACTCTGAGCACCCCACATCACCAGACGAGGCCCGTGTTTTCGCACTGCCACCGATCTTTTGAAGGCCTGTTGGTTGACTAGTTAGTCTCCCATCAGTTTTTGATCATCGCAGGTCTTGTTACACTATCATTGTCATCACCAGCCTAGAGTGACCAGATCATCTGCTCACATCGTCTGCTGCCGACTGTACCTGACTGTCTGTGTCTTGTCTGGATCAGTGTCACATCGATCCAGTGCACGTGCTTGCACTATCGCACGAACGGTGATAGTTCACACGATTCGTTCCGTGTTTAGAACCTGCTCTCAATCCCTTTGTGTAAGAACGGCTTTTACATGGAACGAATCGCGAATTATCGAAGTCGGTGGGGCCATGCAAGCCTGCCAGCGCCACAATGTGATTCTCTGGCCTCTGCACACACAGGTCACTCTCCCAAGTTTTCCAATGTGTGAGTTGCGTGTTTCGCAAACCTTTTAACAAGCTGCCTGATCTAGCTTCTTTCTGCGTGTCGCCTTCCCGCTATATGCTTCCCTGTCTTCACTCTATTGCAACTCCTTCGCCCGTCTCCACCCCTCTGCAACACTGGCCATGCTGGTTTGAATTGCCAAGCTTCCTTTTCTGGCTAGAAACTAGCCCAGAGCAGTTCCACACGTCCAGGCTTGTATGTTGCGCGTGCGCATCCTGCTCGCTGTTGGTGTGCGTGTGCGGTCAGGATGGCAAATGGGAGGCCTTCCGTGAATTTTTCTGCCACTCAACACAGTGTTAGAAGGGCAATCGCTTGGTTTAGGCATAATCTGCACGCTTAAGACTTATATGTGCTGCGTTGTGGTGGGCTTGCTTATAGCTGTTGACTGCCCGGCAGCCAACTTGTTGCTTAAAATTTCCCTGTATTCAGCTGTGGAGATGGTGAGGGCTTTGTGCTCGGAGGTGACAGCTACATGTCTGTGAAAGTGTTTGAGGCCAACTTCGTCGACTTCCGACCAGATGCCAAGCCTGAAGCTTCCAAACAGAAGCACTCCGGCAATGATTTGTGGCAGTGCGTCGTCGACTCCGACACGGGAGGGCAAGACATTTGCTGGGATGATTTACTGAGGCCGATGATGATGCTGACACTGCGAAACCATGCATGGATGAGGGCATTGTGAATGAAGTGCGTGGCATGAGTGATTCGGAGTAATCAGATGTTGACGACGACGAAACATTGCAGCCGGTGCCTACAAGCGTTCCTGCAGTAATTCGCTACAATAATAGCCTCGGGCTGCTTGTATTTGTTAAGGGCTTCGGCAAACAGCATTCTGCCACTTTAAACAAACTCAAGACCACCCTTGTCGCTTCTGCTCTTCTAAACATGTACATTATGGACTCCTTTGCGAAAAAATTTCGTGTTCTCATTTGCAGCTTTCTTAAAAGTGTGTTTCATTTACTAGAACTTCAGGATACAGCGAACGGATGCCGTGTCAAACTCAGGTATAAGCGAGCTCGACTGCATAAGGGAATTTTGTATTTCAGCCATAGCATTTAGTAGACATCATCATTCTTGTATTCAATTCACCAATAATTCTTGCTGTGGTGCTATTTTTTTGGTGCTACTCTTTTTTTGTGATAGCTTGGTCACAAGGGTACAATAACATAATTACCCACTGTAGGCTTAGCACATAATGTGTGGCAGTGCCAAGCCCGAAGGCGCTGGTTCGTGAGATCTTTCTGTTTTCATCTATTGTGCTCTAAAACGGATGGCAGGTAAAAATTTATGTACTAAAAGCTTTCAACTCATCTTATCGCAGTTTACAAGAATAATGTGGTGTGCACAGTCCTTCCAGATTTATTATAAAGAAAAACACCTGTCGTAAACACTGTTCCACTCTGTATTGAGCGAGCATGTCTCTAGTACCACTTCACACATGATCCAAACCTTATGTGCAGACCTGTGTGCTTAATGTCATTCTCTGTTTTCTCGCAGCCAATCCTTCTGTGCCGCTTTCCTGCAGAGATAAAGTCCTTCTACATGCAGCGTGTGCTGATGACCCTCGTTTGACAGAGTCGGTATGTGTCAAATCTGGCTTGTGTACGGCTTCTAGAAAGCTAAGCAATAACTGTCTTAAAGGGTATTGTATTTCTTCACGTAATGGTAAACTGAATGAGTAGTTTAGCCAATGAAGAAAAGGTAGGCAACTATTTCTAAAAGGGACCACATGAGAGACTGAGACCGTCTTGGAGATTTGGACCAATTGGCTTAGCTGAATTCTGTGCTGCTTTTATTGGTCGTACTCCTGCTGCCTTTTTATTTATACTGTTGTGAGGTTACGGGAATGTGAAAGGTACCGTAGAACTTAAAATTGGTGGCTGAACAAGCTTGTTAGTACGTACATGTAGTTTTTCAAACAGCGCAGAAACAGAACACCAAGAATAGGCTACACGACACAGCGCCTGTATTGTGTGGCGTATTCCCGGTATCCCGTTTCTGCGCACTTTGAAAATCAATGTAGTGTAGACCCTCATTCATACATTTTGGATTACAAATGCAATTATAATGCTGTTAGACCTGCTCATAACAAACCTCTTTATAATGACTTGACTTCCTGAATATAACAAAGTTTTTCGATTCTCGCTGTTACTCCATAGAAGCACATATATTTGTGACCTCTATATAACTAATTAACAGCGGCAGGCAACCTTAATATAAAGAATATTCACCACGGACAATATAGGAATTTTGCCTTGGATTTTGTCATTTTGTCACGAGCATGCATCTTCCGCTGTTTTTGTACCAAACCTGCATATAAAGAAATCCTCTTTTATGAAGGATTTTTTTTCGGGAATGTGTCAATTTAACTGTAGCACTATCTAGAAAAAACTATCTGATTTCACTAAAAAAATGGATTTCAGATTCACCTGAAGGGTAAAGTTGTCATAGAGATAGCCCAAGTATACTTGACTATTGGAAAACTATATTATAGAGGCACTGGTAAATGCAAAATTAAGTCGACATTTATTGCTGCAATAGTGGTTCGAAAACCTGCTAGTGCTACTTTTGTGCCAAGGAAGGGCTTATTTTGAAATAAAATTGCGTTTTAGTGGCCCGCATCGGGTTAGTGTACTTCAAGTTACCCGCCTCAAGAAGCGGACCCACTCGCGTCACTGTTGCCGTGCGCAACGTTGCCCGGCTTTACTGCGCGATCTCTGACACTAGTGGAAAGAACAGAAGTAGTGGGAGCCACAGCAGCAACGGCCATTGAAAAATTTTCTGCCATGGCCTACGCGATGGCAGGCGTGATTGGTTCAACTGGGCCCTGCTAGATGGCATCACCTGTGCAGTTTAACCAGGCGAAAATGGAACTTTCTAATCACTTGCGCCATTCCCCATAGTAACTCCCGGTGGTTCTGTTTCTATAAATCAGCATTTTATTGCATCTTTTGATGCATGGAAGGTTCCTTTTTTATTGCAGCTAGGTTGATTACTAGTGATTAATTGTAGTCAGTTGCTCTCACTTTGTCGGTATTATTTCCAAAATATCCCACTCATGGGTCCTATCGTGTGGTACATTTAGCTTAATTTATCGGTAAGTAGGGCACTGGTGTTGATAATATTGCCATTTCAGACATTGTCACACATTGAGCTTTCACTCCGACATAAATTGCTATTTGCCTTTAGTGTCCCTCTAAACATACACTTACTAACTGAAGTATAATGCAGTCAGACTAGTATATGTTAAACCTAAAGGATACCACAAAATAGTTTAATATATTAGTAGTATACAATACACTGAGAGAGGTGTAGGCTTTGGGTGCTACTCTTCACTGTATAATCATTACTTCTTACATATTCTTCTTACATTACTTCTTACATTACTTCTTACTGCAGCGCTATATTGCAGTGGAGCTTCATGAAGCAAATGCATCGTTACGGAGCACAAATAAGATCCTTGCTTAGAGTTGCCAGATCCTACTGAGCTAGCAAGCAAATAATCATCATAAAAGAAGCAGAAATTTAGTTTTCTCATTCTTGAAAATATTTTTAATTATAATAAAAAGGTTGCTTAAGTAATAAGGGGAGTCGGAAAAATCACTTCACTTATTTTGTACTGTAAAAATATGCACAACTATGAATGAAAACTCGTACATACACACACATACATACACATACATACATACATACATACATACATACATACATACATACATACATACATACATACATACATACAAAGAACTTTATTAAACCACCAGAGGGACTAGTTGTGGGAAGATCTAAAACCCTCTCGACCAGTCGGCAAGCATATACGTATTTACTTTTTAATGTTGTCTTCAGGGTTAGTTTTTATTCAGTTGAATGCACATTTCCCAGTGCATCATTAGTGTTACTTGCTGATTCCCGCAACACTTGACTGACCTCAACATTTAACTGCTCAAAGTCATTGGCAAACACGCTAATTAGTTAATGTTAAGTGCTCGTTTGGGGAACGTAATAGACACTAAAATAACTATATTTACTGGGAAAGTGCAAATAATTTTAAAAAAATACAAGAAACAACTTTAAAGCCCAAATCCGCTTAATATAAGCAGACCCGTCACGGTGGTCTGGTAACTAAGGCACTCGTCTGCCGACCCGCAGGTCGCGGCATCGAATCCCGGCCGGGCCAGTCGCATTATCGATGGAGCCGAAAATGCTTGAGGCCCACGTGCTTAAAGGGGTCTTGAAACACTTTTTTCAAGAAACCATGGACTGAATTTGCCGGAAGAGCTTATTGCCTCACGAACTCAACGCCGCAAAAATTTTATGAATTGGTCCAGTGCGAGTGGAGTTACAAAGCTTTGTTGCATGCTGCAATTGCATTCTCTCTTTTCTTGTCCCGATGAAAGCGCTGAGAGCTAAGCAGGCGCGCATCGTCACCTTGAGCACTTGTTTTCTTTTTTTCTTTTTCTTTTTTCCGAATGTGCAACTTTTTCAGTGGGATCGCGCGCGCACGCGTGGCCATGACACGGCTTCCCGCGGCGATCTCTGTAACGACCGAGCGCGCCATGTTCAAATCAGCCAGTGGCTGTTAAATGAGCTTTCTAGGAGTGGTTTTTGAGCGTCTTACATCATTTGTTGGGAGAAAACTATTTTTAGCTCACTTTATTTTCTTTCTTTCTTTTTTTTTTTTTTTTTGAATGTGCAACTTTTTTAGTGTGCTCGCTCGCGCGCGTGGACAAGTCACGGCCTCTCGCGGCAATCTTCATAACAACTGAGTGCGCCATGTTCAAATCAGCTACTGGCTGTTAGATGGGCTTTTTAGGAGTGGTTTTTGAGCGTCTTACGTCGTTTGTTGAGAGAAGAGAAAGCTATTTTCAGCTCACTTTGACAAATGTGGATTCCAGACAGCGTGCTGCGCTATAATATTTGGCTTGCGTGTTGTCGGGAGCCTTTACTACTGATCGGCAGCATTTTCTATGCTGGAAACGTGTTGCAGGGCTCTTTAAGTTTAGGTGCACATTAAAGAACCCCAGGGGGTTGAAATTTCTCGAGCCCTCCACTACGACGTCTCATGGTCATATAATAATTCTGGGAAGTAAAACCTCAAAAATTAATTATTATCATTATAAGCAGAACTGGCAACTCTGCCCTTGCTACACAAGCTAATCTGTATTTTGAGATGTGCCTTGCACATTTTCTTTCCATGTTATGTAATTCTCTTGAGATCAAATGCCTTGTTTTACATCTTCTGCCAAAACAGCATACTAGCTGAAATATTTACTCAAACACACTCACAGGCATAGGCGTTGGCAGGGGTGTGCAAATGGGGCACTTGCCCTATGAGCACTTGCCTAAGCTACAGCAGTGCTTTCCCCCTTACCTTGCCGCGATGCAACACTGTTTTCCACTGCCCAAGAAAAAACCCTGTTGACGACCATGCTTACAGAGGTCCAAAGCTCAGTGTATTGGAAGTTAGCTGAACGATGTCAGTACATTGATGATGACTCGTACATCAATGTGTCAGTCACACCTGTATTAGCAACAGCATTGTGGAGGCCTCAAAGCTTCATGTTTCAGCAATAGACAGAAACAACTGAAACAGATACTGTGACTTTCAGACATCTCATACTATTATATACACTTTAACCTTGATATAATGAAACCGGGTATAACGAAATATCGGTTTTAATGAAGTGAATAAAGGTTAGTTTTGCAACAGATATAGGCTTAGGTATATACCGTTAGAACGAATTCTTAGATATAGCAAACTTATTTTCATGTAAGATGCAACTTTGTTATAATAAGGTCTGAGTGTAGTTGAAGATTAGTGCTAACAAATTGTTACCCCAAACCCTCCCTATCTTGTCGCAGGTCGATCTACTAATGCCTGGTGTTGGTGAAATTGTGGGTGGCTCTATGAGGATCTGGGATTACGAAGAGCTGCTCAAGGGTTACCAGCGAGAAGGCATTGATGCAAGCCACTACTATTGGTACACGGACCAGCGGCGGTATGGTACCTGCCCGCACGGTGGCTATGGCCTGGGATTCGAACGCTTTCTCACCTGGGTGCTCAAGCGCAACCATATAAGAGACGTTTGCCTCTACCCACGTTTTGTGGGCCGCTGCAAGCCTTGATTTCACACACGAGTTGCATAAAAGAGTGGCTTATTTCCTAACTTCGTGCTTCCTGCTTAAACTGTTGCCTTACATCGTATGCTTAATCTTTTAGAAAGGCAAGAAAAGGAAGATGGAAGCTTGCAATGAGAAATTTGTAAATTGTGGAGTTGGTGCTGGAGCCGACGTTTCGACGAGCGGACTTTTTTTACAGCCATGAAAAAAAACGAGTCCACTCGACGAAACATTGACTCAAGCACCCAACCTCTCTTCACGAATTTCTTAACACCTAATTTTAGGTATTCTTGAAAAGTTTTTAGGACACGAATTGGTATATTACATAAGCTATGCTAATGAAAACTTCACAGATTAAGTATTGAACTCGGTTTTACAGCAAAAGCTGTGTATGGCTAGGTGAAACAAAAGTAATTCTCTACAAGAAAATAAAACAGTGTCCATCAGTAATTTCATTCTCTTTGTTGCATGTGCAGTCAGTGACATTGTTCATGCCTTCGCAGCCATGTCGCAGGACCACGCGCAGCACTTTCAACTTACAACTTTTCCATGGGGAGGGCACGAATTATGAACATTCGAACTGCAGACAACTTTTCAAAAACAGTGCCTGTTGAATCTACCGTGGAAAAACGGTGACACGAAACACCGTGCAGAGACAAGACACGTGAACAAGCGAGCACAAAGTGGGGCTGCTTGTGAGCACGCAATAAAGAGCAGAAATGGAGGAGTTCTACAGTCAAACATAGATATATCAAACTCGAAGGGGATCGCGAATTAGTTCGATATATGAAAAATTCTATACAAAAGACTAGAGGCCCCGAGAGCTTACCTGTAGCAGATCATCACCTACAATTGGTGCATTCAAGAATGACAACTAATTCTGCACACACGCCACAACCGAATTATTTATTTGCATGGAAAAGAAAGATCGCCAATCTTGGCCTTGCTTCTTCAGTTTTTAAACGTTGAAGACGCTAGTCTCGATCTTATCAAGGCTGTTCAGGTGCGACAGCCCGGTTCCCTCCATGCGGCCGATACAGCAGCAAATGATGCCGAATGCTGCCGCCACCATTCAGCAGCCAAGTACCTGGGTGTAGCCAGCACCTCGTCCGGACGATTCTCCTCATCACATGAGCTGTCAGCCTGGACATCGCAGTCTGCTTCCACGAAGTCAGTCCGCAGACATTTCAAGTGGAACTGTTCCGTAAAGCAGGACAACTCGCGAAACGCGTTGTCTATGTGCTTGTCGTCGTCCTCACGGGTTTCCGAAAGTTCCGCCGTCTCAAAGCCTGCCTTGCGGAAACAGTTGACCACTCTGTTTGTTTTCATGTCTCGCCAGGCATGAATATCTCCGCGGGAAAAAACTTCGCCGATATTTTCGGCCGCTCCTTCGTTATTCACTGCTGCATGTCCTGGCTACTGACAGCTTCACTTACACCAGAATTGGTTTTGCCAATGATGTTGTTGCGCTGCTTAAATCGGTGAAGTCACCCGGTGTTGTCGGTGAAGTTGTTCCACCGAGTGCAGCTGCAAGCCATTTGGCCTAGGCGATCAGCATCGGGCCATCCACAGCAATGCTCTTTGCGCACACTTCTAAAAACCAAGCATAGAGTGCCTTTTCTACATTCCCGTGGGGAGAAGTGCGCACATGACAGGCTTCCGACGTTCGATGCTCCGCCGCCTTTGCCTTGATATCTGCCTTGTTTTTCAACAAGGTACTCAGAGTGCTCTGTGGTATCCCAAAGTCGTCCGCGACGGTCGAAAATTTTTTGCCCACCTCAACACGTTGAACAGCCTTCAACTTCGTCGCAAAGTCAAGGGTCTTGCACTTCTTGATGCTGGCCATCGCTACACGAGAAGTTGACAATTGAAGGAGTTGGCAGCAGCTTTGCACACCACGCACGCGAAAGAAAAATGCTGCACATGCGGTGGTACGTAGGGGATGCGAAAACGGAAGCAACAAAGCACTCACGAGGTGATGGCTACCTGCGAGGGCAACAGCAAAAGGCGCAAGCAGTGGTTGGCTGATCAAAACTCGCAAAACAGTAACAAAAAAATAAAAGAAAACGCGAAAGGAGGAGGATATGGCTCCTGCATTCCTGCTCTCCGAGCCGACGGGTACGTGGAGAAAACATAGGAAAGAGAAACGAAAAAAAAAGCTGTTCTGCAAGTTAGAGATTGCGCAGTCCGAGCCCTCTTGCCCTCACCTTTTTTCGGCCATTTCGGGTTTTGGCGGAGGCATGGTGCTACGCGGAGGTCGCTGGGCGCTGCTGAACACGGAGATCGGGGGGGGAGTGCCGAAGCGCACCTTCCAGCTCGCGTGGTGTTCGATATATCCGAAGGCGGGTACGTTCGATATAAACGTGCTGATTTCTATACTTTTACAAAGGAACTTGAAGGGGATGTTTTGCGAGTCCGACATACCCAAAAATTCGATATATGTGGGTTCGATATAACCGTGTTTGACTGTACCAGTGAATGGGGTGTCGGTCTCTTCTCTGTCTTAACATATTGGTGCCGAAAACCTGGGAGAAGGCCGACATCCTCCACATCAATATGTTCTTAGGATGGCAAGCTACGTAGACATAGAGGCATTCTTTGCTGTGCCACATCCCGACTCCTGTTTGAGGCCAGCCAGTTCTTCCTGCAAGGCACTGTACCCTCTTCCGCCGACTTGCAGGAGCTCATCGACAGGCTTCGCGACAAAGGCTTAGCTCTCTCCGCACTAAACAAACAGATCGCCGATGCCCTCGATGGTGAGAAGTTTGATGAAGTTATGGGCGCTCTGGACTATCATGACAAGGTCACAGAAGTCATCAGGAGGCTTCAATTCGCAATGAACGCGCATGTGCGAGGATGGTTCTAGCGTCTTCAAAGTCAACCACTCGAGGCACACGAGTATGAGTGATGGATCCAGCAACTCCATGGGAGCTACTCGCTCTGACACAACCATTCACAACTTCACCGAAATGCAGTAGGCCATGAGTATCTGGGTACTAGACACCTTGCCGAATCTTCAAGCACTCGCCTTTAGCAGCGAGAACTGTAAGTTGCTGGGTCTTCAAGAGCACTATCTTGCGTCCATTTACAGGTATCCTAAGCCCGCGGACGTCGAAATGCTCAAGGCCTGCGATATAAAGCTACACACCGAATGAAACACGCCTGACTGAGAGGAACTGCGATGTTACCGCCGAGATGCCCACCAATAGGTCTGGCCGCAAAGATCTTGTCTATGAACAAACCATCAGCCAACTTCCACAGACCCGTCTAAGTCATCGTCGCAAGCATCAAGGCTTTGGGACCTGTACGAGCAAATAAAGTTCAGGTCCGATGTTTAGAAAGCCTTGGTATGCCATCTTCAAAGCATGCGGTTGTTTTGCACTGGGTACTGGAAATTCCTCTCGCTTCGATGTAGGAGCAGGTCTCAACTTCGCCTTCGACTGGCCTCTCGACTCCTCTCGCTTTGATGTTGGAACAGGCCGCAACTTCATCTTCAAGCAGCCTCTCTACTCCTCTCACCTCGTCGTGGCAGGAGACGGTGACTTCACCTTCAACCTGCTTCTCAACCCCTTTCCCCTCGACGTCGCAGCAGACTGCAACTTCGCTTTCAACTGGCCTCTCAACCTCTTTGGCCTCGACGTCACCGTGGGCACCGACTTCACCGTCAACCGCCCTCATGACTCCTCTCACCTCGTCGTCGCCCCAGGCTGTGACTTCGCTTTCAACGTGCCTCACGACTCTTATGCTAACTATAAATCCAACCAGTTTTGGCTACGCGCTCAGGGACCTGTGCCTAACTACGCGATCCACGACGCTTTAGTACGAGGACTCATCCACAAGGTATGCCGTGAAGAGTTCGATGGCCAATGGAAGCCCCGAGTGCACCATTCACCTCGACTACAAGGAGCTTGTTTCTCACGGCCTGAACCACAGCTTGCCAAGGCAGTCCTACTTCCCAAGTCAAGAGGGCGAACGCATGTACTACCCGTCGCATGGCCCTGTGCACCTGCAGGACTGGCCTAGTGAGAACAATGTTCATAACCCTGCTACTCACCCCTCATGCTCCTCAAGCACGATCCTGGCTGTAGCGCCTCCACACAGCCCAAGCAAGTCAATGATCGGTACAGCTTAACTCAAGCGAGTACATGGACCCCACGACCATCTACACCGCCAAATACCACAAGGAGATGGCACCAGAAACTTGCGCTGGATGTACGAGCGCCACATTGCGCAGCTCCTGCAATACACCATGCTCCTCATGCAGGAAGCCAGCGGAAATGAAGACTCTCGTGAAGCGAGACACGTCTTGATCGACAATTCGTTGGAAGACTTGTGCAGCACCGCCACGGCTCTCGAAGAAATCAGCACCACGCAAGCTGTCGTCGGCGGTGCCACGACAGGCACTGCCAATGTGCTACCAGCAACAGCACACATGGATGAACCTCTGCTGCCCTAGATAGCAGCCAAGATTCCTGACCTTGGCGAGGTTGCCACCCGACAGAACCAGGTTGCATCGGCTTCATCGTTGTCTTTGACGAACGAGAAAGAAGAATCATCGTAGACCTCGGAGCTTCAAGCAGATAAGATGGACCTCTGAGCCAGGCACATGTGAAGGACTATGTTACCACTACGTGCACGAGCAGCAAATGACCGTGCAGCACCTACAGAAGCTTCAGATGCAACACCAGGAGCAGATGACAAACATCACTCCCAAGAAGCACACAAATTTTCTGAAAACCTCGCGAGTCTATGAAAGCAGGTCAAGGTCAGTCTCCTCATATTACAAGCGACGCAAGAAGATATCACCAGAAAATGGCAAACAATGTGACGGCGAAGTCATCTACACAGTACAGTTTGAAGAAGGGATGACTTCCCCCGCTTAGATTCATCGTCATTGTCAAATCCCTTCATCGCCATGTCACACCTTCTGGTAGATTAACCTAAAGCGCGACATTGACAAGCACAAATGGATCATCTGTGGAAACGCTGGCGAAAGGAGTACTAGTTGCTTCTGCGTTTGGCCCATGAAGCATCACCCAAGGAA